AGGCGGAGCGCGTCACGAGCGATGACGTCACCGCCGCGAGCGCACCTCGATTGAGCGATGAACTTTGAAGACTCGCGTCGATCACTCGTTGTAGTTATTATTATTACAGTTTGTGCAAGGATTATCCATTCAGATTTTAATAAACAGGATGTTTAAATTTTATTACATAATAAAAATCATATCCGCTACAGCGAATCGTATAAAATGTTTAACTAAAACTTGTTTTGCCAATGATAGTTAGTGGACAGTTATATCACACCGCATTTTATAAGAAAAACATGTTCGATATAGTAGTTTTGCTTTAAATAAATACCATAATATTATTATTTAAAGCAAAACTATTTTTATTTTTCTTGTACATAGTGCAAATAGAAGTAAGTAAATATGTAACGTAATTCAGCTTTTTAACAGATAATTTATAATTTTAACAAAATCAGTGTGGAATAAAGCCGTAACTAAAGTCAATGGATATATAAAATCGTTTACAAAATTAAGTATAGGTCGAACACGGAAATAATCTTTATAAAACGTTACAATCGGTCAATATTTATCTAACAGACATGCAAAAAGGCTATTTTAAATAAAATTACTTTCTTTTCCTTTTTTAATTAAAACTACAAACTTATCAGAATACGAGACAGCATACCATATCCATTTTTGCCATAAGAGAAGTTTTGTTAGTAGTTGCACTGCTTGGCGGACTGGTTGGCAACCGCAGTTAGGCAGGGGGGAAAGGGATTGTTAGTAATGCGGACTACCAGCCCCATTACTAGCAATATACTCTGTCAGGTCGACCTCTACGTGGTTCCCCTTGGAAACCATTGTGCTGAACTCCAGGTATATTCGTCACGATGGGCTAACTGACCTGCCATTCCATTGTACCAATCATCCCTCACTTGTATCCTACCAGTATATACTGTTAGCGCAGACGGGGGATACCATTCAATTAAAAAAACCGCAGTTAGACTTTGGTAATATTTAAAGAAACGCTGCTGCCCATCCCTTGACCAGTGAGATCCCTTAGTCGCCTCTTACGACACCTATGGGAAAGGAAGGGCGAGGCGACAACTTAAAGGTAACTAAGGAAGGGCGAGGGATGGGCACCAGCGTTCCTTCTAAAACATCTCCAAAGCCTAATTGCGGTTGCCAGTTCGCCTGCCAAGCGTGGCAACTACTACCAAAACCTCCCCAAAGGGGAGGCTTATGTCCATCAGTGGACAGTCAAAGGCTTATATGATGATGATGATGAACAGATATACCATAGAGTCACCTAACCAATGACACCTAACTGGGCCACTCAGAAACGTTATACGTGATAAAATGAACTCTTAAAATTCGTTTCCTAAATTATTTCGAAGGAGAATCGACACCGGGACTTTAACCAGAATCGATACGCTTCAAGGTCGCCCAACAATACATTGCAACATCCTGTATGCGGGTAGAGCCGGCTATTACGGCATCGTTCGCAAGCACTTATTAATAATATGAAAGCCAACCAAATCTGATCGAAACGGGGCGGCGGGGATATTCGGGTAATTTTGAATAAACTTAAAATTCGTATACAATTTTTTTTTTAGATTTTAATTTGATTTAGGAATACTTACATTATCTGGATTATGTATAAGATATCCTAATTTATAGACATTAAAATTTATCGATCCGTGATTTTAACAAAGATGGTTACAACATGAATAAATTTTTGCTCTTTTATTAGTAAAAAAATAGATAAATTGAAAACCTCCTTCCTTTAAAATTCATTTAATAATAGAAAAAAACTAATAAATTATTTGGTTATGAATTATATCAAGTATTAATTAGATTATTATTTGTATTGTCGTTATATAGTAAATTTATTGCTATTCTATCAATACATTCTTTACTCTTTCATCATCATCATTTCCGCCTGTATCTATCTACTGTTGGACATGGGCCTTCTCCAAAGCCTTCCACCATATAAGATTCTCCGCCTTTGGAATGCATCCACTGCTTGCTGATCAATGGAATTGATTACTTTTTTTTTTTTTTTTACAACACAGGGGGCAAACGAGCATGCGGCTCACCTGATGGTAAGTGACTACCGCCGCCCATGATCACCCACAACACCAGCGGCATTGCAGGTGTGCTGCCGGCCTTTTAAAAAGGAATATACTCTTTTCTTGAAGGTTATGTTGTCGTATCGGTTCGGAAATACTGCTGCTGGAAGTTGATTCCAAAGAATGGTTGTGCGTGGAAGAAAGTGCCTTTTTAATAAATAAATATGTTAAATTCATGATATAGAATGGGAGTTCCGTATGTGTCCTAAGAAATGACTAAGGGAACTTAATGGTCGAGAGATGAGCAGCAGCGTCCCTCTTAAAACTAAGTGTAGCAACTACTGGCAAAACTCTCATTATGGAGGAGGCCTATGATGATGATGATGAAACAGAAATTAATAAAATTCGATGATTTTATTACAGCGATAACGAACCACAGCTAAAACTATCACATAGAACATACAAATCAGATGAGTATTAATAATTAAAAATTTGCAGTTAAAATATATTTTTATCTACCAGTGTGGTCCAATTGACCCCCACTCACCCTCAGGTTCACTTTAAACAAACACCACGTATCGACATCTTTCTCAACTGCGGTGCGCTAAGCGTGGATTTATTATAAAAACATTCAATACCTTATTGAATAATCCACGGGCGGGAGATGATACTGATAAACCCTTTCTCCCCACACAAATTAATATTTGCATGGGGAATTAATATAATTAGTCGTAATCGTGGGGTTTGGTTGTTTGTTTTTAATTATTAAGGCATGGGAAATCTTTTCAAGATTTTTTTTAAGGAAACTTTGTGACTTTATATTTGACTATGGATTCAAAGTTTCGAATTTCTTTCGAAAATTATGAACGTTATTGGTCAGAAGGGAGAAAATGTTGGGACACTTGATACGACACGACGAATTTATGAATATTATATATATAATACATATATAATAATAGAAAGTAAAATAGAAGGAATGAGAGGAAGAGGGAGACCAAGACATATTACATCGGGCAGATCAAAGAAAAAGTTGGTGTCGGGTTGTATCAAGAAGTAAGAGACTCGCTGATAATATAATTATAATGAGTGGCAAGAAATCCACCGACAAGAGCGTACCTCTTGAATAGGAATGAAAAAAAATTAAAAATATGAAATAAAAAAAACATTTACTGCTAGATATGTCCACCTATGTTATTTAGATATTCCCGTATCTGTTCATATAAGAGGATGATATTTTTTAAAATAGGTGAAAATGGAATGGTAACTCCACCTGCGCTAACGGTATACGGTGGCGGAGCACCAATGAGGAATGATGACAGGTGATAATGAAAATGCAGGTCAGTATCTATACCTATTCCGATGAATACATCTGGGATTCAGTACGATGGTTTCCAGGGCGGCCACGTGAAGGTCGACTTGACAGGTTATATTGCTAGCAATGAAACTGGTAGTCCGCATTACTAACAATTCCTTCCCTCCCCCCCCCCCCCCATAAGGTATTTTGCTAACAATGAGGTTATAAGATCCTATTACTAACAATCTCTCTCTCCCCGGAATATCCATTTCCACAATATACCCTATCAGGTCGACCTCCATGAGGTCCCACCCGGTAATCGCGTGCTGAATTCCTCTTTTAAAAAATCCGCTGTTCTGCTAAACATACCAATGTAAAATTTAATGCTATCCTTTGCTGACGCGTACTTCGAACGACGTTATTCTCGTTCCTTGGTACCCCTACATGCCGCCCGAGTATACTGACTATAAGGCTGTTACTGCAAACAGTAATTTCTTATAGGAGGTACTTAAAATGGCAAGCATATTGACGTTCCACCTGATGGAAAATAATAACCGTCGCCTATAGACATTAACAACACCATAGATATCACAGAATATACCTACTCTCATGCCCATGCCGTTTTTAAAGACGATGGCAAATAATGTCATATAATGGCAGAGAATTTAAAGGATAAGTAGGGAAAGGGATTGTTAGTAATGGAGACTGAGAATCCCATTGCTAGCAATATACCCAACCAGGTCGACCTCCACGCGGTTCCCCTTGGAAATTATCACGGTTAATTCCTAATGAATTCACCATGATGGGCTAACTGGCCTGTTTTCATTCTCATCTATCACCCTTCACTGGTGGTCCGCCAGCGTATCCCGTTAGCGCAAGCGGGGTTACCATTCCATTTTCACCCATCAATAAAATGCGTCCATATCCTTTAAATTCTCTGCCATATTCTATTCTTCAAACTAAAACACGGGTGGGACAAAAACACCCATTCAGACGATTTTTGTACAAAATCTGGCAAAGAAATAGCTGATAAGAGCTGCAACATGTGATTTTTATTCTATAACCAGGTACCTAGTTCTAAAGAAAATAGTGTACCATTTTTTTTAGATGCTATGCCTCATGCTCTTTTTATAAGTGGCGCCTCTTGCATAGTGCCTATTTGCTGTTCTCTTAGCCGCTTATAATCAATCCAACTATATGGCTTATTACCACTCTAGATACAAAAAAAATATAAAAAATTTAACTAAATTCTAAATCACTCGTTTGTCTAATTATCTAATGATGTATTACTTCATATTAATTAGTATTATAATTAAGCATCATTAAATAAGGTCATGAAAGTAATAATATCTTCGCGGTAAATTATGATAATAAACAATATCCCAAGAACATTCCATACTCTATGTTATTGTCTTATACTGCCCTCTAGTTACTGTTTATGAAAGTTAAAAGACTCATTCCATTCTACGAATAAATCTCACAGTTACAATATCATATTTCGAACAGAAATTATGATTAAATCATTATAAATTTTATTTGTAATGAAATATTATTAATGATATTCTTTTAATCCATATTTAATTATTTATATATTATTTGCTATTTTGTGTGTTTTAAAATTTAAAAAGTAACAAAGATAGTTAACAATTTTTCAGTTCTCCTATAACGAAACATATAAAGCCTTATGTCAACGCAAACAAAACTATGTCAAAATTAATTCTAAATTTTGTGTAAAAACAACAACAACTCATTCAGTATAATTAACAGTTATCCATGAGCTCCTTTTATTTCGTTAAACAGTGAAAATAAACGCGATGGCTGAAAAGTAAGTATTAATTTAGACACGTATCACATTGCTTTTATTGCTACAATCTCTGGTTGCTTATCTTGATCGAGTTTGTGTCAAAGAATTCGTCTTGTATCGATATTATATGTAAATAAAATTTCCAGTGTGTTTTTATTTCCTTTCATTGTAATTTATTTTTAACTGATACGGTATTAAGGTCAATAAGACTGCGTTCAAAGTTGAATCGCCCCATAAATAATTTTGCATACAACTACAAATTGTTTATGGATTTGCTATTTTTCTACAACGTAACTGAATAATAAACACGAGGCTAAGATAACTGTGCGTAGAATGGGAAATAATAGTTGATCGCATCAAATTCTTTTGTTTACTTTTAATATTTTATTAATTTTCTCATATTATAACTTCATTTAGTAACTTTGTTGTAATATATACCTAAACATATTCCGATATTTATATGTATCATATTTATTCTTATAGAGCATGTTGTGATATACAGAGATATTTGCAATTGGAAGACAATCTTACCCAGTGGTAATTCGTTGTAGAATAATCATAACATGGTATGGCATTATTTAAACACATTTCATAGTAACTTTATCCTCCATCTTTTGTGATTTTTGCTTACACTTCCTACTTACATATATAAATAAATAATAAAATGTTAATAAGTAATTTCTTATATTGTGTTATTTACTTATTTTATTTATAAATAACTATTTGTTACAGCTTTATATATGCTGTGTTGTTTTTCCCCTTTAGTTAAAATTTTAAAAATCTCTTTTTAGTGGGTATTTATTTTATAAAATAAATAGGTTTTCCAAATTTGAGCTTCACAAACTTACTTTCATAAAAGAAACAAACAAAAGAGTTCAATAGCTGAAATAGGTTTATGTTAAGTTTGTCATTTTTATGAATAAGGGGGTTAGCAGTTTTAGCTGTACATACTGCACAGCAGGTCAGGACAAACACTTTTATAAGTATAGATTTCTTGAAGATGATGTGTTAGGAAGTAAAGTAGTTTAACACTTCTTATAGTAAGTTTGATCTCCATACATTCACAATACATAACAGTATATATCCTGATGGTACACCGGTAAGGGATGATAGGTGAAAATGAAAAGGCAAGTTTTTTAATGGAATGATAACCCGTCCTGCGCTATCGGTATGCACTTGTGGGGCACCAATGAGTGATGATAAATAAAAATGAAAGAGCAGGTCAGTCAGCCCATCATGATAAATATGCTTGGACTTAAGCACAATGGTTTCCAGGGGGGACCATGTGAAGGTCAACCTGACGGAGTATATTGCTAGCAATGGGACTGGTATAATCCGCATTACTAACAATCTCCCCCCACCCCTGAAAATGCAGTTACCCCATCATAATGAATACACCTTGAACTCAGCACTATGGTTTCTAGGGAGGACCACATAATGGTTAATCTAATGAGGTATATTGCTAGCAATGAAACTGGTAGTTCATATTACTAACAATCCCTTTTCCCCCTTGTTTACATATGATAATTTAATATTCAGATTTACGATTAACATCAATAACTATAGAAAGGATTTAATTAAATAAATATTACAGGTCTGCTGAGGCTAGTCCCAGTGAAGCCAGTACACCACGATGTGAAGAGAAGCAATCAGGGAACTGGTGGGACAGCTGGATCACATCTGCTAAGACTAAGGTAAGTGACTCAACATCTTCCTACCTTATTCCAGTTATATAAATTGTTGGATTGGCTGAATGTGTTTTTACCCATATTTCTCAAAATTATGGCTTTTAGTTTTACTAATCCTATGGAGGAAAAACTAAAGAGTATCTATCTATCTATGATATATGCATCATAATTGGCTCGATCAAATTATAACTTGGCATGTCGATTTAATGATGTCTTATAGAGTGTAAAAGTATTTGTTAATTGGACAGTCATATGAATATTCCACACTACATACTAATGTCAAATGATATTAGAAATTAAATTGATTTCAAATATAATGAGGTAGAAGTTAGTCTAATATCTAGTAGTATTTGAAACCAAGGCACAATTAAAAATTATCCTCTAATGTAGGTTTGTTATCTGTGTTTTCCATCAGTACAAAAATAGATTGAAAGTTAAATTGACACCCATAGTTTTTAGAGTATGTCAGATTCTAAAAATTCCCTCATTTCTCTGCTAATAATATCTTTATATTTGCGATTGATCAATGATCTCAAGTGTCACTTGATTGAATCTGTCCATATTGATTGATATTGATAAAATGTTATCTATTTTATATGTGGCTACCTTAACTTGCAGACTTATTTATTCAATACTAAAACAATAATACTGATAAAAAATGTAACATAGTTAATGTAAGTGCTTTTTAAACAACTATACAAGTGTGAATTTCTGAATTTGGCTGTTTTTTCTGTGTATATACAGGAATTAATACTATAATTTGCAAAAAAATATCTACTTTTTTGTTTATTTTTATTTAATTTTTCACAAAAATTAACAACATAATAAAATTTAGGGCTATATACATACATTACAATTCTAAACAATCTTTGCGAGGGAAAATGTTGGTCTCATATGCATTTTATTATTTTCTCTATTATCTCTTTTTTTTTAACTTTTTCTCTATTTTTTATAGAATAAAATCTTAAATTTTGTTATCTATATTAAGGGTTTGCATCATTTCATTTTTTGCATATAATGTGTAGTGTAAATAAACAATCATTGTTTATTTATAGTTTCCAATTTTGCTACACTATTAGTTCATTTAATCTTCATGACTGATTAGCTAAATATGTTTATTTATGCCTAATATTTTTTTTAACAAATCATTAAGGTAATATTAGAGAAAGTTGGATATCTCAACATTTTATATTAAACATATTTTAAATAAACGTGTAACAAATATTATATGCTTTTCTATATTAAATTCTTGGGTTCTTTATTGTAGATACTAAATAGAAATCAATTGGTTAACAATAGTGAACATTTAACAACTTTTATATCACATTTGTCACTAATATGAAAAAATACTTAACAAAGTGAACAGACTGCATGTACTGTGCTTGCTTCAAGAACTTTCAAGAGATCCAAGGACCTTTTTTCCTTTATGATTACATAATTTCAACAATTCAAGATATTCAAACCAAAAGAAAAACCATTAATAATTTGAAAGAATCATTATGATAGACCAGAGCTGTGGGAGCTCTTTGTATTTCTTTTCAAATTCAAGTCATCACACTACTATTATTCATGTGAAGGTGGTGTCCTCTAGCTTCCGAGCTTCTAGGCTGCCTGTGTTGTACCCTAAAGCATCTAACATGACTGATTGTACTTCTTTATAACATTGAAAATTAATTTTTTTTCTATAATTTCTCTTGACATTACAGCCAATTTCACCTGATATTACGTAAAAAAAAATTATACGGAACCCGCCCATAATGGTACGATAGACATTTCACATAATTTTACTGTATCTTATCTCATTATCTGTACATACATTATATATTGAGGCACTAATATGTTGATGTAGGTTAGTGACCCACATCACTATAATGACTCATATGATGGTAATGCAAATACAGCATTTTATGTTGGTACAGTAGTGCTAAGCAGTCACGTAACATGTATTTAATCAATCGGTCATAATTAAAGTAATTCAATTTTGTTTGAGAGATGTATGGGCACGTATGGGTATAGTTGGTATCATTTTCGAACGTCAATATAAAAGAAACTAATCTAATTATACCATCATGTAGTTCGTTATCAGAATTGAGGTAATAATATAAATTTTCTGAACTCAAGTGTTTAAAATTTTATATCTATGTACAGAATTGTCGGATTGTAAATTATTTTTTTATTAAATAATTATTACTATTATACTATTTGACATACATATATTCGATATGATTCAATCCATTCAATAATTCAAAACTACGTGATACCATGATAAACCCTACGAGATTTTTGGGTACTGCACATAATTGTACTGTAAATCGAATAAATATATTGTTTAAATAATAAATAAATAATCACGTCTACTACTGACCCGAACAAAGCGAAATTCTACTACTACAGTACTACTAGCTTGTAATAATATGTAATACAAAATCACAATATAGATAAGATTGCATTGTAGCATCTAATATGAATATATTGGTGATACAAATTTGATAAAACATAACTGGCAACATAAAAATATATAAGTGACTTAGACTTACTTACACTGGCCACTATTTACTACTGTTTCATATATATGAACATAGGAATATGTACAGTGTAACAATTGTATTTTAAACATTTTAAAAAACAATCTATTATAGCTTTTATGCTTCACCATCAGACTCTAGGCACAGCACAGGGTTATAGTTTTTGTCAAGAATAACTAGATTTCCGGGCTTAGCAGGCGGGTTGGCAACAGCAGTTAAGCTTTTTGTTATGTTTTAAGAGGAATGCTATTGTCCATTCGTCGACCATTGTTTCCTTGATCGCCTCATATGACGCCCACAGGAAAGGAAGGAGTGGCCAATTTTATGCCGTTATCACATGGCATTGGTTATTTATTACTCGTTATAAATATATTGCTTTACATTTTTTTTTTTCTTATTTACAGTCAGCTGAAGTATATACGATGGTAAAAAAAGATCTGGACGAAATAGGGAGCGCAGTCAAGAGCGAAGCTAACCATGTATTCAGTACCACATCTAATGTCATTGGCAAAACGTTCAAGGTATATCTCATACTGCTAAAAAAAATAATCTTTTAATTTAGAACGCAACGCGATTACTGGTAAATTTAATTATGTGTAAATAACAGATATGTTTAAATAAAAAAATGGCCGTACAATACGGTTAACAAATGACTAACGAAGATAGACTTTTTTTTTTTTTATGAAATGCATCGTATTCATAATAACAACATATATCTGTAAGATTTTATGCATTTATTGTCGTGTATATTGAATAAGTAATTCATTATTATTTTTCTTTTTTATTCTAGTTGGATGTACCTGAATCCCCCGCAAACGTAATGAAGAAAAGCTTTAGTACTTTCATTGGTGAGTTTTTAAAATATACAAGCAATTTTTAATTACATAAATTTAAATGCATCAAAATTATGATTGTTCCTTACACTGGCAGTACTATGCATTCCTCGTATTTTGTCGATGCCTAAATCTAAGATGTTTCTTTTGTCAGAGATTGTTTATTCTCTACTTTATCCTTCATACCTTTCGATACTTCATGGACCGTCTGCTTGCAGGTCAAATGAGCACAGTGTTGAATCCAGAACCGGATGATGACGATGACACTGAGGTCATCCTGTCCTCTGGAGACACTACCATGCTCACTACATACAAGGTAAGCATTTTTAACTTTTCTTTTATGAGAAGTACCATGTTGTTCATGTTTAGATATAGGCGATAGTTGCTACTTTTCACAGAGAATTATCTATGGGGCTAGGGGTAGGTATGGCGTTTAATGTTGTGTAAAATATTTCAAATTTACAATTTTTTTTTTAATTCATCCAATCAATATTTATTTTATTGAATTTAATTAGGTGCTATTTAGCAGAAGTTGTTATATTTTGTTTTTTCATGTTTACGATTAATTACAATTATTTAAATCCGCATGCGCATGCGCGTGAATACAATTTTACACGGGGTTTTCAATGGACTACTATCCTACTTATATTATTAAATTTCTTATACATAATTACTACAAAAAAGTATAACGATACTTACATATTTGTTTCTCAATCACACTGATTCACTCTAACGAAGCTCCTAACAATGATTTACTAAACAATACAATTTTAATCAACTAACCACATAACCATTGACATGACTGCCTATATTCTGACATGCCTTTACTCTGCCTACAGAAAGAACTAGAAGCCCTCCAAAGAGTGGACGCCACATTCATAGTGCCAGCGTGCACGCCCGAGTTCGAAGCGTGGCGATCAAGTCTCGAGAGCACAGAGTACGGAGTGATATCCAACGCCACAGCGGTGCGTCGTCTCGAAGCCAGCCCCGTGTTGAAGGCTCAATATGAGAAACTTGTGCCGGACGCGGTCACACACGACGAGTTTTGGGAGAGGTATGATTGTTATTCAAATATTTTGATCAGGTAAACAGCCATCTTAGTACATACAGGAGCTTACCAGATAGATGTTATTCTTTCCAAATAATTAAATAAACACTTTTTGTCAAAATATATTTTTTTCCTTTACGTAATAATTATTACAAGCTTTAAAAAACTTACTAAAATAGTTTTACCGTTTTCGTGACGATCGATTGAGCCATTAAAGTGCCAATAAGTAACAAACAAATTCACTTTCATTTTTATATTAATACAGATTATTTGGGAACACCTCTACATAGATACTTAAGTGCTGCAAGTTCCAGTCTTGTGCCGTCAGATGATAAAATTTTTCAGCATAATCTTAATATATAAAAATCCCGCGTCACGATGTCCGTTAACGCTAAAGTACAAAATCGTTCAACAACAAGATTTCAATAGAATTTTTGTGATTTTTATTTAACTGAAAAAAATGGAGCCTATAGATGGCGGTAGAGGCAAAACGTTTACCAGGTCAGCTGTTTTCTTAACAATATAACATTATATTTCTAATTATAAATGTATTTAAATTCTCAGATACCTGTTCCGGGTGGCTTTACTGCAAGACCGCCTGGCGGCTGCGGCTCGCAAGCAGCCGTTAGAGGAGCCCACTGCGGACCCCGTACTCGCCCATCTACCCTTGCAAACTCCCATACAACAGTGAGTATTGTACAAATTAACGGAACAGTCATTCAAAACTTAACATATATTTATTACACCTTACTAAAAATCCTTGAATTAGCCACATTACTAAAAAAATACCTTTCTTCCCGGGAAAGGGAATTAGCAACTTCATTACTAATAATATACTCTATCAAGTCTACTTCCATACAAGATTCCCCCTGGAAACCTATGAATTTATCACGATAGGCTAACTGACTTACTTTCATCCTCTCTCATCATATCACTGATATGGGATTACCATTCCATTTGCTTCCATTAAAAAAAAATTTAAATTTTCAAGTTACAATTTTTTTATGTCACACAAAATATTTTTTAATCTGACCTAATTATGTCTAACATGGGAATGAAATCGATTGAATCGAATTATAAAAAGAATTGTGTAAATCGGTTTAGTGTTTGCAATTGAGATTGTCTAATCTACATAATTCTGAAATACAATTGACACTTGTAAACATTTATACATTACTCCTGGTCGTGACGGTCTTGTGGATAGGATTGCTAGCAATACCTTAAGTCCCATGTTCGTAACAGACGATATCCTCCTTTAGTGGATGCTGCTGTCTTCATATCGTAGGTACATTATTATATCCAATATGTTTGTTCCATATGACCTTTCATACCCAATCCTGAGACAGTAAGGACATTTTATGTATTTTTATAATTTATAACACTGAAGTGTTTACATTTTTTTCATCTAAAGTGCAAATAATAGTCAGAAAATTTGAAAATCTATACTTTTATATTTTCAAAGCTCATTGTATATTTACTAATTACATAACTATTTGCTGACCTCTAGGAGTCCAAAAAAGGTACTGTCGGGCCTGGACAACGATACTGCATGCGAGGGTTCCGATGTGGACAATGTGGTCGCTTGGGAGGATGGTGAGTAGAATGTGTCCTAACTACGAAACGTTACATACTTGTCCAAACCATGTTAATGAAATTCATCAAATTTTTAAACATTAAAAATATTATTTAATAATTAAAATGCTGTCTATTTTTCATCCCAGTCCAATTCTTATTTTGAACAAAAATTGAAGCTAATTATGCAGAAAACAGCCAACTCTTAATAAATATCTATAATCGGACTGTTTTTTGCATACATAATTGTTATAGAAGATATAAAAATCATACTTTGATATTTTCCGTTATTATTGAAAAACATGTATATTTTTTATGGAACATTGAATGGCAAACAAGTTAACGATCCACATGATAAATTTCCTTTTAATTTCCATTCTAAAAGGCAAAAAATAAAATCAGATTCTTAGATAGTACCACTCTATCCGCAGAAGATTTTGCAAACGATGTCGAACTCACAGAAGAACAACAAACATTACTCCTAGAGGAATACGAAAAGGAGATTGCGTCCAAAAAAACTATGAAACAAACGTCCCCACGAGATATAGCCAATAATAACGCGGAGATAAAAACAAAAACACAAACCAGAGACAAAATGAACAATAAACAAATAATAGAAAAGAAAAATGGCGCCTCACCTAAAAAAAATAAAGCTGATGATTGCGGTAATAATATAGTTGAAGATTATTTCGCGGATAAAGAAGTGAAAGATGATGCCAGCGCGAATTCAGACGAAAGCTGGGAGAAAGAATTTGAAATTGAGGATGTAGAGCAAAAAGCCTGAACGTCAATTTCCGGCCATAGACAAACTTTTGAACGCCATTACAGAGATCATTTCGTAACATGTTAGTCATTGCTTATTTAAGACTTGCAAATTAAAAAATATGTAACCTAACTGACACTATATAACAACTACCTATTAATTGTGTCTATTACGAAAACTAATAATTCCTAAAAATGCAATAGAAGTCATTGTGCTCTATCAGTGTAACTGAAACGTATATTTCAATGAAACATGATGTTAAAAACGACAAAAGATTTTAAACTCATACTGACTCGACCAATGTTTTTCAAGAAATATGTAAAATTTCATTGGTGGATAGATCACTGAAGGGATGCTAATGATTTAAACTTTATACTGTATAGTTTATGGCAACACTGATTAATCTGTCACTATATTATTTGTTTACTTATGACGAAATGTCTTAAATAAAAATAAACCTATCGTAATGGCGTCCAAAAGATCATTAAAAGTATTATAAATGAATTTCGAATTATAAATAACGTCGGCCACGCGACTCAATAGTACTGATTATGCCTTACTCTATAAAATTATGGCATCAATATATTGTATACTTATATTCGCTTAGTGTATAAATTTAGTAACCTTGAATGGCTAAGAATAATAAATCATATAGATTTTTATATTAGAGATATTAGAACAAAGGTTCTTAATACATTTTTATGCAAATATTTGGATAGCTATAGCTTTTTCAAAACTAGAAGGTTAAAAAAGGTATGATAGAAGGATCAAGATCTTGAAAGTTTTGTCCTTCTAATTATTACTACTTTGCTTGTGAGATATGGAAAATCTTACTTTTGAAATATAAAATTGCAGTTCTTTACATTTTAACGGTAGTCACTTACCACCAGGTAAGCCGCATGCTCGTTAGCCCCCTGTGTTGTAAAAAAAAAAATAGAGAAATTTTATTGATCTTGTAATATTCTTAAACATTTGAAGGTTACTAAAACAATCATCGTCGTAAAGCCGGTGTTATATTCTGTAGATCTGTGAATATAAATCTGCCATCCGTGATGTCAGTCTAAATAAAGAAAACAAATTTGTTAGAAAATCATCTTTATAATTATTTCTATATTATTATCGTTGCTTCAGTGATAGGGCTGTGTGTAGGTTCAATAAAATTTCGGTATATAAAAATATTCTCTTCATTTAAGAGCTTCCTCTTGTCAGTGCAAATAATTCATGCATTTTCCTCCAGCTACCTCTATCCCATGCCATATCTTTGACCTCCCTATATGACGTGACATGATACCTAGTGTATCCTTTACTACGCCCCCCCCCCCCACACACACCATACCACCACCATAGACTCAGAAATATTCTATACATTAGTTTGTATAAAACGTAAAATACAACAGGCCCTTTTGACTACGTGATTATGTGTATGAGCAGTTATATTCGATTACAGTAATGTAATTCCGGCTTTAAGCGAATAGCGAAAAATTAATATTTGCTGACTGCATAGCATATGAATAATATATCTGGCAAGTTGGTAAGAAAAAGTACTTAAAATCTGTAAAGTATTAGTATTTTCATTCTGTTAATGCCAATTTTTATTCGATACGAAACTATGACGTTCTTATTTGATAGTAATTAAACCCATAATTGTAATTTTTAAAGAAATTACACCATGATCATTTGACGTCTCTTTCTTACCAACTTTCCATCTCTTATGGCGTTTAATACAATTATATAGAAACGATAGCGTGACGACTGACGTGCTGTTGATATATAAGAATTACGTATAACATAATGTAAGTGCACATACAGCTGAGTTATTCCTTTAAAAGACCCTTCTCATTTAATGCATTTATTTTTATTTTTTTCTTTACGAAAATTGAATTTTTTACAAATTATATTGAGTACTGACCTTGTATTTTGACATTACGAAGTGAAAACTAATTGTAATCAGTTTCAATGTAACATAAGAGGCAAAAGAAATATACATCATTTGCTTTTAAAGAGATTATGAAGAAATCTAATTTAATATAAAACTCATCTCGCTTATTTTTACTTCATTTCATCTAACAGACGAAAATTTCCTATGGCAAATTGTTCTGTTACAAATTAGGTATTGACTTCTCGGGAAACCTAATAATTATCAGTAAATACTGTGAGTATAAACTGATTGGTTAAAATTATTTCTTAAAAAATTGTAAACTAACCAAATACTCGTGCAATGATTAAAAAAAATTGTTATATTATCGATTTGTGTGATCCACCGTATCGGAAAAATATCTCTGAAAGAACGCTTTTAAACTATTTTTAGTATTTCATTGAAACGTGAACGAAATTGAATAATATCTCTGCCAATGTACACTTTTAAATATTTTGGCTATAAAAAAGTTTTCATATAAATTGTATACGATAATAGTATAAAACCCTTATTCTATAATTTATTTTTATTTAATAAAACAAGTTTTAATGTTACAAAAAGATGTCATTCCTATTTTTGCACAAATCCTTATAATTATATTCAATTTGATATAATTTTTGTTGTTAGATCCATATCAAATATCCCATTTATTTATCTATATACTATATTATCGACTATTTGCTTATATCTGTGGTATACAATAAACTACTTATGTATTTACCTCCTTATTCATAAGAACTAAGACCTACAAATCTACTTTATTACACTCTTTTGTCACTTTATTTAAAATTGGGAATTTAGTGTAAAAGAAAGAATAGTGCAATAGCTTTAAAGGTTTATGAGAAGTTTGACGTTTTTATGGACAATGGATTACTGTGCATCACAGATATAAATAAATAGTATAATTATTACATACCTGTATAATGAGTAATGGAATCAGCAAAGCAACATTTCTTTATATACGAGTATATAATGAGTCGCAATAAAAACTACTAACATTCTCCACTTTATTTAATTAATTAATTAACATGATGTCAAAATATTTAAATAATTAATTAACATGATGTTAAAATATTTAATTAATTAATTAACATGATGTTAAATGATTAATTAATTAATTAACGGTTATATTATAACACAATATTGACACGGAGATGTGGTACAATAACATGTAAAGTGTGATATCCATAAGATAGTTTTATTTTTCGATATAGCCGTAAGTAGTGTATAGTGAAAATTTTTCAGCTTTCTATCAATGCATAGCTGCGACAGCGGTGAAAAATGTTTAAGTATAATGTCGGTACATTAATAGCAAATACATTTTGTACAATAAAATGTATTGCAACTCTGAAACCAATAATATGGATAATGATTATTGTTATAATAAAAAATTTAATTTGTAGTCGTTTTTAGTTAATAAATATAAAATATATTTTAAATATTATTGGCATATATTGAAAATAAATTAGCGTAAAAACCGTATTAATGATACTCGATTTTTTTTTACTTATGAAATTATGCATATTACCAACGATGAAACCGATGCGGCAAAATTTATTAAAAAAAGAGTTCATTATTATGTATGTGATTCTGTTTGAAGGGTGGGATATGGCAGTGAATTTACAGGGTATAGAGGAATAACACCTAAGTCCTCAGGAATGGCAACGTATAGGGGGTACGTCATGGGAGAAACAGTATTCTCTGTTATGTCCATGGTACTGCTGATGTCTATAAGCGATATTACTACTTTCCATCTGGTGTGCCGTCAGCTCGTTTGCCATTCTAAGTTACATAAAAAAAAAAACAAGTCGAAACTAAGAATTAGTCATGTTATTGGGTTCAGATTGTTCCTTTAGGATGATTATATTACTTGCAATTTTTGTATTTTACTTTATTATATAAGTCAAATGATCGGTCAAGTTGTTTGTATCAAGTTGACATTAGGTTTCGTTATGTTTGTGTAAATTATAATTATTATGAATATGAATAAAAGTTATTAAAAATTGTAATTGTTGTTTTTTATTTTTAATTTTAAGTTGCCACGCTTGGCAGGCGGATTTGAAACCGCAGTTAGGCTTTGGAAATGTACAAGGGACGCTGCTGCCCATCCCTCGCACTCCCTTAGTCGCCTCTGTGGCCTTTTCTATGCCGAGACCGATACGGCGAACCTTATATGAATAATGAAAAACAATATTGTAATATTTTATATCAGACTTTTCTACAAAAAATAAAATAATTATATTATAATTATTTATATCGGCTTTTCTCGCGTATTTTTCTGGGTTGCTGTACTATTTTCGAACTCAGTGGAATTATGACCACGGTTTACGGCTGTGTCGCGAGCAGCACGGCCAACCACGAAGTTATAAATAATTATAATACAGTATAAAACTCTCGATAGTTTTCAATAAGAAGTTTTACAGTTATAAATTCTATACAACTAAGCGTGTTTCGGTGGCTCCGGCATCAATATCTTGGCTGGTAATTGGCCCTGTTGATGTGGGTAAAATAGATTCGGTGCACCCTGCTGCAAGTCATTGGGGGTGTCGCCTGATTGTGGGTACGGATGATGAGGTGGGATGCCCATCCATTGTGGATACCAGTATAAACCCTGAGGATATTAAAGTATGTAAAGAAAGACTGATGTACTAATTCTACATTATTGGATTAAAATTATATCTTTTGGTGTGTGTATCTTTAGAGTATTTTGTGAACTATAAAAAGTATCTCTCTTATCTGACAGGACTCAATTCTGGGAATAAAAGTTAACAGCCCAGAAAAAAAAACGATAAACAATGTAAAGGAAGAGTAATCTTGCAGGAAAACACTATATTGCGGTACTTATACACAAAGTTAGGAAAAATAGCACTATACCAAAGATACATCATAGATAAAGGGATTGTTAATAGTGGGGTCTAACTGCCCCATTGCTAGAAATACAACCTATCTGGTCGACCTCCACGCGGTTCCCTCTCAAAACCATCTTGGTTAATTCTAGTGGAATTCGTCACGATGGGCTAACTGACCTGCTTTCATCGTCACCTATCATCCAACACTGGTGCCCGAACAACGTATACCGATAGCGCGTGCGGGGTTACCATTTCATTATCATCTATTAAAAAAATATCAATGGTTGTGAGCAAACAGATTGTTACTAATGAAATCTGACAGGGCCATTGCTTACAATATAACCTTAACCTCCACGCAGTTCCCCCTGAAAACCATCGTGGTAAATTTTTGATGAATTCATCACGATGGGCCAACTGACCTGGTTTTATCCTCATCTAACACCAACCACTAGTGCCCCGCCAGCGTATACCGATAGCGCAGGCGGGGTTACCATTCCATTTTCATCCACTTAAAAAATATCAATGGTCATTAATGTAAAGACGCTTAAAAAATAAAAAATATGAATTTTAAATATTAGACGCGTCTTCTCTCTGGTGTTACTGGAAATCATAACAACTTGGAGTAATTTTAATAGTGTGTCCAAAAATATTAACAATACTTTATTACTTTACCTTATTTCCAGAACCTTGACAGGTGTAACGATACTCGTTGACAGTAAGTGGATCCAAATAACTGACCCCCGCGATTGAGCCATAGTTGGGCGGGAACATAAACCAACAGCCATCCAATGTATCTACACAAAATATTGAAGATCTAATAAAGTCGTAAAGTTTGAATAGATAATTAAACTGCATCGTACTTGTATAGTTTGCTCGTCTAACAATTTCGATTTTTCTTAAATTTTAAATAAGTAGTTATATATTAAAAAAAATACTATTATTATTATATCAGCCTTTAATTATTCACCGCTGAACATAGATACTCCCCCCCCCCCCCTATTTGGGGTTTTGCCAGTAATTGCCGCGCTTGGCAGACGAGTTAGCAACCGCATTTAGCTTTTGGTAATGTTTTAAAAGGGTCGCTGCTGTCCCGTCCTTCGATCATTATGTTCTTTTAGTTGCTTCTTAGTACACCAACGGTAAAGGAAAGGGTGGCCTATTCTATGTCGGGATCACAGGCTGTAAATTTTTATACATATATGTTATTCTATATTTTAAAATTATTCATTTTCAATAAAACGAAGTATTAATGTTTCTTCAGGATCAGCAACACGCACGTGACACCCCTAGTTTTGTAGGCGTCCATAGGCTACAGTGACCTTTTACCATCAGACGAACTATATGTTTGTTTGCTACCTTCGTTGTATAAAGTTGTATAAAGAAAATAATGATAAAAATTGTATAAAAAAAACTCTGTTTCTGTTCAGCGTACTGCCTTTTTGTCATAGATCAGGAATTACGGTTACACTTTCGTAATGACAATGGTTCGCTCCACTTTAATCTAGCCCAAACACATTTTCAGTATTTTTTTACACAATCACACCAATCGTTGAGCCCTCAAGCTAGGATTCCCTTTGTTATAAGGAACCAGACAACAAACATCTGAGGACATAACCCAAAACACCAAACACGTGTCAATACAGAAAAATTCATTTTCTAAATTAGCCCGGAAACGATACAATAGAAAAGCAAACTTATTGGTAAAGAGATGGGCGGCATTGTCTCTCTTAAAATATTACTAAGAGCCTAACTACGGTTGCCCATTCGCCTGCCAAGCGTGGCAACTAGTGGCAAAATTCCCCTTATGGGGAAACCTATGTTCAGCAAATGACAGTTAACGGCAGATATAATAATAGTAAAAATTAACTCGACTGGGAATCGAATGCGAAACCTTATTTACACAAACCGAACCCAGCGCGTAGTCAATTGAAATTTTAATAAAATTAATTGTAACTTACACGTAACATTGCTCTCAATAGTTCCCGGTTCTGTGGTGGAGAATGGCATCTCTGTCGTTTGCTCCAGGAATGGTGGAATAGGAGATAGGCCCGTCCCTGGATCTCCCGGGATTACGAATGGACCTATTCAGTCATCCAATTAATAGGTTATATCTAAGCGGAACGCAAGTAGTAAAAAGTAATGGTTTGACGTGAATTATATTTTTTATACCACTGTGGTGACAAGCATACGGCCCACGTGATGTTCAGCGGTTATCGTAGCCTATAAACGCCTGCAATACTAGGGGCATTACGCGCGCGTTACCGATCCTGAAGAAACCTTAGTCCTTTTTTGAATAACTCCATACTGCATTCTATAGACCAGGGATTCCTAAACTTTTAATTTAATATACTTGTATAGTGTATAAATCTATATATAATATAAAAAATTTGTAATCGCCATTTTTTTCTCAAAAATTATATTACCTTTAGAAAAACAAGAAATAAGCAATTGAAAATTTGTTTTACTGTCTATTTATGACGCCATCACAAGAAAATGGCTTAACAGATGATGGTAAAAAATTTCTGCATTTTTTATACGACTGTGGTGGCAGATGAACATATGGTCCTTATGGCAAAAGGACCAGGCAGTTGGTTAACAGTGCCCTGGATACTGTAAACCTTCAAGAAACGGTATCAAGCTACTCTTGAAGAATACTTATACTAATCTTAATAATACAATAGTTTATTGGGAAAATTTCGGTTTCTTTTTATGACACAAGGGTCAAACGAGCATGCAGCTCACCTGATGATGATGGTAAGTAACTACCGCCGCCCATGATCACCCGCAACATCAAAGGCTTTGCAGGTATGCTGCCAGCCTAACCTCGGTAGAGAAGTCCTAAACCTAAACAGCTATGAAAGAAAACTCCTCTAAAACAGCCGTATTTAAAGGAAGAGAGAGGTGTTCCTACTTCAGAATTATCTGATATATATGTACCTCAGGAAATGACGAGATTTTTAACTCTGCGCAAAGACATGACTGAGAATACATATTTTGCCTTTTTAAGAGGCCAGAATCCTCCTGAAATATAACCTTAAATACGCCACTGAACTGAAACAATTCTATCTAAAATGTAATTTAAATAGATAGACATGCCTCCATAAAAGTTTGTGTTGTTCCACTCGCAAACATGATGGTCGCACACTAGCGGAGAATGACATTCTTTAGTATAAAAGGTATGCCCATTGGGCAGTGTCTGAAAATATTAAATAAAGTATAAATGTGAAAGTAAATTTGTTAAAATTCCCATGAAATGTGGTGTACACATACTATATGGCATGGAGAAGGTTATGTGCTAATTCTTATCCCGGTTAATAAACATATCCCAGTCAAGCGGACGAAGTTACGGATAAAAGCTAGTTAATAATAAATTAATCAGACATTCGCACTAGCGATCTGTTTCTCAAACTGTAAGACCCGGTTTTATTCCATCAGATATCAACGGGAAAGAAAGATATGGCCCATTCTATGCACTATGGAACCTGCACGGTGACACAATTGAAAACTAGTTACAAATAAATATTGAAATTGAAAAACACTTACCAATAAATAGTCATAATGCCTGTACCTTATACCCTGAATATTAAAGTCGAGTATGAAAGAGCCTGAAGTGATTATGCAAGAAGCAGCGGTCAATGGAGGCAATTTGTACATGTCTGTTCCACATTTTACTATAGCTTTAGGCAGAGTGGCCACATCACGTATATGCTGCAAGTTCTTTTTGAATGGAAATCTGTAAATTATTACTAATATTATTGCTTTAACCGTGTAGGTCCTGGCAAAAAATAGGTCACCACTTCCTTTCCCGAGGGTGTCGTAGGAGGCGATTAAGAGAGCTTATAGTGGATGCATGGGAAGCAGCGTCCCTCTTAAAATATAACCAAAAACGATGGCTCAACATAATTATGTGACTTGGCTATGTATGTTTAATAAATTAATCTGTATTTTTTAAATAAATGCTTAAACGAAAAGAGGGTTATAATTTCATTCTCATCAAGTCACATACCTTCACTACATTTTCATTGCACTTTAAAACATTTCAATAGTTACTTACCTGAAAATGCACAGTCCTAGATGACATTCTAGTCCATGTAAAAAGTTGTCCATCTGAAAAGCTATGCTAGGATCCTCTTCTAGAAAATAGTGTTTGTCGTCCATTAGGTGAACAAAGCCCAAAAAGTGGAAAGACCGTCCCCTACAGTAAGGCGCTGGCCCCCGGCCCATATTGTAAATATCACTATATAATTCTGATATAAAAATGTATACATTCTTGCCGCAATAGTATTCTGCAAGAAAAGTATTTCATCTATAAAAAAAAATATAAAAAATTTGCATATTAGATTGAGGACTTTTAATGAACCTAATGAAATGGCAACCCCGCCTGTACTATTTGCTATCGATATATGCTGACGGGGCTCCAATGAAGATTGATGGATGAGGATGAAAGCTGGTCAAATTCGTTAAGAATTAACGGCGATGGTTTCCTAAGGGGTCTGTGTGGAAATCGACCTGACAGTACCCTGTCTATTGTTAGTAATAATACTCGTAGTATTACTGAATCCCTTATCCCTCGCATTCAGATGTATTCAACATATTTTTCTCACTGGTACCCCGTCAGCGTATACCGATAGCGCCGACGGGGTTACCATTTAATTATCACCCATTAAAGAAAAAACTACAGTCCTATAACAAAACTGCTAATATGCTAACAATAGAAATCTAAACTCTATCAGATATAAAAAAAAACAACTGGATTGAAATACATAACACACACGGACACACCCAAGGCTTTAGGCGAAAAAAAAAACAAATTTAATTGGTTGTTTAGTATTTAGATTACAAAAATTGTCTATCATTAATTTACAACCAATACTGCATGTGTCGAAGTCATTCGAAAAAAAAGATTCCTACGAAAACGAATATTTGTTACCTTCACTAAGATAAAATTCCGATGGCACCGCACCCCCTCCAGCCGAGTTGTATGTAGCCACCCTTTCTGTTTTTATAGCGTTATGATTGTCATACATTGTCAGCATGTTGTCTATGGCGTCCTCCAATGCTATTAACAAAACCTAAAATGTATAAATAATAAATAATTTTTATTTATACTAATATTTACCGTGTGGTCCCAGCATAGCCATTCTATGCTACTAAGCTGTGGGTTTCCTGTGAATGACGCAAAAGGCAATTAAGAGTACCTAATGATCGAAAGATGAGCAGCAGAATTCCACTTAAAACATCACCAAAAACTGCCAATCCATCTGCCAAGCGTAGCAATTGCTAGCTAAATTCCCTTATGGAGAAGGCCTGTGTTTAGCACTGGACAGTTAATGGATGATATGATGATGATAATGATACTAATATTATAAACAGAAAAGATTTTATTGTTTGTTTGTAATGAATAAATTGAAAAACCACTCAACTGATTTTAAAAATCTTTTACCTATAGTAAGCTGCATCATATCATAAATCAACGAGTAACATAGCCTATGTACATAATTATTTTCGAAAATTCTATCTACCCATACGAAGCCGGGCCGAATCACTAGTTATTTAATTATTAGAAATCAAGTGTAATTATTGTACTCGTATTTGTATCTATTTTTTTGCTCTATTCTTTTACTCTCATAAAGCAAATAAAGTATGCTCAGTACTGGCCTTAGGAGAGTCAGGCAGTGTCTGATCCCGCTGGTGCTGAAATCCAAGGTAACGCCAAAATCCAAAAGGGATGCCAAATAATATTATGAGATGTAAAAGAAGCGCGGGCTCGATGTGGAAGATATCAAAACGAATCATCAATAATAAAAAGCTCATCACCTTTTTTAGGAACCCAACCCAACAAATAGATATTGGACCCGACAGACCCGGCTTGAGAGAATGATGACTTCTTTTCCTTATCGGAGGACGGACGCCATCAAAAATTTGCCCAAAAGTACCGGGTCCACTAAGATCAGCTTTGAATATTCTCATTTATTCATGTGATCATAGGTCTGTGTTATTGAAAATGAGGTTAATGCTATTGAAGTTCAGCGATGCAAGTACTGTTGCTTATTGGCAGAAACCTATGTATATCAGCCGATTTCTGTAAGTGTTTCTGTGATAATTTCGATGACTTAGATATATTACCGAAACCTGACTATTACTACATCATCAAGGTTACCAAAATCCTTACTAAACTGTAAATGAAAAAAGCTAGTTTGATTATTTGTTACCTCTTGGCGCCAATCGCACCAATACTCAGCTTTACCAATTTGACACCCGTAGTACTTGGGATGTAGAGTCACGCGAACGAAGTCGCGAGTAAAAACTAGTATGTTATAATCTGTTACGTAACAAACCTTCAACTCCTTAATGTGCATGTTGATGAACCTCCCCAGGTGATCTGTTGCAATGTGAACATGCTCGTTTACGATATACTGAAACAATAATTTATTATTTTTACTTAGGTACATGATTATTATATAAACATTGCCGTGTGGTCCTTGTGGCCACCTCTTCCTTTCCCGAGGTGACTATGGAAACTTAATGGTCAAGGGATGGGCAGCAGCGTCCTTCTTAAAATACCACCAATGCCTAACTGCGATTGTCAACCCGCCCACCAAGCGTGGCAACTACTGGCAAATCCCCTTATAGGGGAAGTTCATTAGTGGACAGCTGATATTATTTATTTTTAAGGTATAAATTTATAGATATAATATTGTTCTATATATATATATATATATATATATATATATATATATATATATATATATATATATATATATATATATATATATATATATATATAGCAAACGAGGTTTTTTTTTAATGGATGAAAATGGAATGGTGCCTCGCCTGCGTCATCGGTATATACCAGCGGGGCATGATAGGTGAAGATGAAGCAGGTCAGTTGGACCGTCGTGATGAATTCATTAAAAATTAACTACGATGTTTTCCAAGGAGAACCGCATGGAGGTCGACCTGTTTTCTTTTTTTTGTGTATGAAAATGGAATGGTAACTCCGCCTGCGCTAATGGGATACGCTGGCGGAGCACCAGTGAAGGGTGATCGATGAGAATGAAAACAGGCCAGTTAGCCCATCATGATGAATTCATCAGGAATTAACCATGATAGTTTCCAGGGGGAACCACGTGGAGGTCGACCTGGTTGGGTATATTGCTAGTAATGGGATTTTTAGTCTCCATTACTAACAATCCCTTTCCCCCCAAGTCGACCTGTTAGGGCATATTACTAGTAATGGATCTGTTAGATTTTGTTACTAACAAACCCTGTTCCCTCTACGAACGAGGTTACCATACCTTTTCACCTTTAGTAAAAATAGGATACCTACCTGATCTGGTGCTCTCTTAATCTTCATCATTTCAATTTGATAGTGCGCTAAATGGTCCAACTTATCGGTGGGGTCGTGCCCATATATCTCATAAGCATCTATCACCATAGCCAACGTGAGGTTCTCACTTGGTTCTTGGCAACATGGGTGATTCCTTACGATATACGCATTCTGTAATCGAGTGATAATATTATTTGTAACATTATTAACCTTTCGACTCGTTGCAACGACGAGCTATGAGAGTTGTCGATGATCCCAGGCTCACAAGCGGTATCGAACTCTTAAGTCTTAGGAGAGATTTTGCCTCACTCTGCATGTTCTACGGCCTGTACAATGGATCGTGCTCAGAGGAATTGTTCAATATGATGCCCACAGCCACTTTCTACCATCGTACGGCTCGCCATCGACAGGGAGTCCATCCTCATGTCCTACAGCCTCAATGGTCGCGTACTGCGCGGTTTCAGAGATATTTCCTCCCACGAACACTCAGGTTGTGGAATGAGCTCCCTGCCGAGATTTTCCCAAGAGACTACAGTATGGGGTTCTTCAAAAGAGGGGTAAGAGGTTTCTTCAGGGTCGGCAACGCACGCGTAATACCTCTGTTATTGCAGGTGTTCATAGACTATGGTAACCACTTACCATCAGGTGGGCCGTATGCTTATTTGCCACCTCAGTAGTATAAAAAAAATTATAACCGAGTGATCCCGACATAAAATAATCCACCCCTTTCTTTCCCGTGGATGTGATAAGAAGCGACAAAGGGAACATAATGGTCGAGGGATGAGCAGCAGCGACCCTCTTAAAACATCACCAAGACTTAACTATGGTTGCCAACATGCCTACCAAGACTGACAACTACTGGCAAAAGCCTCCAATTGGGAAAGGCCTACGTTCTGCAGTGGATAGTTAAAAGCTGATATGATAAAAGCAACGAATATGGGTTACAACTGCATTTAAATATCTTTAAACTATGTATTTACGAAACATCTCAATGTACCTCAATGCCTTTTATTTCTTAGTATGATATTCCGAAGTCTTTCCAAAAGACTACGGTAAGGTATGGAGTTCTTCAAAAAGGGTGTATAGGTATTAAGGTTCCTTCAGGATTAGTAACGCGCACATGACACCCCTAGTGTTACAGGTGTCCATAAACTACAATCACCGTTTACCATCAGACGGGCTGTATGCTTTGCCACCTTCGTGAGATAAAAAAAAATAATTGGACTCTCAGCTTTTTCCGGATCAAAATCTACACGTATGATAAACAGAGGGCCTACTATGAAACGTTTTTCGAAATTTCGGAGCCAAACGAAACAGAAATTTGATGCTAAAATTGGATAATACATACCGTTTTAAAATATTAAAAAAGTTATAATATCCTTCCTTTGGTCTTTTATAGTAGGATTTATGACGAACGAAATGTTAAGCTCCATTTACTGGGTCGATTTGGGTATGAACAAAAATACGAAATTAAGTCCGAAAATTAAGAATTTCATTTCATGGTATCAAACTTACCGTTAATGGGGGGAAAGGGATTGTTAGCAATAGAGTTTAACAGCCTCATTGCTAGCAATATGCCTTATTAGGTCGACCTCCACGTGGTTCCCCCTAGAAACCATCGTGAACAATTCTTGTTGAATTCGTCACGATAGACTAACTGACCTGCTTCATCCTCACCTATCATCCTTCACTGGTGCCCTGCCAGTGCATACCGATAGCGCAGGCGGGGTTACCATTCCATTATCATCCATTAAAAAAAAAAACTTACCGTTAATGTATGCAAACATGAAATAAACACTAAATACAATCTTGATAAATAGCTACCCTTGTAGTACATGTCGGCTAATTTCCAGTTGCAGATTCCACAAACTATATTGTATTGGTGCTTGTTTACAACCAATTATTATAAATTGCTATTGTAACGGAGTTTATGGTCACCAATCACCAGTTTTATTATTTTTAATGCCTACGTAACTACATGTTAACGACCGTTTAAAGTAATAAAAAAATTAAAGCCTACACTTGTTTATATAGTTATAATACAATATTTATATACATGTCTTTTTAAAAATTTATAGATACTATATCTATGGAGAGGTTGCGAAGTAATAGATTGTCTTGATATGGTCATGTTATGCGCAGAAATGAAAGTCATGTTCTAAAAAATGTCAGCATCATTATCTTGGCCATTATCTGTCCACTGCTAAATATAGGCATCTCCCGTAGACTGCCATAAGGAACGGTCCTGAGCCATCTGCATCTACTGACTTCCTTTAATGTATTTGACGTCGTCAATCTATATAGTGAGGGGTCGCTCTACACCGCACGGTACAGGGTCGCCACTCAAGACCTTTCTTCCTCATCTGTTGGCAGTTCTTCGAGCTATGTGACCAGCTCATTGCCACTTCAGCTTGCTTATCTTTAAAGAAAGTGTTAAGTATAAAACTGGATATATGTAAAGAAAGATGATGACCGAAGAAAAGGTGGAAGGACTGTATGAAAGATGATATGCATAAAATAAAAGTGAGCTCGGAAATGACAGTTGACTGGATTTTGTAGAAGAAGATATACTACGCTGATCCCCAATAAATGGGAAAGAAAACAATTATTATATCTTGTAAGATTTGATTCACGGATTTTATCACAATTCAATCGTACCTAATATAGAACCAACAAAAATAATTATATATGAAAATAAAATAAAATTATAATTAAAAATAATTTTATATTAACAAAAGAAAATTATCAAAATAGGTTCAAAATTAACTATAAGCTACACACCAAAAAATACCATCGAATTAAGTTGAAATCGCTTAATATGAACTTTCTTTTTATGATACAGACGGTTATTAAAAATATAAACCAATGAAAGTACATACTTTTTCTAAGGAAACATGGAGTAAAAAACATAGGATAAAAATGTTGTGCTTCCCATACTAATACATATGTCGATTAACGTAACGATATACAATTATTTTTACACTTATTTTAAATTTATCCTGTATTTAAAAAATATATACCACTAGATACCATATAAGAATGTCATTTTTTGTTGGAAATTAAATTATATTAATCAAAAATAAAATATGCACTTCATTAAAAATATCTATTTAAGATAGTAATTATACCTTACAAGTATTATAATATTACTTGTAGGTACATGAATACCTACAAGAAAATTTATAATATACAGTTTATATGAATTATGTTTTACTTCATTGAAATAGTTCATAAAAAATTTAGATTGCTGAACAATTTTAGCTTATGTATTAATCGATAACGGTATTATTATTTAATACAATTTATAAATAAATATAAGAAAGCTCTAAAATTTCTAACTCGAATGTCAACAAATTGTGAAAAATTTATCAAAATTATTCTACAATTAAGACATTTCACAACTTAGTTGTTATTTCTGGTTTTAATCTGGTATAAGTAAGTAAAGTATAAGTAACAATTGCAAAAAACGATGATTATCTATATTTGCATTTAAAGGATATTACGTGTACCTAATCCTTTATTTATATAAATGAGCAAATTTTTAGTTCATTAATTATAAGACAAAAGTGGACATCACAGATCTGCGAGACCGCTTTCTAGAGTAAGTCATCACGATCCTATCATATCGATCGTTCCGCCGCGCATCCACCGCGCGCCGAACCCTCCCCGCCGATCACAAAACTGAGCCGAGCAGCTTTCGCACAAAAGAAAACCTAATTTAAAATGATAAAAGCCAGAAAAACACAAATGTGAAAAGAAATACATAAAGTGCAGTGAAGTGTGAGAGTGTTCACTCAATAAAATAAATACAAAACCTATTGACGCAAAAATGACCGAATAAATGAAAAAAAATCATGAAAATGGCTGTCCCAAAACCATTCGGCATATTATTACAATAATGTAATATCAAATCAACATAGCATAGTGTAAAGAAGTCTTCCAAATTAATATAAAATTTAAAATAATTAATATTAATAAGTATCATAATAATAATATATTGTAGCGTTATTGAAAATCGATGTCTTCCCGTGAACGTCAATTTTGAAGTGATAAGTTAATAATAATATATATTCAGATTATTAGAATTATAAATAAAACTAATTGGTTATTTTGTAATTGGTTATATCAACAATATTAAAAAAAGGATAAATTCACGAATATTGTGGTGTAATTCGTTTGTGATTTTAAAAAAATATTGTCGACAAAATGATAAACCTCGGCCGATTTAAGTTACCACCACTAAAGAATGCCCTGGATGTGGCTATGCAGACGGTTAGACAACAGATGCCTGATAAACCAGGCCCACCACCGCGACCTCCGCAAAACGTTAGATTCGCTAATCTAGGTAAGAATGTTTTTATTATATTATAATACCAATTGTATGTTTATGTTTACGTTATAGCTATATCTATAATAGTCACCAAAAAAATGCTTCCGATTACCCTTTTAAAGATTATTACCAAGAACAAATTTATTTGATTTTCCTCTTTATCCTGAGGCTTCTCCCGCGTAGATATGAATCAAAACTATCAATACGTTCTATTTTATTTACTAAATTTCATTGAAGCCTGTTCTGTTGTTTGCGGGTAATTTATTAATAAATGTCTGTATATCTTTAAAAAATTTAGAGATGAAATTGATGGAGTCGTTTCAAAATTTTCTATTTCAAAATAAACGTTTGTGTTATTCTATTTTAGCAAAATAATTCATAAAACTAATTATAAATTATAATAAATCCAAACAAATAAAGTAGGTCACAGATTTGGTTTTCGCTAGATGTCGCCACTGCTTGAACATTGAGTGTAAATTTTTGGTCCTAGAATAGACTTAACATTGTATTTGATTTCTATACTCACATATGTGATAGTATACGAGTACATTACATAACCTGTAAGGGCAAAGAAGCTGATTTCTAATAAAAAGTGATAACCCTAACCATATACATGATAATGAATGATATATCATGTATACGACAAACAACTCATAAACACAAAATTTTCTTAAAAGTTGTATTCAGAAGTAACTTTCTTTCGCCAATGTTAAATTGGAAATAATTACGAATAGTCACGAAAATAGGCCTGTAAGTAAAAATAGTCATATTAGGTATACATATTTTAACAGAACTAATTAAATTGTAATTAAGGCCAAAATTGGTAGATGATTGAGTCTGAAATACAAAGTACAGTATAAGTAGGAACATTGGGTATATTAACTATTTTAGCTTATTTTACCGGATTTACTTAATTTAAATCGAATTAAAGAAATGGTCAAAAATTATATGAGAAGAGTGAGTCTAAAATTCAAAGACATATAGCTAATTCCAATGCACAAAATCAATTTAAGAAATGAAATGATCCCATACTTATAGTTTTTATTTTTTCTATTTTAAAAATCATTTCAATATTTCTTATCACTCAGATATGGGTGAGAGCTGTGAGCTCTCCACCATGAACGAAACCACATCGCCAACGTATCAGTCTACTAATCCGACAAATCCGTTTCTAAGCGAAAATCTACAGGCTGAGGACTCCTTTACCAGTTATCAGAATACTTACCCTCAACAAGATGGCCAAGCACCAAGGTACGGTAAACTGTATACATTGTATAAAAACATGGCAAGTATACTCAAAGCCTAATCATAAATATGACTATTTCAGAACTCAAAGCATGCAAAGCGTCGACTTCTATGCATCTTCAGAAGAAGGCGGTTTTGAAGAAGGTGGCGGTAAACCTGGTGCAAAAATCAATGAATTCCAAGCAGCTTGGAACGTTACTAACGCTATTCAGGTAAAAATTGTCCCCAACGAAAATATTTCGAACAATAATTACTCTACAATTAAACCATGAAACTTTCCTTTACAGGGAATGTTCGTAGTATCTCTCCCGTTTGCCGTATTACAAGGCGGTTATTGGGCCATAGCTGCAATGATAGGCATTGCCCACATCTGTTGTTACACTGGGAAGATCCTCGTCGAATGCCTATACGAAGACGATCCTGTGTCTGGCCAACGCATCAGAGTCCGCGACTCCTATGTCAGCATTGCTAAAGAATGCTTTGGTAGAAAATACGGTGCTAGAATAGTCAATATTGCGCAAATCATTGAATTACTGATGACCTGTATTCTCTATGTAGTGGTCTGTGGTGATTTAATGATAGGGACTTTCCCTGATGGCTCTATTGATACTCGTTCTTGGATGATGCTGACGGGAATATTTCTGTTGCCTTTAGCATTTTTAAAATCATTGAAAAGCGTCAGCATGTTATCTTTTTGGTGTACAATGAGCCATTTGATCATAAATGCAATTGTTCTCGGTTATTGCATTCTTTATATCGGAGATTGGGGATGGTCAAAAGTGAAGTGGAGTTTGGATTTTGAAAACTTCCCAATAAGCTTGGGTGTTATCGTTTTCTCGTACACTTCTCAGATTTTTCTGCCAACATTAGAAGGCAATATGGAGGATCGGTCTCGATTTGAGTGGATGTTAAACTGGTCTCATATTGCAGCTGCAGCTTTCAAATCTATATTTGGGTATTTGTGTTTCTTAACCTTTCAAAATGACACTCAACAGGTTATTACTAATAATCTTCGCTCTGCTGGATTTAAGGGACTCGTTAATTTCTTTTTGGTTATCAAAGCTGTGTTGAGCTATCCATTGCCATACTACGCAGCGTGTGACTTGTTAGAACGCGCGCTATTTAGAGGTAAACCGAAGACCCTTTTTCCTGTAATTTACGCTTTGGACGGCGAATTAAAAGTTTGGGGTCTTGCTTGGAGACTGGGTGTGATAATGTTCACCATTTTGATGGCTATTTTCATTCCACATTTCGCTATATTGATGGGTTTTATCGGCAGTTTTACTGGTACAATGTTGAGTTTTATATGGCCAGCGTATTTTCATCTCAAATTGAAAGGCAACCAGTTAGAAAGTACGACTATTGCGTACGACTATTTCATTATAGGACTAGGTGTTCTGTTCGGTATTATAGGCATGTATGATTCTGGTTCAGCTCTCGTAAAAGCTTTCAAGATAGGCTTACCATTCTAACTTATCGCAGTAGTTTTAGGTAATTGTTGAACTATTTTTAGATATTATGCATACATTTTGAGATGATTATTTTGGCAGAAAGTGTAGTTGTTGCAATTTGTTCCACAAAAACATGACTTCAAGTTATTATACTTTGTATCATTTTAGTAAAATAACTAGTCAATAAAAATAAATGTTTTCATATGTTATAGATTTATCTATACAATTTTATTAAATGTATGATAATTAATTGTTTAATATAAATATTTATACAAAAAAAAAAACAAATATCACGGTCTTCCAAATTAGCATATTTTATGTTTTTGACGTATATATTATAACAACGAAGTCTTACATGAAATATACACATATGACTAAAACTTATAAGAAATTTACTTTGCTTGTAAAAATGTTGACTACGCATATGTTTGGAATATATTTACATACTTATTATTAAATAATGCTAGGCATTTATTGTAGGTATAAAATGTTACTGATCTCATGAATGACTCGGTTTCGTTTTACTATTAAATAAAAACATACAGAAATGATGATATCTAATTATAATGTATTACTAAAATTATATTGTATATTACTATGTCTGCATTATTTTCGTTTTTAATTGAAGTGTATTTTATTTACTTCGGCATTTTACTTATCGTGATGTCTAAAATAAAAAAAATATATAACGTATACCTATAGAAATTACTACTGAATACTCCATTTTCGAAGCTAATTATCGTTGTTGATTATAATAGAGTAATATATACATGTATAATACATGTTACTTAGATTAGTAACGTAATAGTAACAGTGAGAATGCGTGGAAATATGTAATCCCAGTGACGGATTTATACATTTGCCAGTAGGCTGTTCAAAACCCACCCTTACCTTCCTCTATTCGAAACCCGAGTTCACAAGCATTTCAATATATATATATATATATATATATATATATATATATATATATATATATATATATATATATATATATATATATATATTTAATAAAATTGCAACTTCATGATTACAAAATCAATTGCCCCAAATTTGCCACCTCTAAAATCTGCCGCCCTAGGCACCTACTCAGCCTGCTGGTAAATCCACCACTGTGTAATTTATTGACAATAAATGTTTGAAATTTTAGATATACAGTTAATATTATATTTAAGTATCAATTTTTTTAATTCACATATATGAGTGAATATAGATCACGTAATGTCTAGATGGAGCATAAAGGTTCAAATAGCATCCCAAAAAAAAGCTGATGCGTCGTTTTTCATAGCGTATAGAAATTTGAAAGTATAAAATATTCATAATACGAACATAAACAAAATGAAAATTTATGTAGTAAAAGACCTCAATTACAAATTTGTACCTAACGACAAATTGGTCCATTTTTAGAAAAAGTTGACCATTTTTGTCTAAGCATATGTATAGGGACACACACTATCTAAACTATATTAATCTATACAAGACACATCAAAATAAAGACTTTTACTTACATATGTTTTTCTTTAAGTTTGCTATAAGTAACAACTATAATTGGTGTCAAAAAATCTAATTTTTATAATTTATAATTTAATTATTTATTATTTACAATTGATAGCAAATCTACAATCAATGATCTATATATAGATAGATAGTGTCGTTGAGATTCTTCGCGTAAGTCATTTATTTGAGGTTTCCGTGTTATCTGAATGAACCTAATCTGAAACTACAACCTTAAGCGATTATCCAATATTTAAATTAATTGTTACAAAAATTTTATATAATATTCTCTATAAACTGCTCTCCTGTAAAGCGCCAAATTTTCTCTTGACGCGAACTTCAATGACTGCAAACACTTGCTAAATAGACGTCCTTCTACCTTTACTTAAGTAAAAAATATTTCTTTCTTTCCTATGATCATTTACTAGGGATGATTATTCGTTTCATTAAGTAGGCTTTTTTTATTTTAATAAATAAAAATATCTGTCTTCTAAAGTGATCTACATTTTTATATAAAACAAGAGATGAAAAAAAGTTATTGTACGATATGGCCTGGATTAGAGCTGGTTAGAAGAGAATGCATGAATTAGTTGCCCCGACAAAAGAGAACTCTTAAATGAGAAGAGAAAATGCGATATTTATTAATCATTTTGTTAAATAATTTATTAATGCGTGAATATCATATAATAATGGTGTAATATATTTATTGTAAAATATATATGTATTATCTTAATATATAATAATAATATACAACTTATTGATATAATAACAAAAAGAGATGTTTTTGTTATTATATTAGAGGGAAAGATTTAAAATTTAAATCAATAAACTATATATTAAAATTACCATTTTATTATGTGATTAATATAAAATAATGATGTTAACTGTATATCTAAAAAAATATAATGGGCTTCCAAAAGTTGATATTATATATAATGATAAAATATATCTACTTACTGAAATGAAATCTGAATTATTGAAATTTAATGTACCTATTCATAGATCTTCCATTTGATAACAAACAATAGCTTAAAAATATTTAGAAATGTATCCAAGTGCAATAATGTTGTATAAAATTATACTTAAAATACATGTAAAGTGATGAAATGAACAATTCTAGGTGTGTATTTTAAATAATATAAAGTGTTATGGGATATTTATGTTTTGTTTTAATCGCATCACCTTTTATTAATAATACAATTGAATTTAATTTATACATTATTAATTTCACACATTTTGTTATGCAGGATGTATTCGACATCATGGCTATTCTTTTAAAGGAATGTAATACGAATGAAAGTAAATATTTTCCTCAAAAAAATATAAATACGTAATCAAAATGCGAAATAAAAATGTAAATCTCTTCCAATATATTTAGTATGTAAAGCTCATTTTCCAACGCTTACCTTACACTTTATTAGTCTTTAACGAAAATATTAATACCCTAAACAGGTAAATAATTTTCATATAGTATGTATAGGCCTTAAAATTTAATAGCATATCAATTAATGTCTAGGATAAAGTTGCAATAAAAGTGCCAATTATACTAATTGACTCTCCCGCGCTAAGTTCTTTGGCAGTCGCCATGTTGCCAAAATGGACGCCTATATTCGCGCATGCGTGCTGTTCACATTATGTGTCAGCTGGGTTCACATAAGGGTACGAAATTTTAGCTTAACTATCAATAACATCAATATCAATAGATTAAAAACATCTAAATAAATAAAAATGAAACATCTAATAAATTAATTATTAAAATAATTAACTAAATTTACAACTAAATAATTATAAACATTTTTACACAGATTTCGTACTTATATCAGATATATTAATTAACCGAGATAAAAATGTAGGTACTTCTTCACCCCAAATTTTACACATATTACAAATATCACACAACAACTTTAATGATGAATGGTAACCATTAATATATCAAATAATAAACAAACTCGGTTATAGAGTTTAATATATTAGGACGTAAAGATTATTTATTCCTGAATCTATAGGCGTACAACATCCGGAACCATCCATGCTGTTTGGAACCCAACGAGAACTTGACTCTTGCTATGATCATAGATGCGTTTGAGATTTATGGCCACGATCCCACTGACAAACTGGACAATTTGTGGCTATACCAGAACGAAATGATGCGTATCAAGACCGCTGAAGACCAGGTACTAAAACTATTTCCTGATATACCAAGGGTATTTATCTATCAGATTGTGTTTCATAAAAAAAGTATTCAATTGTGGCAAAACCAGTTACCTATATTGATTTAAAACTACTGATCTGATATTAATAAAGTTTCTATGGAACCACTCTTTCAAATAAAAAAAAAAGAATTTCTCAAATCGATTTACTTACGGACTACGAATTTACAACTGACGGAGTTAAAATACTACTTTTTGTAATCGGTTGAAGAGACACATCAACGACCAACATTATGGTGATTCATGGTTTACAAATATTACTACTCGTGTTTTTTATGCAACTTAGAATGTCAGCGCCCTCTGACGACAACATTTTCTAGGCCATCATCATCACATACGAAGGCCTCTGACGTGACTTTCGAAGCACTAGGCAAGTGATAATGATGAAAACATGAGTTTGAAAAACTAAATCATTTCAAATTCATTATTATACTATTTTCAAATTCATGTTATCATTACTAGAATTTGATGTTAGAACTTCAAAACTGCAACAAGTGTTATTCGTCTGGGCTGCCTGTGTTAACAATATTAATAAATAGGTACGTAAAGTGACCCATGCAAATATTTTGCCGCTCCGGGCAGAAAACATCATTTATCACCGTTGTTATTGCCACTTATTTGGGCCCAAATATTGATCCCTTAGGCCATATAGGCCATATATAAATTTGTTCTGAAGTACAATCCCGTTATTGAATTATTTAAAGAAATTTCTTTTGCAGTACACAATTAACGAGCGAGTACATATAGCTACGGACCATCTTGCTCGATTCATAAAACTACATATTCAGGAATTAAAGGTAATTACAAGCTACATATGTCTCTCAGATCAAAATTGTCCTAACCTTATCATATAACCTACTACAAACCTATTTTAGCCATTACAGCGTTTAGCCACTTTCTCTCAAATTGAAAATTTGGTGCAATAGAAAAAGACAAAGCACTTCAATAACTAAGATAGATTTTTGTGGCCAATTCCTCTGGCATTGTTAACCTTATAACAAGTACTATTCAATATTATAAACCTAAACTGATTAAAAAGAAACTGCCCCCGTATTTATTATATATTTTAGTGAGTAATTATTTCAAAAGGTGCTCCTCATAACGCTGGATGACGTGATAGACAATATGCTGACTATGTACGAGAACCATAACTCGGTAGCGGCTGAAAGGAAAGCCACATACACCGGAGGGCCTGTCCCTATGGAATTTTACATGAGCCAAGGTAAAGACCATAATTTATAGATGTACATACTTTTACTATGAATCCAAGCCTCTTATTAAAAGTGTAATGCCACAATACAGATTCGAGAATTATTTAAACATGAATCTCTCTATTTGCCTACTACGAGAAGATTTTCCTTTATTCAGCACGATCCTGCATATATAGCATCTTAATTGTTACTCTAACAAGCCTCTAAAAAGCGTCAAATCATTTCGCTGAAGCACATCTTCTAGCTATTTTACCTTCACTTTTCTCAATACAAACAACTTCTCCAGGTTCTAAGCAAAATTTCGAAAAATTGGATAGAGTTTTTTCTTCTTTTTTTCTGCTTTTGATCTTTTGATCTGCCAGAGATCGAAAATAAATGCTTATTAGTATGATGCTCTTACAATATGCAGTCATCGTAAAGGCAATCCGAATGAAATCATTAATAGATCTATGAAATGAATAAGAACATCTCTCTATATCACACTCGGAATATCATTCATCTATGATATTCCGAGTGTGATATATATAACTTTATAAGTTATAGAGGAAGATAAAACCGTAGAGAGATCTATCTATCTAGAGAGAGAGCTATCTTAGTAAGTAATAATAAAAAAAAAATCTAATCCTAACACAAATTGTTAGGATAAGTAATGAAACCGGAACAGTATGATTGAAAAAAAAACCTGCTTTGTGGGGGTCAGACTACTTATTCGATTCGTACGTTTTTTTTATACCGCCTGATAGTATGTGGTTACCGTAGCCTATAAACGCCTGCAATACCAGGAGTATTACTTGCGCATTGTCGACTCTGAAGAAATCTCTTTACCCCCTTTTAAAGTACCCCATGCTGTAGTCTCTTGGAAAACCGTTTACGATCATCGACAATTTTTACAAGAAATATACATACCAGCCTTATTTCAGAGTTCTACTGCGGCAAAAACGTATACATCTTCATGTCAGAATTATACAGCGACATTTATAATATGGGCCGTGGCATTGCGCCTTACTGCAAGGACCGCTCATTCGTGTTTCTCGGATTCCTGCACTTCCACGACGAACAGAAGTACTACCTCGTCGACGACCCAAGCATATCGTTCCCAACTGATAATTATCTGCACGGTCTGGAATGTCATATGGGTATATGCATATTTAGGTGAGTTAGCGAATCATTAATGCTCTTTCAAGCCCGTAATCATCATCTTCCTACCCTTATCCCAATTATTATTTGGGGTGGGCGTAATATGTTTTTATCCATATTACAAAAAGATTTGGTTATTAGTTTTACGACCGGCTGCCTGCCTGACGTAAACCCTCTTTGGGCTTTTCTTTTTTTTTCTTCTTTCAAGCCCGTAATGTACTTTGTAATAACTAACTGGGCAATGAGAAATCAGACAACGAAGGAAAGTATTCTGGATTATTGTTCTAAAAAAAATAAGTATATATATATATATATATATATATATATATATATTGTAATCTTCAAGAAAAGAACATATTTCTTTTTAAAAAGCCGGTAGCAAACCTGCAATACCTCGCGATACTTCTGGTGTTATGGATGATTCTAGGCAACAGTAGTCACTTACCATCAAAAGAGCCGCATGCTTGTTTGCTCGCTGTGTTATAAAAAATAAAAAGAATAAGTTGTTTTAAGCACCTAAATAAAATATTTTTATAACAGATAGAATATGGGTAGAATTGAGTCAAAACTATTTTTAATTTAGTTCTTTTTTTAATATTTTTTTTTCATCATATTTCTTAGTGATTACTATCATAACATTTGGTTTAAGTACCTATACAATAAAAATTTTAGAGTTAAAGATAGAAGAACTTAAAAAGGAGCCTAGTAAACAACTTAATGTCCAAGTACAGAAGTGCCTGGCGAAGGATGACAAGAAGAGCCGAATTCAAATTAAAAGTGGATAATGAGGGACAATTCGACTCCTCAAATTTACCCCATGACTAAAATTACACTCGATTTCTCTCTAAGCACTTATACACATTTATATATTTTATAATTAAATTATTATTTTTCTACATCACAAGATTCCCCTTCAAAAAAATTTTACATCGAACTAGAGACGTGACTACACTACCTAAAGCAATCGTTAAGTGTGGTCTAGTGATGTACAAACTACCGCCTCTAACCGCCGCCTCCTGTATCATCGCTTCGGGTTCCTTTATCCTGGACTTCAACATACAAGGATTGCGGTACAGGCACCATGATTACTTACTAGTAAGTCATATATTTAACTAGCAATCCGCACTGGCTTCACACGGATTCGATTCATTACAAAACATTGAATTTATTTACTAATACAAAAACTTCGTTAGATTTCTATGGAAAAAAATAAATAAATGACAGTCAAACCTATAAAAATTTCGTTGCATGGATTAGAAAATACATAAAGACAGCGATTTTATTTTATAAATAATTAATTAACTTGTTGTCGTCATATATATTTAATTAATAAGTTATTATAACTGTAAACCTCCCTCAAAAATAAATAAATAACAGTTAGAGATAATAATATATATTCTAAATTTCTAGGATATTCTTCGCATATTCAGGGAATATTAGAGAGGTAAACCGAGTAAATTTGGTCACAGCAAAATTTTATGTTATTGACCATTAAAAAAAAAACAACAATTCGAGTTTTGCCCTTTGCTATATGCTCATACAACATCAGAAAATATGATCCCATGATCTATAGATTGATAACTAATTGATAAATACAGACTATACTACTTCATATATAAGGATACAATTTGCAGACAACACCTAACGGGCAGACATACTACACAAAGGAGCCCCACACGCCGCTGGTGTGTGACCACCATGTCTGCGAATGGAACTATACCAACCATTATGGTGGTAAGTAGCTAATATCCCCAAACAAATACATTTTGTTTAACAAATTGAAAAAAAATACCACTACTTTGCTAAAATATAAACTATTAAAAAAATATGTATAAAATCATTGCCAATGTCATTCAGGATAATGTAAAAATTGCAACGATATCTACCCCATAGCAACACCCAATTCATTCAGGTATTTAAAAATTATGGTAATAAAGAAACTGACAAACTTAAAGCCTAAAAACATTTCACTTCTTTCTTTAGCGTTATTTAATCTATTAATTTTATACTTTTTTATCCGCCATGTTTGTAAGAGTATGTTACGCACACTTATTCATCAATTACGAACCAATTATGACAATCACTCTTTGCAATCAATAAAGTTTATTCAAATATTATTCTTGCCTGAAACACCAAACTAGTTGGTAAACTAGAGAATGTATTTTTTTTTTAATATAGGTCCGTTCTTAATACCCGGTGATCCTGGCACCGGTATAGACCCTGTACCGCCGTACATAGAATCCACTCCGAAGCCGGAGGAACCTGATGAGGAAGACAACATCACTGTACCATGTAATATATTTGTTAATATCTAGATATTAGTAGAAAGGGAGTTATTAATAGTAAGGACTGGCGGCTCAATTGCTATCAATAGAAATACTCTGTCAAGTTCACATCTACGCAGTATGTATGTGGGGGGAAAGGGATTGTTAGTAATCGAGACTGAGAATCCCATTGCTGCTAGCAATATACTCAACCAGGTCGACCTCCTCGCGGTTCCCCCTGGAAACTATTATGATTAATTCCAGATGAATTCATCATGATGGGCTAACTGGTCTGTTTTCATCCTCATCGATCATCCTTCACTGGCGCCCCGCCAGCGTATAGCCCCCGTTAGCGCAGGCGGGGTTACCATTCCATTTTTATCCAATAAAAAAAAATAGCACAAGTGTAGATGGTTACTACTTATCAAGTTTGTGATACCATCGATGATGTGCAACACATACTGTTATTGACGTATAAATTCGATGGAAAGAAGAATCCATACGTTATTTTCAGGTAAATAAATAAATATTGGTCTTATTCAATCTATATTAGCAGAATTGATTTGAATACTGAATTCATACCCATTAATTTCTCTCTTTCCGTGAGTAGAGAAAGTAAATAAAACCTAACCTGAGAGATTATTTCAGGGTACGACAGAGCTGATACCTGAAACTTAACATACCTATTTACCAACTTATCAATAACTTTAAAAATTAATATGTAATTATTTTTAGATATATTGGACGGATGCCTGTTTATGTACCCACCGAATTACGGGTCCATAGCAGGGAAAAGTTATCTCGACTCTGTGGACCTCCACAACGACAGGTTCACGTGTAATGCGGCGGGTGGAAACAAGGTGCCACTTATTTTTAAGCGATTTCCAAAAACTTCCATAGCCACAAATAATTCAACCAATAAGTATCTACCAGAGATATATCTGAGAGATAAAAGCAAACGCCGCGCCCCTATTTCTCCCAAAGTATCTTTAAGCCCCCCCCCCCTCCCCATACCTTCTTTAAAATTAATAATAATAATAATATTTTTATTTAAGAAAGATACAGTTGCATAAGGTACAATTTACAATTTTTACAATTTATATACAACGAGAAAATATCTGCATTACCATCAGTCCCCAAACTAGGCCAGACCTGTATCTTGGGGACTATGAGTGCGATTACCTATTTATTAGTACACTTTATTTACCAAAAAATAAAATAAATAAATAAGGAAAACTATGTAAAATGGTGAGTACGTGTGTGCGTGCGTGCGTGTGCGTGTGCGTGTGCGTGTGCGTGCGTGCGTGCGTGCGTGCGTGTGTGTGTGTGTGTGTGTGTGTGTGTGTGTGTGTGTGTGTGTGTGTGTGTGTGTGTGTGTGTGTGTGTGTGTGTGCGCGCGTGTGCGCGTGCGTGTGCGTGTGTATGTGTGTATATGTGTACGCGCGCGCGTGTATATGTTGAATTGAATTCAGAGCTCTCCAGTACCGCCAAATCTGCAGTAAAGTAGGTTAAACCTTCGAAGAAAACTGCACTCAATTTGATGCAGCAATTTATGTGTAATACTGGAACGAACAGACAACCAGCGGATACAATTTCTAAAAATTATTCTTTTGGTTTCTATTGACCTTATACCAATTTAGCCCTCATATAAATTTTTCTTCAACATCTCCATGTACAAACATCGTCTACATACAGTTTTATTATATGTATTAGTAAGATTAAAATTAATACGCACGTTTTAGTGCCAACTGAGGCATTACACTACTAAATACGCCGTGGGAAGCTTTTTTTTTATAACACAGAGGGCAAACAAGTTTACGGCTCACCTTTCAGAAACTACTGCCGCCCATGAGCACCCAGCAACATCAGATGTATTATAGGTGTGCTCCTAAAGAATATGCTATTTTCTTGAAAGTTACGATGTCATATCAGTTCGAAAATACGCCGCTAGAAGTTTGTCATTTTCAGCTCCTTAAATGATTTCAAATTCATCTATATAATAAAGTCTATGTATTGGCAGATGCCTCCATATTTTTTAACTATAAAAATATTACTGCCAATGGTCTGCTCTCCTCAGGGACTTTACTGGTATCCGCAATGGATGGGCGCAATGCCCCATCATCCGTATTCCTCGTTGGTGAACCAGAAGAACAACTTCGAACCGCCCGGCGCATTCTATCCTCATCAAAAAGAATACGACGATGAACAGGGCAATGAATAATTTTAATTATAATAAATTATAATGAATATACAGGCTTACTGTTATTGCTTACAAATACATTTGTCGTTCCAAATGGTGATGGTAGGTGAGACATTTATAGGCCTTCTTATTATCTCTCATCTCTCGTATGGAAAAGACCTTTGAATATTATATTTTTTCTAATATTTCATATACAATTTATGTCTTCCACAAAAAAAACTTCAATTATGGATAAATCAGTTATTTCTATTTAAAAACTAAAGGACTAAACGAAACATTGATAATATTTCTATGAAACTAATCTAGAAGTATATCCTTTTAAATAAAAAAGATATAACTGACAGAGTTACGGGTTAATGAGCATAAAAAAACTTACAACCGAATTCAGAACCTGCACCTTTTTTTAAGACAGTTGAAAACATCTTTTAATATTTTTTTTTAAACCGAATTTATCTATGAAACTGGATCCTTAAGTAAATTAAACAAGATTTCGAGAAAGAGAGAAAAAATTAAAACTAAAGCATGACTGCAGTGGCTTTGAAATGTTATTAAATTAAATCCAATTGCATACAATAGTTTCGCAATATAAATCTAGGTATCATCATCATTTCCCCATTTGATCATAGGCCAAGAATTATGCAATAATAGAAGCAGAATCTCTTAAAGATAAATATATTTTTAAATAATTCACAATATAAAACAATATACAAAACAATTTCTAAATAAAACTTTCCAAAAATCTACTCTCAATAACACTGCCGCGAGGCAGTACAAAAAATGCAGGAGTCCCTGCTTTCACTTCAAAATACTTAGTCAATAATATTTCCCCTAAATTCTTAGACGGCTTTATTACATGCGGCATTTTATCGTAGCCCTCAAAGTAAACATTGATTTTCTCACAACTGTATTTATTTTCTTGATCCCATGGTGCTGGGAACAGCTGTTCAAGTTGATTCAATAGTGGCACATTCTCAGGACAAGCTTTGATGAAATCTGTCATTTGGTACTCTGGATACAAAAAGAGTACTGGCCATTTTAATATAGCATTATCAATATGTACCATAGCATCATGAGCTCCAGGCAAGTTTGGTTCTAATTTTGACAAATCAATATCATCCTCATCATCACAATTTGATATTTTTATACCTCTTTCAATTATGAGTCTTATTACTGCATCTTTTTGCTCATTATTCTTTGTCTCTAACCTTTCTTTCTTCCTCTGATCCCTTTCTTGTATTAATTTCTTCTTTTTAGCTGCATTCATAAGGTCTATAGTTTCTTTGTCTTTTGGCTGAATAACCAAGTATTTCTGACAATGCTCTATAGCCAAATCGTATTTTGCAATCTCTATAGCTGATTTTGCAGCTCTTAACATTGCTTTTATGTGATTTGGATTAAATGATAAGGCTTTCTCACTGTCATAGAGTGCAGATCTGTAATTTTTCAAATGCCAATGTGAAGCTGCTCTATTGTTATACAAACTAGCGTTTATTTCTGGATCATTGCATTTCACTTTTATACCTTCAGTGTAACTGTAAACATTTTGAAACAACTTTAAATATTTAAATTTTTTTTTTTTATTTTAAACATAAAATTGACAATAGTCATTTACTGTAGATATTATTATTTTTACTGTCTATATCTTATAGCTTTTCCAGTTACTATATTATTATATTTAATAAGTAAGGCACAAGTTCCGCCAACAAGACCTCAACTTTTAAATAGTCAAGTTTTTATTGACACAACATAGAATTGAAATTAAACTGAAAATGGTAAGTATTGCCTATAGATATGAACAATATTATAGACATAGTAAAATATGCAAAGTTTGCTTTTGCAATAAAATATTAACTGTAATGTATTAATATAAAAAAAATAATCACCCTAAAATAGCCAGCCTATAATTTTTATGTTTGAAATTGAAATTTCCATCCTCTTTATAACTAGTAGCTAGTTCCAGTGGTGTATTCTCTTCTGGATCATACTTCAACTTAGCAAGACCCTCAGCTAATGGTGACAGCTCACCATCATCAGGTGTGGACTTCATGAAGAATGGATGTTTCTCCATCTCTTCCTGGAAATATATTTAACTTTTCTAATATGTACCAATTAATTAATAAAGGATAAGATTTTTTAAGAGATAAAAATTGAATGCTTACTGCATCAGCACTATTAGCATTCAAAGTCAGAATGGTTGGGACATCATAATAAATTCCATAACATAAGTGACCATAATGGAGGTCAAACGAACAGGCTAGCAATAAGGCCGCCCATTACTAATAATCTAAATCCCTCTTAGACCAAGATTCAATACGTCCATACCCCGTAATTTCATTTAAACATTCCAATCTTAAAACCAAAACAGTCATGTAAGCACAGCTGTTTCAGAAACACGAGTGATTCCCAACCAGACGTGTCTCCTTCTAGTAATTACATGTTAGGATACAAATTTTGCTCATTACCTCCCACCGATCTTCTGGCCATCCTTCTGTATACCTCTTCTTTTCCAAGCCATTGATAAAGTCGTCTAGTTCTTTATCCAATTTCTGACACAAAGCTAGTCTCTCCTCGTCTGTCATCGATTTATTGCTGCTTTTTTTAACTTCGCCAGCCATTTGTGTAGGTTATAATAAATAAGAACACTTAACTATTCTACATATATAGTTTCTATTATAGTCAATTCTTTTCCTAGGTTAGCATTCATTAACTAACAATGGATTTCACTACATCCACGAAAACTTATTGAATAAAACAAATTATGAATTTAAAAATCATAACAAAACATGTGAATATGACAGTAGTGTGATAATGACACTGACTATTACTTTTTTAATATAATGTTTCTGAGCTTTAGAGATTGCAACTTTAGACGAACATTTTAAAAAAATATTCTTTTGTTTTATTGCTAATTTAGAGACAAGTTTTGAATTTTTTAATAGCTATCTTTTAGCCTACTAATTTAATAAAATTTAAGATATTACAAGATATTAATTCATACAACAAACAGTTAAAAAAATCACAACGTTTCATAAAAAATATATATGCTATTAAACCAATAAAAATAATAAAATCCTTAGTACATTATTAATATGAAAGTAAGTTTGTTTATTTGTGATATAGTGTGTTATTAAACCTAATAGCGCCTTACCGCCTAAACCAATGGGTAAACAATAAAGTTTGGTATACAGATACTATATAGAATGGAGCAAAATGTAGGTTTTTTTTTATCCCTGACAGTGAACATATCCTCGTCACACAAACAAAGTAACAGCTGAAAGTTTGTTAAGATTAATAAAAAACAGACCTTGCACAATGATATGATTCAATAAGCTTCATGGCTTGTTTATACAAAATGCATAATTTTTGAGAATTGCAAAAGCCATTATAATTTCTGTAAACAATATTAATAAACTAAAAAAAGTATATATGCAATTATATACCAGGATTATTGTTATAACGTAAGTGGAGAACTATTAATCATATATCGTTTAATCATATGGTGCAAATGTCAAAAAATTAAAACATAAGTCAGTCTTTTAAATGTTTTTTAAATATTTTTTAATCCAAGAAAGAGTTATACTTTTAGAAGAAACTGTAAACGTCATGTAATTTCTTCTATAAATATTAATATTAGGAAAATTATATTATTAATTTACTATATAATAATAATATTATAACTGAAAATCTAACCAATTTTAATGTTTTGTTGGCCAAATCTTTTTGTAGTTTATAAGACAGAGAGGGAACTATTTCGAGGTGATCGATTCTTGTTTTAAACTTACAACTCATTGGCAAGATTCAATCAATTCATAGATTAGAGATAGTAGAAATCTGGCATTCCCTTTCTACGATCAAAATGATTGACTGTTTTCTAACTTGAGCAAATTTTGTTAACCGTGTATTGAGCGCAAATTTAAGATTTTTAGCGTTCAGAAAATATGTCAGTGTAGCTATCATTATGACAGCATTGTAACTGTCAAAAATAGTCTGTGTTTTGGCTTCTTTACTATTTATTTTTAATAACTAAAATTTAATAATATTTCACAATTTTTAATATTTTAGCATTTAAAAAAGTTTTTAACAATTTAGGTAATAAAATATGTGATAATCAATTTTTTTACAAAACCATAACCTCTGTGTCCAAACCGGCTTGTATTTATTAGTCCAAATTTAAAAAAGAACATCATGTCTGACGCTTGGGAAGAGATTCAAGCTGTGAAAAGTAAGAGGAACAGTTTAAGAGAAAAACTAGAGAAACGGAAAAAGGAACGGCAAAATATTTTGGGCGCGAACTTGGCACCGCCTGACAAGAGTGAAGGATCACCGAGCGGCAAAGATCGGGTCGTACATAGCCCGGCCCCGCTGAAGAACGACTGTAAGTTTAGTATATAAAATTTAAAAATGGGATTTTTTAAAGAAAGTAAAAATATTACAGTTTCCTTTTCAAAATAGACAATGTAGGCATCAATTTCATTCTTTCATATAAAAGTTGTAGAATGGATTCCCTTTGAAATTTCCCTCCACTAACATTACTAATTTTGGGTTTTTGCATATAAATTCTAAAAGGGGACAGATAAACTAGCATCTCATATTGCTAAATCAATAAGCTTAATTTACATTACAAACTATAAAAGTAAATAGATAGATACTCTTTATTGTTTGCTCTTTATGCTTGATTGTTTTAAAGATTACAGTAGTAAACTAATTTTATGGCATTAGTGCCATTAAAGTTAGTTTCACTAAATCAAAACAATTTCATTTTAATTCAAATGCAAATAAATTGATACTGTCTTTACTGTCTGGCTGAGTGATAATTATTAACAATACTTATAGGAACATATATATTAATTAGAATAAAAAATATTTTTCAGCCCCTCAAAGAACAGATAAACCTAAACAAGTCCCATCAGTATCATTAGAGATGCGATTACTGCAAGTGTTATCAGACATGCAGTTGCAATTACCAGCGACTGCCAGCGCCCTAATGCCAGGACTTGGGGATGTCGATGCAGGCATAGTGGCAAGTCTTCTTCAAAAATTTGCCACCCAGAAACTTATAATGTAAGTAATATTTCATATTTATAAATATTTCATATTTTTATATTTACATTTCATATTATTACATTAGATGTCTAATAATAATAATAGATAAATGTTATCCCTATACCATGGAATTAAAAAAAAAATTAGTAGATACCCAAATCTAAATTCATTTCTAACCACACAGTTTTGCTTTTAGTCAAATATGCTGAAATATTCTTACTAATTGTATAATTATTTATCATATAATATTTCATCATATATGAAAATAGTTAAGATTGTGTTTCACAAAAAAAAAACAACTTCAATTATGTAAAAATTAACTATGGAACCAATTTTGATAAAATTTCTATGAAACCAATCTCTAAGTATATCTTTTCAGATTAAGATTTTTTTTAAATTAAATTACAACTGACAGAGTTATGAGGCATAAAACATGAAAAATACAACTAAATTGAGATCCTCCTTCTTTTTGAAGTTGTTTGATTATTTAACTTCACTTATGCCTTGTCATGTGATATATATTTTTTTTATTTAAAATGTAATATTTGTACTGCAATATAAGTATTTGATTTTTTAAATATCAATGCTCTATAGCTACTTATTCTGCTATTTAAGCTTCACTATACTTAATTATGTATTGTAAATAGAATAAAGGAGCGTTCAGAGGGCACTTCGGATGGAGATATTGAAGTAGTGAGTGCGGAGTGTGTACGACTGGCAGCCGTACTGGCTGCTCTCATAGAGGAACAGTCTACTACCAGCAAGAGGAAGGGTATTAAAACTTTATAAGCCTTCAATACTAATTATATGGAATCAAACTATAAATATGATCAGTCCATTACATCTATAGAAAAAAAATGTTGATTTTTTTAATGGTGCACTATTGATGACTAGTATGCTCGTATGGTGAGATACCAACAAATGATATATGTAAGTCAGTTGGCTTATAATGATAAATTCATTAATTTAGGAACTAACTATCATAGTATCCAGATGGAAACATCTAGAGATTGAGCTGACAAAGTATATTACTAGAAAAATTACCACTAGTCATCCAATATAATTATAATTACTATAATATACATTCTTGTAACACTGGATCACTCTAGCCAGGATGACATTTACAGACTAACTTTTTTATGATCTATCTACTTTAGTACACAATAATAATAATAGCACAGAATAAAAACTAAACTACTGATTTTGATAATATTTCTATTGGACCAATCTAAAAGTATGTGCTTCAGAATAAATAGTGGAGTTTAGTTTTAACTAACATTTAAAAAATACAACCAAATTGAGTTGTTAATAAATATATTAAATCATTCTTTGGTAATGGTAGGCTAATATCCTTCTCTTATAGAAACAAATCTATGCCCAACAGTGGCATGTTAATAAGCTGTTATGAATGGAGGAAAGAACTAATGATATCAAATACTGATAATTTTTCCAGGCAACAATGTTACTGAAGAAAGTACAAAGGTCAAAGTAGCAAAAACAACTACAGAAGAAAAGAAAACAGCAAAGGGTGATACCGATATAATGGTAAGTGGTATTTTATTATTATATGAATACTAGTTTTTACCTGTGACTTTGTCTGTACAACTGAGATATATTTACATTTTTATAGGCCCTTCAAACCGAAACACAACTGCTTCACTGTAGAAACACGAATGGGACAGAGGTTCCCAAGTAAACGACTTATGTACAAAATCTTACTCTGGTAAAATATAAAACGTCGCTGTGAAAATGCGTGCGCGTGATAATTCAACGCCTTTTAGGACGGCTTTATTGACATTTTGGTATAAATACACTAATGGAAGTCTTCAATAATAACTAAATGTTTTTTAATATTCAATTATTAAGGTTATCGCAAAATAAGGCCAGATTTATAAAAAAAAAATTCATGTTTTATTTGTAGAAGTTGGCAGGTATGGTAAAACTAACATTACTCTGTCATATAAATTTAGTGTAACAAAAATAAGTATTATTTTTGTACCATATATGTTATGCTTTATATACAAACCTTATAAACTTTCTTCTTTCGAGTTCTCAAGGTTGACTGGAAGAAATCCCTTTAAGGGATAAGTCTGTCTGTGTACATATTGGCTATAACCTAATATCTATACTATAAATGAATATACGAGAGCTATATAGAGATAGAGATAGCTAGCTAGAGATATATAAATAAATAATGTGCATAAAACAATGAAATAACTGATTTATTACATATCGTTAATTGCTTGAGTTTCTAGTAATTAATTGATTACATACTATTACTCTGTTTCTCTGTCCTGTTAAATTTAGATTAATAGATTAATTTTTATTTCTCCACAGTCATTATTAGCAATGCCATCGAGTAGAGAAAAGGCAGTCAAGAGGGTTGGAGAGGAGATCATGGACTTACTCAGTAAGCCCACTGCCAAGGAGAAGTCTCTCGCTGACAAATTTAAAAGTCAAGGAGGTAACGCAATATAGTAAACTATTTTATCTTGTTTAGTCGTTTAAAAATAAAGACAATCAATCTGGAGTGGTAATGGGATGGTCACAAAACACATGTTCGCGACATTATTTGTATATATCGTAATTTATAGTTGTTAAGTCCTAGTTAATCGTTTTGTATTCTGTTATTTTATATAGATTTACATAGATTTAAGATAGTGTAAGTTAAATAAAGTATTCCTTTGCGTGTTGTCATTATTACCTACGAATAGAAATTGTAACAATAAATAGAATTAAGAAATTGTAAATTGAAATAAAATAAATAAATAGACGCTATAGAGTACCGATCTGAAGAGACACGCGTCTCGTTCATTTTCGCCCCGTCCCGCTCGCACAGATCGCTATCGCGAGTTGGAAACGTTATCGTGCGAGCGGGCGGGTATAAAGATAGGCCGCCTCTCGTCGAGCGGCATTCGCTTCCGGGCAGCGGCGCACTACACTCGAGAAGAAATAGGACAAGAAGAAAAAATACTCTCTTCAGACGGTACCGGAGGCTTCAGAATAGTAATCCCTGTGTTTCACTCCAGCCTGAACCAACGCCCCTACAGTCCACGCTCACCGTACGGCAGTCCACACCGTTCATCGTGGTCCTTCGAGAAGCCGGATTGCTGGAGGAACACCGTTGGTACATCGAGAAGCCGGATCGCTGGAGGAAGACCATTCTGAAGCCGGATCGCTGAAATGCCGACTACGAGAAACATGAAGTCGTCGCAACAAAAAATCGCCGTCACCGAAGCCACAACGTCCGCCGCCACCACGTCGACTACGGCCGCCGGAACGCTGTCCGTCGCTGCCACGCCGTCCGTTGCTGCCACCACGTCGTCTGCGGCTGTCAGAACGTCATCTGTCGCTGCCACGTCGTCTACCGCCGCCACCACATCGACTACGAACACGTCCGGCGATACGACGACCACAGGAGCCACGGAGACTACCGAAGCCACAGGAACGACAGAGGAGACAGCAAGGAAGAAGGAACCGAAGCACGGCACGGCACGCACGGTTCGCACCACGGCCTCGCAGAAGAAGAAGGCTCTGGCCAAGGCACGGGAGGAGCTACTTCGAAAGGAGGTGGAATTGGCCGCCGCACGTGTCGCCGCCCTGGAAGCCGAATCAGAGGACGACGAGGAAGTAGAAGACGACGACGCTACCGTCAGAAGAGAACGAACGTCGGATTGGGTTCATCGAAGCACGCTGGCACTCACGATGGAGCCGCATGTACCAGAGATAGAAGAAGTCACCGGCAAGCGTCAGGGGTTCGTCCCATCGAGACCCGTTGAAGAGGATTCGAGAGCGCCGCCGCCACAGCCGAGCAGCGACGCACTTCACCGGGACCACGCACGCCACGTTGACCCACATGCCGCCATGCCTACGATAGCAGCAGCGATGCAGTCGATGAAGAAAGAAGAACCGGTGCTGAAGGTGGGCATCGATTGTAATGAGTTTGCGATCGCCATGCAGATGGCCGCTCGCAACATACTGCCCTCCAGCGTCAAGAGTCACCGAGTTGCCAGTCTTCAATGGATCGTCGAGCGAGTGGTTACCATGGAAGATGGCCTATGAAGAGAGCGCAAGTCAACTCACAGAACAAGAGAACCTAGCAAGACTGCGCAGAAGCTTGAAGGGGGCCGCAAAGGACGCGGCACGCTCCCTATTCGTCGGGTCTACGACCGCAGAAGAAGTAATGAAGATGTTAGCCGCGAGGTTCGGCCGCCCTGGAGCACTCGTCACAGCCGAACTGAACAAACTCCGCGCGCTACCACGACTCTCGGACAACGCAAGAGACGTCTGCCTCTTCGCAAGCAAGGTGCAGAACGTCGTCGCCACGATACGAGCGCTGAACAAGAGTCACTACCTATACAACGAAGAAATAGTGAGAAACGTCACAGAGAAGATGCCGTCGGTACTACGCTTCAAGTACTACGATTTCGCCAACGACCAACCGGAGGGACAACCGGACCTCATAACACTCTCTCAGTTCCTGCAAAGGACCGCCGCACGATGTGGAAACTTCGCCCCCGCCGAGGAGATACCGTCCGAAGACCGGCGGGAGTCCGCTCCTAGGAAGACGGCGAAGACATACACGACGCAGGAGAAACCCGCTACACCACCGTGCCCGATGTGTCGACGAGAGGGACACGCTCCATCGGACTGCAAGACGATGAAGGAAGCAGACACATCGGCGAGATGGGAGTTAGCGAAGACTCATAGGCTGTGTTTCCGTTGCCTCAAAGTGAGAAGATTTCGCCACGCCTGCAAGAGCAAGAGATGTGGAGTGGATGAGTGCACGCAGACTCATCACCCTCTGCTGCACACCACGCGACAACAGCCGGAGAATGAAGTAACAACACACGTCGTCGAGGACAAGTCCGCCGCAGTCACCGCATCGGCAAGGGAAAACGACAAGATCGCGTTCCTGAAGATCCTGCCGATACGAGTCACCGGTCCCACGGGAACGTGCGACACCTACGCGCTACTGGACGACGGGTCGACTTGCACCATCATCGAGACGACGGTGGCGGAGCGAATCGGTGCTACGGGTCCCCCCGCACCATTCTACATGGAAGGTGTGGCCGGGGCACGGATCAACGCAGCTCAATCGACGCGTGTTCACTTCAAGATCCGCGGGCGGAATTCACAAGAATACACAGTGGGGGCACGGACGATGGACAGACTGCAGTTATCACCGCAGTCGGTACCACGCAGCGTCATCAAGGGCTGTCCACATCTGCGGGACATAGAGAGGGAATTGGTCTATGAAGAGGGCAAACCGACGGTACTGTTGGGGCAAGACAACTGGCACCTACTGCTGGCCCACGAAGTCAGAAGAGGATCCGACACGCAGCCGGTCGCATCACTCACCGACCTGGGATGGGTACTGCACGGTACGAGTCGCGGCAGGACAAGACAGCAGGTGCACAGAATCAGCCACATAGTGACGACACATGAAGAGGAACAATCGATGGAAGAAATGATGAAGCAACATTTCGCGCTCGAATCGCTGGGAATCGCACCGAAGAAGTCTTACAATGAAGAGGAACGTCGCGCCCTACGCATTTTAGAGGAGAAAACTCGTCCGTTACCGGCGGGAGGATACGAGACGGGGTTATTATGGAAGAAGGACGACCCTGTGCCGCCGGACAACTACGAATCGGCAATGCGACGTCTCCAACTGGTCGAAAGGAAACTCGACAAGAATGAAGAAATTAAGAAGAGGTATGAACAACAAATGGACACGCTACTCAAGAACGGGTATGCCGAAGTCGCCCCGCCACGGAGTTCCCAACGGGTGTGGTACCTGCCACACTTCGCCGTCATCAACCCGCAGAAACCGGGGAAACTGCGGATCGTGCACGACGCAGCAGCCAAGACGAAGGGCATCAGTTTGAACGACATGCTGCTGCCGGGCCCCGACTTACTTCAATCGCTACCGGGGGTCCTCATGCGGTTCCGGCAACGACGGGTGGCAGTCACGGCGGACATAAAGGACATGTTCATGCGGGTCACCATACGGGAAGAAGATAGGGACATGCAACGGTTCCTGTGGCGAGGAGATCGACGAGGGTCCACCTGTGGAATATAGGATGAAGAGTGTCATATTCGGCGCAACATCGTCACCGTGTACAGCAATCTACGTCAAGAACAAGAACGCAGAACAGTACAAGGAAGAGTTCCCGGAGGCAGCAACGGCGGTGGTCATGAACCACTACGTCGACGACTACCTCGCCAGCTTCGACACGGAAGAGCAAGCCGTACGCGTCTCAAGACAGGTCGCACAGATCCACGGTCGAGCCAACTACTATCTCCAACGGTGGGCGTCGAACTCGCATCAAGTGCGCGCCGCGTTCTCCGACACCGGCGGGGACAGCGTGGTACAACTCGACGCGGAGAAGATACTGGGGATGGTATGGCGACCTTCTGAAGACACCTTAGGCTTCAACTTCAACGGACACAAGCTTCCGCCACAGATAGCCAGCGGGGAACAGACGCCGACGAAGAGGGAAGCGCTACGAGCGATTATGTCGCTGTTCGATCCACTGGGCCTCGCCACTCCCATCACCATACAGGCGAAGAAGATATTGCAGGAGACGTGGCGTACCGGTATCGACTGGGACACCGAGCTGCAACCACGGGAAGCGGACGCCTGGCGGAGCTGGATGGACCACGTGCGACGGCTGTCCGCGCTGGAGGTGCCGCGGTGCTACCCGGAGGTAGCCACGGCCGATACAGCGGAGCTGCATACATTCGTCGACGCCAGCTCGGACGCGTACGCCTGTGCCGTGTACTGGCGGGCCGTAAGCGCGACCGGCGAGGTCCACGTGTCGCTGATCGCGGCAAAGGGACGAGTGGCCCCACTCAGCAAGGTGACCACGATACCGCGACTGGAGCTGCAAGCGGCCGTCCTCGGGTGTCGCCTATCGCGCACGGCAGTCGAAGAACACGACCTGAAGCCCGCTCGCCGAGTATACTGGTCGGACTCACGCACCGTGCTCGCATGGCTACGCACCGGTCCTCGCGCATACAAGCCGTTCGTCGCGCATAGAGTCGCCGAGATCGTCGAAGAAACGAAGACGAACGAGTGGAGATGGATACCGACGCGGCACAACGTAGCAGACGACGCCACACGCGACCCACCGACGGACTTCGGCTCGCAGCATAGATGGTTCCGTGGGCCGGACTTCCTGTACCTTCCCGAAGACCAGTGGCCGCGTGAAGATAGTACGAGCGACGATAGTCAAGCGGAAACGGGAGAAGAACGCGTACACAAGCTACAGAACGCGACGCAGTTGTCTATAGCATTACCCGATCCGTCACGTTTTTCTAATTGGTTGAAACTTGTTCGCAGTTCAGCACGAGTGTTGCAGTTCATCGACCTCCTGCGACCGACCAGTCAACGCTGTACCGCCATCCGAAAGAGGAACAAGAAGAAAGAGAGCACCGACCCCACTTGGACCCGCACGAAGAAAGTCGATAGAGAGAAGACGAAGATGAAAATCAAGAACAGCAATAGTCCATCTGTGTGTTTCATCCCCATAGACACACACTACCTAGATCGCGCGCGACGACTATGGATTCGCGCGATACAACAAGAGGCGTTCGGCAACGAAATCGCAGTATTGAAACATGGGAAACAGCTGCCGTCATCCAGTCGACTCATACAGCTGTCGGTCGTCATAGACAACGACGACATTCTGCGACTTCGATCGAGAATAGCGGCCGCCGCCGATTTGTCAGCCGAGCAACGAGAGCCCCCATCGTCGACGGAAACCACGCCTGGGTGCGCCTATACATCGCATGGGTGCATCGGAAACTTCACCACGGCGGCTTCGAGATCACCACGAACGAGGTGCGACAACACTTGTGGGTGTTGCGCCTACGACACGCCGTCCGCAGTGAACTGAAGAGGTGTCAGCTGTGCCGCCTACGAAGAGCAAGACCGGCGCAGCCATCAACGGGCAACCATCCACATAGCAGGCTGGCGCATCATCAACGACCGTTCACGTTCACCGGCCTAGACTACTTCGGGCCTATGACCGTGACAGTGGGCCGCACTCACCAGAAGCGGTACGGAGTGCTCTTCACCTGCTTAACGACGCGCGCAGTCCACCTGGAAATCGCCGGCAGCCTCAGCACGGACTCCGCCATAATGGCCCTGCGGCGCTTCATAAGCCGCAGAGGGTGTCCCACGGAATTATGGTCCGACCAAGGCACCAACCTCAAAGGTGCTGACGTCGAACTGAAGAAAGCAGCCGAGGAAGCCATCCAAGAAGAGTCATCAGTCCATTTCATCCGGTGGCGCTACATTCCCCCGAGCGCACCCTTCATGGGAGGTGCGTGGGAACGGCTGGTGCGTAGCGTGAAGACCGCACTAGCCGCTACGTTGAACGAGCGGGCCCCCAAGGAAGAGGTCCTCCACACTCTGCTGGTCGAGGTCGAGCACACCCTCAATAGTCGACCGCTAACCCACGTGTCAACATCGGCAGACGACGACAGCGCCCTAACCCCCAATCACTTCATATTGGGCGGTCCATCGCGCGTCCCACTGCCAGGCAGCTTCACAGAGAGCGACGCGGCGGGACACAAGGAGTGGCGTGCCAGCCAGAGGCTAGCTGACTGCTTCTGGAACCGGTGGGTGAAGGAGTACCTACCCGAGTTGCAACACCGGCGGGAGCCCCGAGCTACACACGGAGCCATCAAAATGGACGACCTGGTCCTAATAGCTGATGGGACCTTGCCTCGCAACACGTGGCCGCGAGGCGTGGTGGTGGCGACCTACCCTGGACCAGACGGCGAGATCCGAGCGGTCGACGTGCGGACGAACAAGGGCATCCTACGGCGACCCACTAAGAAGCTGATCATACTGCCCACATCGACATCGAGCGACGCGAACACGAGTTAACTCCAGCTACGAGAGCTGCGGCGGGAGATTATGTTCGCGACATTATTTGTATATATCGTAATTTATAGTTGTTAAGTCCTAGTTAATCGTTTTGTATTCTGTTATTTTATATAGATTTACATAGATTTAAGATAGTGTAAGTTAAATAAAGTATTCCTTTGCGTGTTGTCATTATTACCTACGAATAGAAATTGTAACAATAAATAGAATTAAGAAATTGTAAATTGAAATAAAATAAATAAATAGACGCTATAGAGTACCGATCTGAAGAGACACGCGTCTCGTTCATTTTCGCCCCGTCCCGCTCGCACAGATCGCTATCGCGAGTTGGAAACGTTATCGTGCGAGCGGGCGGGTATAAAGATAGGCCGCCTCTCGTCGAGCGGCATTCGCTTCCGGGCAGCGGCGCACTACACTCGAGAAGAAATAGGACAAGAAGAAAAAATACTCTCTTCAGACGGTACCGGAGGCTTCAGAATAGTAATCCCTGTGTTTCACTCCAGCCTGAACCAACGCCCCTACAGTCCACGCTCACCGTACGGCAGTCCACACCGTTCAACACAAAAGTTCTAGAGTGGCGACCCCATACAGGCAACCTCAATGTAGGACGACCCTCCACTAAATGGAGTGACGATTTCAAATGCATTGCAGGATGTCAGTGGATGCAGGTGGCTCAGGACCGTTCCTTATGGCAGTCTATGGGGGAGGCCTATGTTCAGCAATGCTTGGATAACGGCTGTGATGATATTGATAATGATGAGTAATTTCAAAATAAAACGGACAAAAAAGTATAATATTCGATTGTAATATTTTTTTTTTATTTTTTTACTTTTTGTGACTATTTTAAATCGATTTAAACAATTGTTTTTACAACAAATAGAATTAGAACAAAAACAATTCTGTTTGTCCTGTTTTATGACGAGCGAAGCTAGCGTTTTTCTTTATGGAGCGAAACATTGTTTGCCGCAGATCCAAATCTGCATGTAGTCATGCAATTCTACTTCTAAGTTCTAATAAGTACATTGTAAATTTCATTAACATTTCATTGCCGTGTGGTCCCAGCATAGAATAGGCCACCCATTCCTTTCCTGTGAGTATCATAAGAAGTGACTAAGGGAGCTTAACGGTCGAGGGAGGGGTAGCAGCATCCCTGTTTTAACATCACTAAAGTTTATGCGGTTTCCAACCAGTCAGCCAAGCGTGACACCTACTGGCAAAATCCAGCCTTTTGGGGGAGGCCTTTGTTCAACAATAGAGAGAAGATGGCTGATATGACGATGATGATGAGGGTATAACAGCACCCCATTGTTTATGCGTATTCACGAATGAAATGCCTATCTCTTTTGCAAAGTAACAACTACTTGTTCATGCTACTTCTAAACTGTTCTCTTATTAAAATGCTTACGAATTCTCATCTGTGATGTGAATGTCTTTGCCTCAGGAGCACAAGTAATGGAGTTCTGCCCGCACGGCACCCGAGCCGAGTGCATGCGTGCATCAGGACCCGACGGCTCCGGACCCGCGCCCCACTACAGCTGCAAGAAACTGCACTTCAAAAAGATCATACAGAGTCACACGGATGAATCCCTCGGTGACTGCTCCTTCCTCAACACTTGCTTCCACATGGATAGCTGCAAGTAAGTTATATGAATATTTACTCTATCTGGGTACAAGATATCTATGACATAATTTTTTTTTTGTTAATCTGAATCGCCTGCTCTTGGTAAAATTCTATAAGATTTCCCCTCCCTGTTACCTATGACTTTAAATAATGAAATTTTTACGTCACCTAGATGAAAAATCTAATTTGGAGGAAATGAAATTATTGTGTTTTAAATATTGATAACTACCAAAAAAAAATTTTATAAAAACGTAGTACATCTAATTACTTACAATTTAAATAAATAAAAATAAATAAAAAAATAAATTATTATGTATACAAAAGACTTAGTATAACATGTATAATCTAAGATGTATACAGGCGCCGGTCCAACCTTCAAGAATTAGTTTGTTCTCTCGTGATAGTTACAAAAATATTAAAAACATAAAGGTATTGGATACAATTTTATGAGCCTATCGACCTCAATATACTGTGAAAATACCAGAGGGAGACTTTGTACAAAAGTCGATTGCTTGGGCACCTCTGACACATTCGTGTTTCAACCGTGAAGCAGTTGTGTTTGCATGACTATGTTTCGGTTTGAAGGGTGGGATATGGCGTGAATTTACTGGGTACAGAGGAATAACACCTGAGTCCTCAGGAATGACAACGCATGGGGAGTATCATGGGTGAAACAGTATACTCTGTTATGTCCATGGTACTGCTCATGTCTATAGGCGACGGTTACCACTTTCCATCAGGTGGGCCGTCAGCTTGTTTGCCATTCTAAGTTGTATAAAAAAAAACCCTTGAAAGTGTGACGTCACAAGACTGTATTAGTGTTGTGGGTATGCCCATCGTGCCCGTGACGGTAGATCCGCGCTTTTTTTTTATACCACTGAGGTGGCAAACAAGCATACGGCCCACCTGATGGTAAATGGTTATCGTAGCCTATAAACACCTCCAATACCAGAGGTATTACGCGTGCGTTGCCGACCCTGAAGAAACCTCTTTACCCCCCTTTAGAAAAACCCCATGCTGTAGTCGCTTGTATGTATATAGAGAAATAGTTAATATTTCATCTCTTTCTTCTGAACAATTCTTTTTTAACTTAAAAAATATGAATACTATAATAATTTTATAGGAGGTATCCATTTTTATGAATAAAATGGATAGGATTTAATCTAATTTATCGTTTTTTTTCTAGATATGTTCACTATGAAGTAGACAATACAGATCCTAATGCAAACGCGCACAAACCTAGCTTGGAGACTACAAGCAAGGGCGCCCATAACGGTAAGACAGTTGTATCAATAAAATTAAACTTTCTGATTTCGTGTTAAGATTTGAAATCTCACATCAGAATAGCTTGAAAATCAAACTTTAACTCTTTCTTCAACATAATTCTTATTTTCGGCTAAAAGAATAGCCACATAGAACCTCCCTTAGTATCTATATATAAGATATATAAGACTAACAATCAGTCCAGGCTTCACATGGTTTTTTTTTTTTTTAAATAAAGTACAAAAGTTTGTAGTATGTTTTTTTTTTACTTTAACCATTACAAACAATAAGTCAAATCTTTCCTCTTTATAATCTTAGTTTAAAACAAAAAATAATGTATAAGTCACAGAGCTCACAGTATTTCATTGTCACCTAAACTCATATATTGGGTATACATGAGTGAATACAAATGCATGCCTTTCGAGACAGATAGCAGTAATAAAAATATTCATTAATAGGGGTAAATGTACCAGCACCAAAGCCAGATGGAGTCCTAACCCTCACACCGCCACAATGGATTCAATGCGACCTGCGTTATTTAGACATGACCTTTCTAGGTGAGTCTATTTTCATTATGTTTTTATAACTAATAACGCAACTTTTAAAATATTTGTAGTCTAGTGTTATTTAATTCATTATAATGGTTACTTCATTTTCTCGCACTGTATAACTATGTTAAAGTAAATGCTGTGAATTAATATTAGGCATGTGCATTAATATTGTATTATATTTAATGTTTGTTATACCTATATGTTATAATGCAATATGCTGTTGGTGTTCTTTAAGTAAATAATTTTGAATTTACGAGGTACAGAGAAATAACACCTGAGTTCTCAGGAATGGCAACGCATGGGGGGTATCATGGGTGAAACAGTACACTCTGTTATGTCCAAGGTACTGCTCATGTCAATAGGCGACGATTACCACTTTCCATCAGATGGGCCGTCAGCTTGTTTGCCATTCTAAGTTGTATAAAAAAAAAGTTATATAATTTATTAGACATCCTTATTTTAAACCATTATTATTTTCACATAGGTGACACACGAGTCTCAGATTTAAAAAAATCACAACGGTATAAATTATATGTGTAAATTTTTCATTGTGACAACCTCAAAAGAGCCTATTTAGTCTCCAGCTAAAAGTCTATTGAAATTTTTACATATCTATGACTTGCCCGATCTATTTTGCCGCTCCGGGCAAAAATGAATATCACTTAAGTACACTACGTTCAACTACGAACTTCTACATGTTTCCATTCAAAATTACCCAATTAAAATGACAAAATATACATTGTACAGGCAAGTTTGCTGTGATTATGGCGGACCCGCCGTGGGATATACACATGGAGCTACCATATGGTACCATGTCGGACGATGAGATGCGATGTCTTGGTGTACCACAGCTGCAGGACAGCGGCCTCATATTTCTCTGGGTTACTGGCAGGTAAATTGATGTGAATTATTAATATTATTAATGCGAAAGTTTGTTGTGATGTTTGTTACTCTTTCACACAGAAACTACTGATGGGATTTGAATGAAATTTGGTGCACAGGTAGATTATATCCTAACTTAACATATATATACTGATTCACACGAGATACAATACTAGTAATCTATATAAATTGTCCTGTATGTACCTACATACTACTCTTCAAGCTTAAAAGATGAATCAAACATAAAGGGAAATATTTTGCGCAGTCAAAATGTATATAAGTACATATAATTATTTTTATTTAACATTCATATTAACCATTAATATAATTTCTTTTTTAATTTTTAAAATTAAATTACTCTGTGAAACTCAAGCTACTTCCATCGTGAATGCGTCTATAAACATCGACATGTTTCGTACATTATAAATATTTTGCTTCGTTATAAATATTTTTTGACATGGAACCAATACGGATATAAACGCATTGTTTGCAAAAAGTATTGTGAAAATCGGTCGAATCGAAAGGAATCGACTATTAAATCACATAAGTACACCATATGCATAATTATTCCCTTCATTAGCACATTAAAGAATAAGTAAACATAAAATAAACGTAGGGCCATGGAACTCGGTCGGGAGTGCCTCAAGCTGTGGGGCTACGAGCGTGTAGACGAGTTGATATGGGTGAAGACCAACCAGTTGCAGCGGATCATACGCACTGGCCGGACCGGACACTGGCTCAACCACGGGAAGGAACACTGTCTGGTATGATTCCATTGAAAATTTATATCATTTTCATAGCAGTACAGTGTCTCAAAAAGTTGAGAAAAATACGATGATTATTGGAAAAGTAAAAATAAATTCACTTTCTAACTGGTTTATTGGCAGGAAAATGTTTTTTAATTTTTTTTTTTTTTATATATGTTTATATGTTATAAATACAATACATAAATGTTCCAAATTGCATTAGTCGTTTATTGCATTACTAATGTCTATTTCTTTTCTATTCCATATATACTCCATATCTATACATGATTTTGATAATCTATGATTTGTTGGATTCGTCTCCGCCCCGAATAGAATAGGATAACTATTTCAATATATAGAAAAAATTCGCTTAAAAAAATTCTTAGGCGGTACGAAGTTCGCCAGGTCAGCTAGTATTCTAATAAAAGTAACTCCATTAAAATCAATTTCTCGTTACAGGTGGGCATGAAAGGAAACCCTGAGAATCTGAACCGGGGACTCGACTGTGACGTCATAGTGGCTGAAGTTCGCGCCACGTCGCACAAACCAGACGAAATATATGGTATAATTGGTAAGTATTTTGAAATAAGTTGCCACGCTTGGCAGGCGGGTTGCCAACTGCAGTCTGGCTTTTAATGGTGTTTTAAGAGGAATGCTGCTGCTCATCCCTCCACCGTAAACTCTCTTAGTCGCCTCTTACGACACTCACGGGAAAGGAACGTGTGGCCCATTCTATGCCAGGACCTACAAATGCAATACAATACAAACACAGTAAATTTGTTAAATTCTCGTTGTGTATAAATGTAGACATCATGTTTATTTTATTTACAGAGAGGCTCAGTCCTGGTACTAGGAAAATAGAACTCTTCGGTCGACCGCACAATGTACAACCTAATTGGTAAGTGTCTGCTTTTAAAACCTACAAAAAATAATCTACTTACAACTAAAACAATTTTAAATAAGTTATTAAAAATTAATTAACAAATTGTTTTTGTTAAATCAATGCACCGTCATTTACTCTCTCTGTTTAACGTAACGGTAAAGAATGGTAAAGAATGCCGGTTTTCAAAAACCAACTATAATATTTGTATGTTTACTGTAGGATCACACTAGGCAACCAGGTGGATGGTGTGAGACTAGTGGACCCTGATCTCATAGCGGCGTTCAAGAAGCGTTACCCCGACGGCAACTGTATGGCGCCGCCCGCGCCCGACCCCGCGCTTGCCTGACCGACAGCGAAGCATACCAACATTGATGTAGTATTAACTAACTAGATGTACAATCATTAAGAAAATGTGTAAATAATATATGTATAATAATATATAATAATAAGCATCATATCAGCCGTTAACTGTCCACTGCTGAATATAGGCCTCTTCGGAGGTTTTGTCAGTACTTGCCACGCTTAGCAAGCAGCGGGTCTACCATGAAAATAAATTCCGAAATTTCGGACTCAATTTCGTGTTTTTGTTTATACCAAAATCGGACCAATAAATGGGAGTTTAACATTTCGTTCGTCATACATCCTATCATAAAAGTCCAAAGGAACAATATTTTAACATTTTTAATATTTCCAAACGGCATGTATTATGTAATTTTAACATCAATTTTGTGTTTCGTTTGGCTCCGAAATTTCGGAAAACATTTCATGGTAGGCCCTCAGGTTCGCAACCACAGTTAGGCATTGATTATGTTTTAAGAGAGATACTGCTAGGCCCATCCCTCGACCCTTGAGTTCCCTTAGTCGCCACTTACGACACCCATGGGAAAGGAAGGCGTGGCCATACATTTAAATACAATATAATTAATTGTAATTATTTTTTACTATCAGATGTAAAAGATAGATGTGATTTGCGTTCGTAAAAACCTAAGATACACAGTTATTAAGAAGACATGTACATAAATATTAGTAATTTAAATTTTAGCTATATTTAATTATAGTTATTTTTAACTATTTTATATTATCAGTTATTATAAATGATATTGTGATTTTCGTTCGCAATGACCTAATATCACACTCGCTACTGTTTGTTATTGAAAGTGAAATATTTTACCCTACTAAACGAGTGCTACCCATGACTCACGAACAAATCTGAATACGCCAGCGTTTTATTTTTTACTTTTTGCTGATTTTGTAGCAGTCAATATGGTATATGTGATTTTATGTTCAAATGATATTTCACTTGCTACATGTGATATTAGTTAAATAATTATATTTTTTTACAGTTCAGTTCATGGCTGCTATATTTCTTTTATACCTACCTACTGTAGTCAGTTAGTGGATTTGTATTGTATTTAGCTTTAAAGAACGAATATTATAATTATATATTTATATATACAAATAATTATTATTATATATACAAATATAATATAAAATTAATACTATGAATTATAGAAAGAAAAGTTGCTCTATATTATATACAGTCTCCTTTGTTAATATTCGCTTGTACATAGCTAGAATATCTGTAAATATATAGAGTATATAATATTAAGATTAATTTGTTAAGCAACAGAGAGACTAGTGTGAGTTGTACATAAATTTATACTGTAACTGGGTTATGTCTATAATTTTAATAAAAAATAATAATGAAGAAAATTAGAATGAAATGAAATGAAACGAATCCTCCCTTGACAGTGTGACGATATAATAAAATGACAATTAAATATTTTGCTGCTGTTTTTTGTCTCACTCATTTTTTATATGGAGATTTTTATTTATACGATTTTTTTTTCTTAAACCTGGTCCTGGCATTTACAAACATTAAAAAAGAATTAGCCAAATAGGTGAAGTCGTTCAGAAGTGATGCATTTATAGATTATATTTTATGACTAGCTGTATCACACAACTTCAGCCACGTAATATATATTAGGTATCATATGTGCCGAGTCCTCAGTACATATGGGGGAAAGGGATTGTTAGTAATGGGTTCTAACAACCCATTGCTAACACCCTATCCAGTCGACCTCCACACGGTTCCTCCTGGAAACCATTGTGGTTAATCCTTTATGATTTCTTCACCATGGGCTAACTGACCTGCCTTCATCTTCACCTATCATCTATCCGGGGGCGTAACCATTCCATTTCCACCAATTAAAAAAAACTCAGTACATATGATAATTTCATATACTGATAAATTTCATTTATTTCCGTTCAGGGGTTTTTGCTTAAAAGATTAACAAACTTCCATCCATCCATCGTTTCAATCTCTCGCATTTATTACATTAACAGAACTTTTACAGGATGTAAGGGGCAGGTTGGCAAACACTGAAACAGTGAAGTCAGACCATTATTCTAGACTGAAAATCTGCAGAAATTCTTTCTAAAAAAATCTTTTTTTTTTTCCTTTAATATGTAAATAATCTGCCATCTGATTCAGACCCTTCGTTTGAATCGGATGTTTTCGTTTTGACCAACCTGTCTCTTCCATCCTATATAGAACATTTAGACAAGTAGTGGATGGTTTAAGAAACTCAGATTTCCATACAAAATTATTGTCATGAATGTGAACGAGTTCATAACGTAACATACTCGCAAATGTTTCTACAATTGACACTAAAAACTACGTTTATCATTAAGCTATGAGTCGTGTGTGACTGGTGGGACGCACTTGAAATTGGTAAAAATAAAAGGAAATTGTAAATAAATCTTGGATTTTATTGTCTTCATTCACATTCGAAAACAATTTCGATGGCCACACGCGGATGCTAGTAAAAAGTGCTGTGAATCGTCCGTCTGCCCTTCGGCGAGCTCGGCCGCGGCGGACTGCAGAAGCCTCTCGAAGCAGCGTTTAATTTTTCTCTGGGGACCCTGAGTTGTATTAATAAATCAATTATTCCACAAAATCCACTTCCATCGTGACAAAACAATATGGAACCAACACGGAACTAAATTATATAAAAAGCTATAAAAAGAAACATCAAAATCAGATTCGGCACAGACAGACAGAGCCACTTAAAAAATTAGGAAAATATAATTAATTAACTATTTCCTGAGTCCTGGCCATCAGTTTCATAATTATGTTAAATTGCCTATAAATTATTTCAAGAAATTAAATTTTACTGGTAGTTGCAGAGATCAAGATATTCAAAGTCTTTATTATATTAATATATCTAAATGTCACTATCTAAATAACTTCTCTTCTTTGTAATAAGTACAAATAATTTATTTATATATTTGCATTTTATTATGATTATTATGCCTACCCTATATATATATATATATTATTTAGCCAATATTGTGTACATCTATAACTAGTACATATATACTACTATGTTAAATTAAGCATTATATTCTAACAAATTATATGTAACACTGTAGATGTACAAATACGTAAATAAATAAAATATTTGAATAATTCCTATTACTTTGTGGAATAGTACACTACCTGAATTCTTGATTAAATCCTTGCCTTGGCCCAGCATTAGTCTTAGAATTCACATTCTTTATACTAGTTTTGTCCTTAATCAGCGCACTAAAAAAAATACAAATGGCGGTTTTCCAATATATTTATAAAAATAAAAAATATATATTTATTACTATCATTTACCAATTACCTAAGTTTCTCGTTATATAAAGTATTAAGTTTTTCTGAGCGAAGAGAATCGCGGAGTCTTCTTTGAAACTGCAACAAAAAATATATTGCTACATCTTTATCTAAATAAAATCTTAAAGCTCAGAAATGCATAGCCATTTAGTGTTATTTTTCTGTCAACCACATTTCCATGTAAGAGTTAGTTTACACCGTTTTTCTCGAATAAATTTAATTTATTAACGGTGTTTACCATCTCATAGAATTAGTCGAAAATTTCGATATACGCATAAAATGTTCAATTCTGTAATCATATTACCTATATATACTGGTGTATTTAACTGGGTTTACACTTAGTGTTGGCGAAGTATCAATGAGGATTTATATACAAATAATGTTTTTTTTTAATGGATGATAATGGAATGGTAAATCCACCTACGCTAACGTATACGCTGGCCGGCCACCAGTGATAAGATAATAATGATAAGTGAGAATGAAATAACAGGTCAGTTAGTCCATCGTAATGAATACAGCTGGAATTCAGTACGATGGCAGGGGGACCACGTGGAGGTCAACCTGATAGGGTATTTTGCTGGCAATGGGACTGGTAGTTCTTATTACTAACACCCCCCCCCCCCCCAATAATAATGATTTTTTTAATGGATGATAATGGAATGGTAACCCCACCCGCGCTATCGGTATACACCGGCTTTTAATAATAATGATTAGGTCAGTGGACCGTTCATAACAAATTTATCGTTTACTTATTACCACTTATTCCATATACCATACCAGAGACTATTCCATATATCATAGATCCTGTACCTTAATGCTATTAAGCATGTCGCCTTGTGTCGCAATAGGTCGTTCATCGGAGCGGACTCTGGGGGCCCGTTTGGGCGTCGGTGCGTCACGGCGAGCCCCCAGCGAAGCCGCACCTACTGACCCCGCGCCAATAGACCCGTCGCGTGATCCCGTCACTGATTACATGATAATGATACTATTGCTGTGAAATTTACTTTATTTATATGGCTTATATAACAAAACTACTGACCACTGAAGAAAATCACCACATACTAGACATGAACCTCTCTATAGACATAACCAATTTATTATATACACACGAATGGTTTGCCACATACATTACCACTCCTTAAAACAATGATGTCGCTCCTATATCACATCTATCCATTCAAATGCAATCAGCTTCTACAAAAGTTCTACATGGCGATAATACCGAGGAATACACATGGTACTATAATAATTTTTAGTTTATTTGTACCTAAATCATCATCATCACATCAGCCGTTAATTGTCCACTGCAGAATATAGGCCTCCCCATAAGGGGGAGAGAGATTTTAATAGTTCTAGGTTACATAAATGACAGCAACCCATCCTTACTATTGGATGACTGCCGATGGACAATAGATATTGGAGAGTACGGGTTGCCAGTAGTTTCCATTCTTAGTAGGCAGGTTGGCAACCGCAGTTAAACTTACCGGAGGAAGACTTTGTATAAAAGTCGATTGCTTGGGTACCTCTGTCCCATTCGTTTCAACCGTAAAGCAGTTGTATTTGCATGGCTGTGTTTCAGTTTGAAGGGATATGGCATGAATTTACTGGGTACGGAGGAATAACACCTGAGTCCTCAGGAATGGCAATGCATGGGAGGTATCATGGGCGAAACAGTATACTCTATTATGTCCATAGTACTGCTCATGTTTATAGGCGACAGTTACCACTTTCTATCAGGTGGGTCGTCAGCTTGTTTGCCATTCTAAATTCTATAAAAAAAAAACTTGCAATGTTTTAAAAAGGATGCTGCTGTCCTAATTAGTACACAAATAGTGAATGAATGCTTTTTCCAGATAATTTTGATTGTAATAAATAAAAACAATTTTATAAACATAACATTTATATTACTATATTTTCTTTGAACTACAACTAAATCACGTTCCTAATATATACAATATTGTTGCATTATTAATTAACATAGCTATATAATATTTCATTGACAATATTTATTATCCCAAGATAATAATTAGGAAAGTAAAGCACCAGCTAGATTTAAGTTGTATATTATTATATTCTTATATCAATGCTGATATTTTAATTCAATGAAAAACACATAACAAAACAAATTGCATTATCCATTATGATTATTCAGAAAATAAATTCATTCATTCTTTATTATGCATTTACCACTTTCAACAGACCCAAAATGAATTGCAATTTCAACACTTTTATACTGGATGTAACATATTACTTCTTGTTTTTGTCTCTAAAATAAATAATTATAATAGCCTGATAGATTTTAGAACCATGTCAAATAGTCCAACATCTTCCACTAACAGGACACTCTTAAATCGACTGAAATACAACTTATTTTAGATAGCAAAACACATCTAGAACAGAGCTCAAAAGAGATGTAGGCTCTCTCTAAGCTTGTATCCACTTATGTCTCAAGGTAGAAGTTTCTAGAAACTCTTATACTTTTCAGACAAGGCAGTGAACAAAGAGATGTATGTAAGGATACAAGTTATAGTTTTCTTACTACTGTAGAAAATAACGAAACATAACAAGAAATCCTTAGTATATTTTCATAATAAATAAATATATATTTTCATATAAAACATTACTTTGAGAAGTCCATATTTTGAAACTTACACTGTCCTCACACATACATCTCATGTTATTATTTTTTGTTTTTATATAACAAAAAATAACAGTTCATTTACTATAATATTTGTTTACATAGATGTTACGTTGGACTTTTGACTTGTTTTTCTTCACCTATATTTTTTGGTATTGCATTTTCTGCACTTTGTATTTCTTTCATTTTGCTTTTTTCAAGCTGTCTTCTCAAATTGGATGGTCCTGCAAATATTGCTGGTGACTTTTTAGTCTCTGGTATATACACTTCGTAAGTTTTGAAATATTTTAATATTTTCTCAACGTCATCCTCCCTCATCTTGTATTCTAAAGCTATCTTGGATGCTGTAACCTCAGTAGGATTAGTTTGATGCGCCGAAATAAAAGTTAACACATCACGAAGAGTCGTATGGCCATATTTCACTTTTTCTGGCTCTTTAAAACCATATTCGTATTCCCCGGGTATCCTACGGTCTTGTGGTAAAGGTCTATCTGGATTTTGAGTCCGTTTCTCGCGCGTAATGTCATCTTCGGGACGGCCAAACGAGGTTACATAAACATCTCGCAGTCTGCTATCCAGGCCGGGGTCTTTCTTATCTAATTTCTCCTCTAAATGAGGATCAGATTCGATTGCCCGCTTCAAATCTTCTAAACTTTCTGGATATTTAGGTGCCGGTACCGGTTTCTCCTTAGAAATTACACGATGAGCACGATTTTCAATGTTGAAAGATTTTATAGGCCTTAAGGCCTTTGTCACTAAAGCACCCATCTTAGGTGGCGTTAGTATAACTAAAACTAATTAAAATAATAATAACTTGCTGCAAACTAACATAGCTATTTCAGAACAAAAAATATTTAAGAAATTAACGGAGGTTATGTTTTTCTTTATTTCAATTTAAAATGAATGATTGCGTGACTGACAGATTAGCCACACAGTACGAGTGACAAGACATGAACAATATCATAGATACTATTGACTCCTGACATATTCAATTTTGGAAAACTAAAATCGTAAAATATCTTTTAAGAAAATTTACACATGCACTTACAACTTCAATACATATTCAAAATAAATTGAATAATTATCTAAAACCAAAAATATCAGTGTAAAAATTTTAAACAAAAAAAAAAGATTATGCAATATGAAGCCAAGCCATCTTTTTTTTTTAAACTGAATAGACAATAATTAATGGCGAAATTTAATTATAAGTGACTGATTTACTCAGTTTTTGCCAATACCTCTAAATTTATTGGTTTTTTTCCTGAATTGAACGGTAAAACAAATAATTATTCCTTAATTAAAATTCTATTTTCATGTTTATTCACACTATTGCTACTGAACTTTTTAGACATTTGTTTATTTTTTCGTAATTTCTATATTAATAACTTACATTTTAATCTGGATAATGCTTCTCTTAATCTCGACTTTGAAGTATCTCTTACAAGAAACTTTTCTGATGTTACAGGTGTGTTTGTGGCACGTGTTTGCCCACAGCAGATTTGTGGCGGACTCGGGCTTCGGCCAAGACGCCGACGACATTGTGGTTGAGTAGGACCTCTTGTTACTGGTAAAAATTATTTACGATATCATTTACTAAATAAATTTATAATGTGTTAATAAAAGACATGTTATATAGTTGTTCAAGCATTTGCCAATTTGCTCTTGTACTTTTGCTTTAAATATCTTACCATCTATTTTTTTTTTTCATTTACTCAACTCATTTTCTAAACCATTTTTTAATAAATAAATTGCAAAAGGAAACGATATTGAATTCTTATGAAATATATTATTTATATACCTGTGTTAAAAGATGAAGGTGTGAAATATGATAATGTATTATTCTCAGGTCCAGTATTTTCTGGATAATTTGATACCCGACTTGTATATCGGGGAGTTATTGTTATTGAAGCATTTAACTGTTTTTCTCGTTTGTCTTTATATATGCTACTTTTCATCAAGAAATTCTGTGAAAGAAATTACAATATGCAAACTGGTATATTCTTATTTAAAAAATTACGTTTAACATTAGTAATTACCCTCGCATCATTTATTGTTTTAATAATCGGTCCTTGTGTTGTCCGAAATGTGGGTATAGGATGATAATATCTGCTAGAAATTTTTGAACTGGTTTCCTGTATAATTAATTGTCCACTGCTAAATATAGATATCCCTCATAAGAAGAGTTTTGCCAGTAGTTGCAATGCTTGGGTGTAATAAATAATATTTAAGTAAATTATAAAAGTACGCACGATAAGAGGTTGCTAATTTTAGACGCTACGATGTTGCACAGCTATGTTGGCATAAACTTTTTTAAATTAACTTTGCATACTATAAGACAATCACATTTTTAATATTGCTAATAATGTTCTAATAAGACGTACATTAGAAGAATTATGTCGTTGCACTTGAGATTTAGCAGTGCTACCCCGTAAAAGTAGCCGGCCTCGTGAGTCACCAGCACTGCAACCGCGACGTGACATAACACCGCCCACGTCATTTTGATCCCTGAATTTAATCGCATTTCATTATAAAATATATATATATTTATTATAAAATATAATATATATATATACACCTCACACTCAACTCTTAACCTTGTTGTGAATCTAATATTCGACAGTCTACATTATTTCGAACATAGTCAAAAGAAATTTTGTTTATAAAATAGCAGATGTAAATCACAGAAGGATTTGCTAGTGAAATTCGAATTTGACTTTAGCGAATAGCGGCGTAGTGAACTGGGGTTTACTCAAGTTCACTGCGCTGCCAATGCTATCTGTAAAAAACACTTTAATTTTCAAAAAATATTTCATTTTATTTTTGTTATAAAATGACAATTAGATGAATTGAAAGAAAAATAATTCGTAAAATGAAGTTTGAAATTTTACAGAATAGTTTTATTGTATCTGGTAATTACCATAAAAATCAAATGGTCTTGAAAACTTTTAAAAACCACTAAATATTTACCCGCTACGTTGCACCTTTGGGCTGTTTGGCATTTTTTGAATCCTTACACGCCAGTCACTTGGCTCCTTTTCGGGCGCTTTATAAGAAGCTGCCTCAGAATAAAAATTACATTTAATTTTAATTATAAAATAAATCTATAGAAGTGAATCATATTTTATACTAAATGTTGTAACATACCCTATCTATAAAATCACATAAAATATTATTTTGACATGACTTGGGGGTAACACCCGCACAACGCACCGCTAACATCCATAAAGTGTTATTGCAAATTTTGAAGCATGGATGGCAACAAAAATACTTTTTCCAGAGTGATATGTTCTGTTCATTATAACTTCGATCACTCTCATTGTATTCTTCAAGGATTGATTCGTTTTTTATAATACAGCCTTTAATTTGTGTCATAGGAGCTACAGACGTTGTCGTCAAATCACAAGAAGTAAGGAATATCTCTTCTTCGTCATTTTCTGGACGTAAAATAATAAGAGGACACAATAAGTGTCTAAAATGACAATAAAATTTTATCGGATCGATTTAAAATAACACTGTGTTTAATGCCTAAATAAAAAATATTTAGAGATGACGATGCGTTGTACCGAGTCAATAATATTTGTAACAAACAGTGTTACTTTAAATCGACTAAATGAATTCTCGACATGAAAGAACACTGTTTGCATTAGGAATTATTTTTAAATTGTAACAAATAATAAATGGTTGATTAGAAATGAAATGTTACCTTCACGACGAGGCTTAGAGGCTTGTGGTCTATGTGGTATGTATTCTGATCGTATTTGTCTCTGCATAGGTAGTGGAGGTGATGGTGATTTATGGAATATCACTGGTTTTTGTTTATGTTTTTTTTCAGCAATCGAATATACTCCAAATTCGTGTGTGGGAAATTTCTCAGTATCTTGATAAAAGCGTTTTCTGTAAATTATTTAAATAGGGCTTTGTGCAACATTTTTGCTAACAGTGTATTTAAGAATAAGAAGACAATAAATATTGTCATTGTTAACAAAAGCTTCACCTGTTTACCTATAAAGATTGCCTTGTTTTAGCAGCCATGGTTCCAATTGTTCTAGCCAATCCTGAAACATTAATGTAATTAATAGTTAGCAATAATAATAAATGTAAAAATGTTGGCTGAATATTAAGGCTACACAAAATGTATAATATTATCTAAATTTGACCACATTCATAAATTTAATTTAATCTATTGAATCTACAGTATGACACCAAACTGTAAATTATTGTATTGCCAAGTTCGTAAAATTATAACTTAAATTATTAAACGATGATTCCTTACTATTACGAATAAGGAAGCATTAACCCCTTGCAACGTTAAAATATTTAAAATACTTAATATAATATTTACAAAAAGCTATCTCAAGGAACCGCAGCTTAACGGTGCAGTAGGTAGAGTAGGGAGTAAGTAGACTTAAAACAAGCCTTAAAAAGTAGAATGGCTATTGTAATGTATCAAATGACTTAAATAGCTAATAATAACCTGTTGATGACCAATCACCGATCCAGGTCTGCAGATTCTCATCCAACCTATAGCTTCGTGAGATGTCATCCGGTAATGTTTCATAAGATAACAGCCGATCAGCGACCCCGTGCGACCAAGACCTGCCTAAACAATAACTTCATCAGTTTCAACAACATTTACGTATAATCACTCAAGTGTCGTCAAACGTTAAGTGACATAAAAACCTATTGGTATCTTTAAATAAACAATACTTAAAATGATTATTATTAAACTAAGTGGTATCTTTTACAAATATTTCATTTTTTTGCTAATACAGTGTAGTACCTACATTATACCCATACGTAAGAATTTTCAAAAATGGTTCTATACCTAAACGAAAATAAAGGCTCGCATTATGGAAAGTGACATGAACAGAATGTATATATTAAAATAGAATATATTCCATGATAAACATAACATCACACACTGTTATTTCATGATTAAAATTGTATCACTTGTTTCAGTTCAGTTCTAACTTCATAAGTAAACTATTTTTTTTTAACTACAGATTAATTTTGAGAATTTTATCTGTTTTTATACCGCTGAAAAAGTTTTTTTTAATGAGTAGTCCTTATAATAGACATAAAAAGTCAATAAAGGCATAACCTTGCAGTGGACAGCAACAGCTCCATCCTCTTCTTCGCTAATCTGTAAAAACTTGAACAGTATGTGCCGAGGTGGACAAGAACCATCCGGGAAAAACAAATCATAGTGCGTAATGCCGACATTACTGAAACTATTAAAAATGTAATTAATATAGTAACTAGAAACATCTTTGAAGAGGCAAATATAATAATATATAACTAAGTATAACCTTGAACCACCCGGATATCACGATAATAATAAGTTATATCCTTCACTTAAAGAAAGCTACTTTGTACAAATCAGAGTGCCATTAATGAATTAACTGTTTAAAATTTTTTATTGCATAAAGCCTTTAAAATTATTTGGCAACCTATATTGTGTCGTTCTTAATAGGTACCTAGATAGTTCCGAAGCATATTTTGGTAGTGTGTTGTAACTTTCTCGAATTTATATTTAATACAAATGTATTAAACTTTTAATACGAATCAACTTTAGTTTCCTTATAATGAATTAAATTATATTGTATACCTATTACTGAATCAATAATTATAAAATAGTAAATCAATAATTATAAATATTGATAGAAAATGAAGATTTTTAGGTACTTACATATTGCTGTCGTATAATCGTTTGTTAAGTCTGATAACAATTTTAACGTTATTGTTGAGAAAATAATCTATGTACATTTCAGGTGGATGATACAAGGAGACACTACAGTCTACTGGACCGATAAATGCCAAAAATTTACCTAAAAAACAGTTTAATAATGAATTCGTATATCTATACTTATAATAAATCTGTAGAGAGGCCAATTCTGTACATGAAATATATTTACAAAATAACTATCAGGGGGTGATTAGTAATCGATACTGATGCCAAAAATGCAATCAGTAAAATTTTTGTCTGTCTGTCTGTATGTTCGTTATAGAAACAAAAACTACTCGACGGATTTTAAAGAAACTTGGTACAATTATTCTTTATATTCCTGGGCAGGTTATAGTATACTTTTCATCACTCTACGATCAATAGGAGCAGAGCAGTGAAGGGAAATGTTGGGAAAACGGGAGAAGTTACTCCATTTTTAATGTGCCGTCGCGTGTACAGCCTTAATGGCCACTTTTTAAAATGCAAAAATGTCCACCCACACGACGCCAGGATGGGCCGCTAGTATTAAAAAGTTATGAAATAAAGAAAAGTACAAGACGTGTTTAGTTTACCAGGAACTATCCAATTGAGGTCACCGCCTTGTATTTTGTCCAACCTATCATAATCCTCATAATTAAAATCCTGGAAATTGAAGAAACCCAAATCTTGTGCCTTCCTTATAGCTTGTAAACAATCTAAAATACTTATCGTGTGGGATGAATCACCTTGTACGGCATCTTGAAATGGTCTAGAATGACAAAAAAATAATTGCATATAAATTTAATAAATAGCAAGTTCTAATGAATTAAATACACAATGGCTGTGATTTTCAAGAAATACTAAAAAAAATATACCGTTATTTTTTAATTTTGGTCAGATTTATTACAGATTAGACATCTGTTTTAATACATTAGCACCCTGAGACTAATCAGCCATCGAATTGCAAACCCGCCAGTTTCTATTGTTCGTCATATTTTTATATCATGTATTTAATTCTATTTTGTTAACGTAGCATAAAACTATTGTTTTAAACGAAAGCATTAGTGCTGATGGAGCCATAATATTGTCGATTTTACTAAAAATGGTTGTTTTCAGAATTTATTTTCATGGAGTTAATTTACATAATGATACTAGTTACCTACATGATTATCACGTTGAAATGAGTCTCACAATGGCTTTATTGTTTACCTGTAATTTTGACCGTGTACTGTAAGTGGTTTCAAGGCATCTCTAGGAGTTAAACTTAGATATAACACACCGTAACATCCCAGCAAAAAAGCCGAGTTTGTTTTTTTCTTCGAATCGGTTGATGTGTAATGGACAATAATCTGTTTATTTAAATATTGTTTTAATTTGTCACTCAATATTTTACAGTATTTATAAACACAACCAAGATTTAATGGCCCAAAATCTGAATAATAATTTTCGTATACTAAATCATTATCTATGCAAAAATAATGTATTTCAGCTGTATTTTTCAACATTTTGCCTTGTCGTACTGTAGCAAAATACAATACATTTTTAATATATTCGGCCATAAACAATATATCTGGATTTCGGCTCATGATTTTAAAAGAAAGTATATTTTGTATGATAGTACATTTTTTATATTGATAACAAAATACGAAATCTACAATACTTATTATGTTCTATAAGTTACTAAAACACGACGATTTCATAGCACAAATAAACATCTAAACAAATTTTATAAAAATGGTAATTAAATCAAAATGACTTCGTTATTGGTTCTCTTTTGTTTTAAAGTTGCTTCCTCTGTCTCCAGTTCTCTGTATGAAATATTTTTACTTAGTAACTAATAAATAAAGTATACTTGGTGTCATTGGCAAATTATTACTTTTTGATACCTTAAAAGTATATTTATTATTTAATATTAAACAGTACAACAAATATTAGTTAAAAGTGAAATTTATGTTGATGATATAATTTTAAATGAGTGTAAAGGAACGTTGATTTGGTTCAAGTGTTGCCAAAAGTACATTGATATAAATTGTAGATACTGTTCTTATTCTACGATATCGACTAAAAAACATTTAATAAGCTGAGAATTATATATTAGTATCTAGATGCTATCCTTGCTTATGACATAAATAATGTGATGATGAAACTCACAAAATCGCATATTCTACTATTTCATTACTTAAATAACTCTACGACTTTATTTTAAAATTTATATTTATAATAATTACTTATTATTTAATTTTAGTCGTTTAATTTTTTAATTACTTACTGTAAAATTAGAATATACCAATAATTAAATGTTTTTATTGGTACGATCTATTTTGATACTAAGTAGTTTTATTAACATTTTATACGTTACTCAAATAGAAAATTAAGAATAATTAATTCAATGACTATATTTAAAAAAAAAATATTAGTTACTTAAAAATAACGAAGTTGATGTTATTCACATAGGACATATTGTAAATATTGATTTCGATATTATTATAAACATTCGAATAAAATCGATTATCGAGCTTCAATTGATTATCAATTATTTACCCCCAGTCTTGGACTTCCCTAGTCTTTTTCCGGTTCGCAAGGTAAAGTGTCAAATGTTTTGTCGTATATTTTTCCCAATCTCTAAATATTTCAGTGATCTTTACTATTATTGTGATTGTGATAATTAAAAAGCTTTTCTAATGTGTCTCATAGATTACTGCATTCCGTATTTCAGGTCGTCAGAGTATAGAAAATCATGGCTGATGTCGATGTGTGAGTATTATTGTTTACAATCATTTTCAATAATTATACTGGTCTTTATTAAACTTATAGTGAGAAATGATTATTATGTGCTTTTTTTGTATGAAATTGCAATAAGTATTTCTTGTAATTAATTCAAAAACATGTTGTCAACATAACCTCAAAACTTTTTGATAATAAAATTTGTAGATTACACTTTGTTAGTTAGATATCTAATATTGGTGTCTGTACATAATGATTATTTTTTAATTTATGTCTCTGAAAATTTTGATTAACTTTTATTTCTCCTAAGGGAAACAAAAATTTGACAAAAAATATATTTAATATGTTACGAATTTCGCAAATTTTACTGTCTGTCAACATGGTGATTGTAGGCTAATATTTTCCTCTTATAAGGACAGTAGCGTATGCCCAATAGTGAGACTATAACGGATTCATATGTTTTATTACGGTTGTATCTGTCATGAAGAATTTGTAGAATGTCCACATATATCGTTATTTCAGTGAGGTTCCCGCTAACCCCGTCCTGAGCGGTGGTGCTATGGATGTTAACACAGCCCTACAGGAAGTCCTGAAGACAGCACTCATCCACGGTGGGCTAGTCCATGGTCTCCATGAGGCTGCTAAGGCACTCGATAAGTATGTGTCCATTTCAGTTTTTTCCCATAAATATGTTCCTAAAAATATAATAATATTAATTTAACAATTAGTTGTCAATGTGGCCAACATTTTGCACTATATAATAGCAATTTTTTATTGCCTCGAATAGAAAGATACTGATATAGATATTTGGGTTATTTGTAACTTTAAATTTAAAAGTTAATATTTTAAGTATTCTCAACCTGAACATATCTAGTCATTCATTTAACAGAATTAAGGGTTTAATTTAAAATTTAGTTATAATATTGTATTTATCAAGTCAATAAATTATATGGCAATGGAATATCCCCAAAATATTCACGTAACATGTATCTGTTCTAGTTATATGTTATTTGGAAATATCTTCTAAGATAATTTTGTCATAGTTGATTTTCTCCATTGCCTAAAGTACTGCACACACATAGTACCACAGCACTTGACTTGCAAGGCTGTGGCCTCCCAGATGTGCCACAAAACTTATTTAATTTGTTGCATTTAATGTTTGTGTACTTACAATTAAAAGATAGGGTACAGTAAATAGTTCTTGCTCTAGATATAATTAATTTAATAAAAAAAAATGTAATGGTTTGTAAATAAATGTTACTTTATTTTCTTTTCAAAATAAATAAAATAATTGCCAATTTTTTCACACAAATTGGCATATGTTAACATTATACAAATACTTGTGCCTGGTATTAGCTTTTAATAATAAATCTATCAATTGTGCTACTGTTTTATTAAAAAAATTATCTAAATTAATCTAGTCATTCTCAAGTAATAGGTTTTCCAGCAATAAATATTTATCTAAATTTGAATTGGCAATCCATCATTGAATATTATTCATACTGTTATAATTAAATTGCAGGAGGCAAGCAGTGCTATGTGTACTTGCTGAGAACTGTGATGAAGCTTCATACAAGAAACTAGTACAGGCTCTCTGCAATGAGCATCAGATCCCACTTGTTAAGGTACTATATAATACTAATAACAATTATGATATGAATAGATACACACTAATACTTAAATAATGAATAATAATAATAAGAAAATACGTACTTATCATGATAGACTATTTCGAAAGTGAAAAAAGTGTTGTCCTCCTCTCTCCTACTTGCTGTACCCAACAGGGTCCATAATTGAAACCTTAATAATTATGTATTAATTAATTATTATGGAATGCAATAAATAAGGTAAATATCAAATATCACAAGGCTGAAAGGAGAGATTTCTTGTATTCTGTAAGGCACTATTTGTACTGCAGTTACTGTCTTTTGATACAGTGTTCTATCATATTCTCTAGATTATACTGCTACATTCCTTTATCTCATTTACATTTATAGATAAAAAGCAGTAGTGTATTCTTACTCATTTTACAATACATTAAACTCATAAACACTCTGTTAATAATAATAATATAAGCTTTTATCCATACATAATTATTTTACCAATTTATTATTTAAGTACTATTGTCTGTTTGCATGATAGCAAAAGACTCCTCCATCTGCCTCGAATGGTCTCTATTGGTAGAGATTCTTGTCCAAATTTCATCATACAAACTGTTACCATTTTATTATTTTTATTGAATGTGTTAATTTCATTATTATCATCACTTTAACAATACTTAAATTTGGAATCTTAATTAAAATATAATTTTTTTGAAGATTAGCATTTCTATTAGATTGAAGATAAAAAATTAGTGTATTATTAGTTAGAATGAAGAAATTATGTTATATAAATGTATATAGTTGTAACAGTCTGCTCCGCACGAGCCAGCCTGACTACATGTTTGGTTTGGCCTAAGGAGCGCAGAGTGAATTGTATGCCCCTATGGTGGCTCTCACTATGTTGAGCCAACTTTCCTAGCATGCAGACATGCCTTTAGATTTCACAATTGAGTGATCATCATTTAAAAAAAACTTGTTATTCTAAATTTATATAAGATCACTATATGTTTACTGTGGCTTTACCTTTGTTTAAAGTATGCTATGTGTTCAGATATAATGTACAAAATTTCATGCAGATCTGTTCAGCCATTGTAAACATGAAAATAACAAAATATTAGTAATTTTATACTGATAACATTTATACAATAGGTGGATAACAACAAGAAGCTCGGTGAATGGGCTGGTTTATGCAAAATTGACAAGGACGGCAAGGCCAGAAAAATTGTGGGCTGCTCCTGTGTAGTTATCAAAGTGAGTATTAAAAACTAATTTAACTATTATAAGTACTCATACAAAGTATTATCATCATCATCATTTCAGCCATTATTCATCCACTGCTGGACACACATACAAATTGTATTTAGGTATAAATTTATAGATTACTAAGGCCAGTAATTGTGTAAATTAGTCCTGGCCTCCATTTTCGTCTACCCTATTAAAATTTTATTTCTAGGTTTTCTTGGATTGAAACGTAAACTGTGCTCTAAATATTTATTGTTCTTTTTTTTATAGTTTAGGGTATTTAAGCTTGAGCCAATTGTAGTGATTATCTTTTGTGGACTGAAATCAGATTTCAATGAAAAGTATATTAATAGTTGGCTATATCTTATGAACGCCTGCATCTCACGTGTGTTGTCGACTTTTTAAAATCTTCCATAATTGCGCTTAGCACGAACACTGGCTACTTTTATGGGTTGTCAGTGATAAATAAATCAGCGCTATATAAAATGAATGACCCTATGGTGCCATGCTTCTGCATACGCAACCTTCCTATCATTCGTACAAAAGATATCTAAAATTCATGGGAGTTACTCATTGCACCTTATTTATATGCATACTCCCCATTATGTTCTTACAAAAATACTGTAAGTGAAAAATCGGTTAAAAACCAAATTGTATGATGAAACTTAATTTTGCTTATAATACTTCAGTAAGCATGTGTTCGAAAATGCTAAAATAGGTTTTATAGGGAACAAAGAAAGTCTATGATTGTACATGCTGATTTGATCTTAAAAAAAATTAAATTCTTCTCTATTCTAAATACAGTTTTTGGTCTAGATTTCATCACTATTGGTTAAATTGTGAAGTCTCGCAAGTGGTATTACACCCATTCCTGCTATCAAGCAACTGAACTTGCTTGACTGTTATGACTTGGTATGAAAACCAACTTTTATATTTATAATCTTAGTATTATAATAATTTAATTTTTATTTTGCAGGATTTCGGTGAGGAGACACCAGCGCTGGACGTGCTCAAGGACTATCTTAAGTCCTCAAGCTAATCTAGATGTCTAAGTTAAAATAAAAAACCAAAAAAAATGAACTTCACTTTTATTAATTAAATCATCACACCATTGCCTTAAATCCTTCTCAATTTTAAGATATCAATAAAGTTAATTAATAATTATGAATACATAATTAAATAGGATTTACTAAGTGGACTTACTTAAATATTGTTTAAACACAAAGTTTGGCAAATTGGTCGCAAAGCTCCTTGTGTTTTGGCCATTGTTGCACTTGGCATTCTCTGCAAACAAACATTTATATACGTATGATTAATAGATACGTATAGTACTAATTTATGTATAAATTCGCGGATCTCTAGTGATGAAACACCATTAACATAAGTAATTTGTCCATTATAAATACATAGCTATTGTAAGTATCAACATTGGGGTACCCCAATTAGATATTTTCGATTAGGTACCTGCTTGATCCAAGAGATAACTGAAAGAAAATCTCCTAGTCAAAATTTTTTTAAAAAGTACTGTTTATTATGATCAGTTAGCAGAGAATAACGATATTAATATGAACAACAATAAATATCGATTCTATTCAATTTGTAGACGATTTTCAAATTAGTTTGTGATTTTGAATTTATAAATGAATGAATACAACACAACGACTGCGATTATAAGCTATTTGCCGACAACTGATGATAATGAAATCTATAAGATCGAACTTATTTAAATTTTGGAATTATAAATGTAAGTAAATATTATTAGCGATTTGAAATTGTTAGGTGTCAAAATCGCTGTTGTGTAAACTCTGCATAATATTCGGTTTATATTTTACTTACATTTTATTACTGAAATAATTGTTTTATAATGACTATATTTTTTTTAAGTCTAGAAGTCATGAAACGAAAATTTAGTGACTATCTAATATTCGGCCGGATACTTAGATCATCTATAATCTAATTTTTTTTTCTAAAACCAACTTTATATATCTCGGCAATGTATCTTTGTAAATGTAATTGAAAATAGCGTTTACATTATGCTTGTTTCCATTAAAATAAATATAAAAATTTTAATAAAAAAAAAATTTAAAGAGTACTTTTCAGAAAATTAAAATTACCGTCCTTTAAAAAAGTACCGATTACCTACTTTAATTTTTAACTTGAACTTCCAAAAGGAAATTTACATCAATTGGCGATTATATCATTAAACTTCTGAATCGATTTTCATAATTCATATTAATATACAACAGTAACGTGTAAATGACATCATTTATGTAATTACTTGAATAAATCTGTTTACATTATAGAAAGTAAGTGTTTACCTGCCGCAGTACCACTCAGTCTTGCAACGCGAACACTTCTTGCTAGCTGCGTCTCCACAACGGGCGCATTTTGCGCCGCCGCTGTCAAGTGCGAGCGCTGCGTCACTCGTGTACGAGTCGAGCAACCTTCGCGCCATCTTGCGAGACTCTTCCGACCCGTCCATGTGGAAGTTCTCCAGCTGAGCCTTAGCTATGGACTTTGTGCGTTTGTGTATTTGTTTCATATATGCTTCTTTTATCTGTTGTGCAATATACATATAATGTAGTATATGCTATTATTTTCGCCAAAACAAAAAAATTATAACACCTTTAACATGACTATATCGAATATCTTGAATATGGAATCTCTGCTTCATGTACCCATATAAATTGTTCAACAGTTGTTTTTCCATTTTAGTTAAAAATTAATTCAAATAAATTAGCCTCAAATGATTGACTATCGATTGTACATTCATTTGAACAAATGATAAAGTACAATACAAATGCTTACACTTATAACACCGAAAGGAAAGGATTTGTTAGTGATGGGGTCAAACCTTATTGCTTGTAGTATACTCTATTTGGTAAGCATCATGGTTAATTTTTGTCGAATTCATCATGATGGGCCATCTGACTTGCTTTCATCTTTATCTATCATCTCTCACTGCATATCTGCATAGATAGCGCAGTCGGAGTTAATGTTCCATCAATACCGTTACGTCGGGAGTTAAAACATTAATGTTACCTGCGGCACTATCTCAATCAGGGTACACCCCGGGTTCTTGACACCGTTTGTCTGGTTGTGGAGGCTGGAGTAATCCCCCACCGAGAGCCTGCACAGGAAATTCTTGAGGTCGCCTAATGGCGGTATTTGGTCCAGCATCACTTCGGTTATTTTTGATTGAAGCTGTGGATAGGGATTGAGGGAGAAAATCAGTAAATCCTTAGACATATTTTTTTTTAATATGAATGCCAAACCTGCTCAAGGATTTTTTTTTTATTTATTATTTTCTTAGCGTACTAAAAGGCGCTACGGTAGCACTCATCTGTTGACGCTATTCTAGAATCAATTGAGCGGTATTGCGGTGCAGTTGAACTTCTTTGGCTTGTATCAATTATCCACAGAATTTATAGATAGTAATAAAACTGAGGTTTACCAAGTGGATACTCATTTAGTATTCAGTTGTGGTGCGGTTATGTTTATAAACACAGCCATAGCTTTACTCAACGTTCCAGTATAGATGGACTGCTTTTACAGAATTCTTATTTTAACAAACAACTACATTTTTAGATAGTATTTTTTTAAAAATTAATACATCGAGTGTGACGAAGATATGACTGTAGCATTTTCAAAGTACCTGCAGTACAGTTGAGCTTCTTTCTCGGGGTTCTGCATGTACCAATAATTGATTACATTTACTGGTAGTGAATGGTACTAACCGAGCAAAACGTGCCACGGCGGCACTCGTCGAGCGTGTAATAGTGTTGAAGACGCGGTTGCAGCATCAGCTGCCGTAAGCACAGCCACAGTTGAGCGGCGCTGCGGTGTAATTGAGCTGCTTCCTCAGCGTTTGGCTTGTTCCAACGACCGACTGTAGACATGCGTATATTTAAATATACTTCGAGATATTTGCTGTATATAAATAACTATATAAACTTGTCCAAAATTTTATTGTTATGTTATGTTGTTGTCGATGTGTGTTTTTTGTTAATGGGTCGGGACTAGGATGAAATAATCAATCTTACTAGTGTAACACAGCATGAGAATAAGAAATCATTAGCTAACGTTTTTGCTTTGTATATTTATGTACTTAAGCATTTCTCTTAGTTGTCAGGTACCTATAGTATAAGCTCTACTAGTATAGGGCTAGATAGAGTTTTTTTTATAGATGATAATGGAATGGTAACCCCGCCTGCGCTATCAGTATACACTGGCGGGTCACCAGTGAGAGATGATAGGTGACGATGAAAGCAGGTCAGTTAGTCCATCGTGACGAATTCCACTAGAATTAACCACGATGGTTTCCAGCGGGAACTGCGTGGAGGTCGACTTGATAGGGTGTGTTGCTAGCAATGGGTCAGTTAGACCCCATTACTAACAATCCCTTTCTCCCCTGTATATGTGTTGCCTATTTTAGGTGCTCAAATAAAAAAAAAAAAGAAATTAAGAATTTATAATATTTTATATTTTTGTAATTTGTTTGAAGAGTGAGAATAGAGTTTCTTGTCAGTTTATCTGGCTTGAATCTACTTTTTTAATTAATAAAAAAGTAAAAAAAAAAAAACCGTAAAAAGTATGTGCTATGTCTATAGGCGACGGTTTATACTTTCCATCAGGTGGGCCATCAATTTGTTTCCCATTCTAAGTTGTATAAAAAAAAGGCAGGGCCCTTTGTTTACTTACAATTAAACATGAGCAGGTCGCCCTTCTCGTCTGTTCTCTTCCACGGCTCCAGTTTTAGAAGGTGCGCCAGTAAAGAGGGCACGTCGTTGGTTTTGTACAAATTGGTCGATATGGATGCACCCACGCTGGCCGCCTCCATATGCTCCGCTATGTAACTGAATAATTCAACAAGTTACTTCTTTTCCTAACTGACAGTCACTGGGGGGAAAGGGATTGTTAGTAATGGAAACTAAGAATCCCATTGCTAGCAATATACCCAACCAGGTCGACCTCCTCGCGGTTCTCCCTGGAAACTATCATGGTTAATTCCCGATGAATTCATCATGATGGGCTAACTGGCCTGTTTTCATTCTCATCTATCACCTTTCACTGGTGCTCCGCCAGCGTATTCCGTTAGCGCAGACGGGGTTCCATACAATTTTCACCCATCAAAAAAAAAACTGACAGTCGCTTAAAAGTTAAAAAGGTAAAATTTCGATTGTTTGGGTGTATTTCGATTTATTTTTATTCGATGATTCGATTATTATTACGTTTTTCATTAATATCGGTCCGTTAACTGTCCACCGCTGAACATAAACCTTCCCCATGAGGGGAGTTTTGCTATTAGCTGCCATGCTTGGCAGGCAGATATGCAACCGCAGTTAGGCTTTTAGAGATATTTTAAGAGGGACTCTGCTGCCCATTTCCCTACTATTAAATTCTTTAGTTGCCTCTTACGACACTCATGGGAAATGAAAGGATGGCCTATTCTATGTCTGTATGTATACATGTATATATAAAATATATAACTTAAAAGAATTTTCATAAAAGCAAAGTGGTTAAATTCGTCTTAATTGTGAAAATATTACAAGAGATAAATCTATACAGATGGCAACTATAAATATGTAGAAATATCTTTCAAGTAAAAAACGATTTCAGATTTAAGTAGTGAATATATCACGTAACATTAAAATATAGACGAATTGAGAAATTCTTCCTCTGTGAAGCTGTTTAATGAAGTTCCTCACCGCACAATTGAGATGCACCTCATGCTGATATCAAATTGTAGGTCGCGCTTCTGTCGGTCCAGCTCCTCGACAGCTGTCTCGCACTCCATCTGCTTGGCGGTCACTGGTTTCAGGTAGCCGTTTCTAATTTACATATATATATATATATATATATATATATATATATATATATATATATATATATATATATATATATATATATATATATATATATATATATATATATATAATCCATATATAAATCATGACAGGGACACCCTATTCATGACCGACCCGATTTACGACCTATTCTCATACTTATAAAATATATATTAAAAAATCATAAAAATCGGTCTAGTCGTAGAGACATTGTTATATATATATTTGTAAATACAATAGGCGCACTCGAGTAAGACGATCAAGCTGGTGAGTTGTTCGACGGCATAGTTGAGAAGGTCCACTACTACGTCGGCGATGCACTGCGCGCCGTCCTCGTGGAACAGCACTGTCTCCAACAAACCCACTGCAGCTGCTTCGTGGTACAACTGCATTCACGCGTGAACAACATGAAAATAAAAAAAAAAAACATGTGAGTGGTCTTAATAAGACCAATAGGTACCAAAACAATTTTTAGAAACTGTAAAATGAATCTGTTACAATAAATTGCATTATCATGGAACATACGTTACCACCATATAAATGCCGAATGTATTAGCCGGCGCCGGCTCTAACTTGAGTATCTGGGGGTATATTTTTATACGCCACACTTGTATGCATATTGCTTCATAAATTAATACGGGCAACTGAAAATAACGAAAACATTGCTTTTATATACTCCAATAGGTATGAATATAGAAAACATTCTATATCTATCTATTGAAAATAACAGGGCAATAGAATGACTCTTCAAATGCCTATACCCGTATTACATATATAAAAGTATATTCGTACATGTGTAATATATCTATATTACCATAATAACCTACCTGCGGTGGATAATTTCTTTATAAAAAGAGAATTTAATGACGACATTGGTTTCATTTCAAATTTGATTTTGAGCAATGTTATAGAAAAATAAAAAACAATATCTCATAATATGGGCATGGTAATATTTATTTTATAGTATTGGTTCACGAACGTAAGTAACAGTTATTGTAATGAAGTTGTTAAAAGGTGGAATGTAGTTATTATTAATTTACCTTCCCACATGATATAAGAGTCTCTTTGGTTAATTCTTCTTGCAGAGAGGAGGCTTCTAAAACAGCTTGTTGGTTAAGTTTCTGCAGCCTAATATGCCAGTCTAACCATCTAAATAAAAGCAGTAATAAAAGTTAATATAAATGCATACTTAATAATATCAATATGATAGTTAATAGTACTTTTACTTACGCTTGATTTCCTATATTTTCTATACGAGACGGTTCCATACTTTCGACAAACATATCTAGTTCGCCTACCTCTAAAGCGCTTAATTGAGGATCTTTATCCACCATTGTTATTAATTTTCTTAAAAAAAGTATTAATAAGCACTACTTATATGAATAAATTCGCAATTAAAAGCAATTTTTGTTTTATTACTATGGAGACGTTTATTCGATAATTTCAAACTATAAAATCGCGCCACAGGAAGTGAAAAAACCTTACTGTTAGTTTATTCCAATAGAGGCGCTCTAGTATTAGAATGCTTTTCTTGTAACACAATAGCGCCATCTAAATGACAAGATTATTTTATTATTCTTTTAGTCGAAGATAAAGGTGCTCATAACTGTTTACATACTTAACTTGATTAGTTAATAAATATAAAATTATTATAATTTGTAATACCAACTGTATTTTTAAATAATAAATTTTTAGCTTTGGCCATCATGCACACTAATATTAATATTGCCAGTAGAAAAATAAATTGAATATGGCGATTACCGGAAGTAATTTCTTTCTGTCGTTCTTTTGATAAATTGACACTCGTGCCGCGTGGAGTTTTGCATCGCAGGTTGTTTTAAAATTGTATATTATTTATAAATTGGTTTAACTTAGTTTATAAATTAATAGGAAGTTTACCGTACGTGTCAATATTTCAAATATTTTTCGTGGTTTTTGTGAAAAGTGATAGAAATTGAATGGATGTCATGCCGCCTCAAAAGCTCCTTGTTTTTCTTTACAACTGAAATCACATGCTTTTAGCAGATTTTTAATATATACTTACTACATATAAAATTAATTTATCTCTTAAATGTATATCGGTTATGGGTAGTGAAAATAATATAATAATAAGGTTCCTTTTTCACTAACCTAACCTCTTTAGTTGTCTTCACGCTTGTTTTCATAGAAGACTAGTTTTTGGGATTTTCAGATTATAATTACGTCCACATTTTCACCCCTCTATTTTTGAATTTAATATGTAAATTGAATAATTTTAATTTTGTTCCTATTGCATACGTTTGTTCGTGCTTAGGTCGTATTAGTCACATTACGAGACTTTCCATTGACAATATTAATAGATTTATTGTTTTTACAAGATTTTTAGGTGGTTTATATTTTTTTTACACAAATTAGAACAGTAAACAAACTGAGCATATAACAGGTAGCTGTTGCCTATTTACATAAACACCACCATGTGTCCTAAAGAATACACTGACGTTCTTGGTACCTCTATGTTGCATGATATTCTTAATATGGTGTTATGCCTCCATATCTTGTAATTTATTGTTGTTTTCCACCTCTCAAACGAGTCAAGCATAAAAATGTGTGTAATACGTAAAGGAGTGGAGTCATATCTGAACATCCATTTACAGATCTACATCAGGAAAAATAGCTCTGCTCTTCGGTCTTGAAATAGTACTTAAGATAAAAAAAAACTGGATATTTTTAACATAATAGTTGAAACTATTAAATAAAAATTTTCATTTATGTAATTTCAATTCAAAAAAAAGACATCTCAGTGTTACTGAGTATGTTTAAAGTTTTAAGAAAGGTAGCTAGCATGAAGGTAGATAAAGTATTAATGTTTTTCTTCAATAAATATTTATAATAATTTTATTTAAATATTAATATTATTAAATTATATACAGTTTCTCAAAACTACATTTCAGCACGATGGTTGCGACAACACAGAAGAAGGCTGACAAGCCTGCTGAAAAGAAGGCCCCAGCGAAGGGCAAAGAAGGCAGTAAGAAACTGCCTGCTGTACCCGAGTCAGTGCTCAAGCACCGCAAACGCAGGGATGCACTTAGGGCTCGTCGTTTACAGGTTAATAAACAATAAACATGGCACAGTTTAAGGCTAGATCATACTATAGATAACAAACTTTATTAAGCAACTAGTTTTATATTTCGTTTTTTTGCTATGAACAATAAAATACAGCCACTTTAATATAACTTATTCTATTATATATGTTCTTCTCATATTCATCATCATATTCTAAGTGTGAAAGTTCGTGAAGATGGATGGATGGATGGATGTTTGTTGCTCTTTCATATAAAAACTACAGGTTAAATTTGGTATGAAGGTAGATTGTATTATAACTTGGAACAAAGAATACTTTATATATTGAGCCATAGAAGGTCAACACATATAAATAGAGTGCATGCTATTTTTTTACTTTCATTTTACATTTACAGTTATTACTAGTCATAATCAAGTTTGATTTTAAGTACTGCCAAGTAATGCTATTGTTCTACCAAATATCTTCATGGGTTTCTGACTAGGACATTGGATGTTAGTTACTTTAAATAATAAACATGCTACATTAATTTATGAATGAAATTATTTATTCGATTTTAAAATACACAGATTAGTAATGGTGTAGGAATATGATGATGGTCTGTAAAACCCATGGATAGGTGGACCCTCAACATTGAGAGAGCCTCCATTAACTTGCAACTAGTTTTAGTTTTGGTCTATTATATACTGAACCTAATAATAAAAATGCCTTTTTTTATTTACTGGGATTCTTTCATTAATATCAGCTTACAATTATGCCTTTGTTGCTGATATTGAATAAATCATAAAATATAATGATGCTCCATAAAAGGCAAATTGTCATGATGATTCCCCATTAAAGGCATAGTTCATCTGATAAGGATGCTGTAATATTACAATCTGATGTCTTTATTTTTTTCATATTTATATCAAAAGATTATTAGAACAATACATAACATAACATATTCTATAACTTCAGGTCACACTCAAGAGGCGTACAGCTGCCATCAAAAAGAAGAAGGAAATCTTCAAGCGTGCTGAGCAATATGTTAAAGAGTATCGTATCAGGGAGCGTGACGAAATCAGGCTGGCCAGACAGGTGAGGCCATTCAGATTTGTATAGTAGGTTGTCATTGATTAGTTCATTAGTGTTATTTTGTTTAATTGTCTTATCCTTAATATGAGTTTGACTGCCATTTGAGGACATTAGAAAAGGCTTTAATTACCATAATAATGATAGTGAAAGTAAACAAAAAAATTATAATCTACAAACTAGTAAATAAATAAGTTTTAAGTAAAATTAGTTATAGACATTTTGTGAATAGTCGTTTTTTATCAATCTACTGTCAGTTTGGAATGCAATTTCATTTGAGAAGAAAAGATATGGATTTCTGCAAAATAACATCTAATTCAGTATTTTTTTTAACTATATGTAGTGGAAACATCCAGTATCAAATCCTGCAGACATGTTATTACTCAAATTACAATCGCTAGGGAGTGTCATGTATGAAGGTGACAGGTTAGAAGAGGATAAAGGGGAAGGATATCCAATTTAGTGTGCTTTTTAGAGAGTATTATTAACAAAAATATGAAACTTAATTACAATATTATTCTACATTTATTATTGTTATTCAGAAATTAGTAGTAAAAAAGAAAATTTGTAATATCAAATATTAATTATATGGTGGTAGATATTTTTTTGTTCCAGTTTTAATAAATTTGACTTATTATTGTATTAAATTTTGTTGTGTAATATTGCAGGCACGCAACCGTGGTAACTACTATGTGCCCGGTGAGGCAAAGCTTGCCTTTGTCATCCGTATCCGCGGTATCAACCAGGTCTCACCAAAGGTAATTTTTTGTTTTTATTTTGTTTAGATGTTAAGGTGTTTAGACTTTTTTTGTAGTAAAATTAGTTAACCAGCTTGCAATTTTGCTATATGCCAACTGTGTGCCAAACAGTCACAAAGTACTGTGTTCATACCCTGTATTTTATCATCATCTTCGAATCAGCTGTTGATTGTCAACTGTTAAATATAGGCCTCTCCTAGTTGGAGGTTAATGTCATTAGTTGCTACAGGCAACCGCAGTTAGGCTTTGGTGATGTGTTATGAGGAACGATGCTGTCCATTTCTCTAACATTAAGTTCTCTAAGTTAATGACACTCATGGGAAAGGAAGGATGAAAATACCCTTTTGCCCATGTGGTCCCGGCATAGAATAGGCCACCCCTCTTCCCGTGGGTGTTGCAAGAGGCGATCAAGAAAGGAAGAAGAATGGGCAGCAGTGTTCCTCTTAAAACATCTCCAAACCCTAACTGTAGTTGCCAATCCGCATAATGCAAAAAAAAAGGGGGAGGCTTATATTCAGCAGTGGATAGTTAAAGGCTGATATGATGATGATAAACTAATGATTTAATATTAACTTGCTGTATGTTTTAATATAGATATTTTTTTTTATATTGTAGGTGCGCAAAGTCCTACAGCTGTTTAGACTGCGTCAGATCAACAACGCCGTATTCGTACGACTTAACAAAGCTACGGTGAACATGCTGCGCATCGCCGAGCCTTACATCACCTGGGGATATCCTAACCTCAAGAGTGTACGCGAGGTAAGCACATCCATCTGCTATTAACGGGGTCCTTTTATGGTAAAATTAATCTTTACTCAAATTCACTTTTGTTTCAAACTGATCGAAATGACGAATCAGTGGTGTATGTCAATATTGTTTAACAACTTATTTAATTGAATATTATGTAAGAGATTCTAATAAATCTCCATATAACTTTTGGGTTTCTGTTTCTGATAGTAAATAATCAATTGTTTTGTGATTATGGCATTCATAAATTTTTTTTCCTCTTTAGTTAATAACATTTATACTTTGCGCCTTGTAGCATTTTGTAGGCCACATAAATTATTAAAATTGTATGATATTGAATTTGCAAAATATTTAATCATATTTATTTATCAATCATATATTTTGTTTATTATTATTAGTTTGACTTGTACTTCCAAACTTTAGTGCCATGTTACAACGTGCAGAATATAGATTATAGGGATTTCATAGTTTGACTAAAAAACAGTACTATTTCAAGTTGAATGCATATTAGTTTATAAAAGAAATATAGATCAGTAACATTATTATATGTTTCCAGTTGGTATACAAACGTGGTTTCGCAAAGGTGAATGGTCAACGTGTGCCAATCACATCCAACAAGATAATAGAAGAAAAGCTTGGCAAGAGCAACATCATTTGCGTAGAGGATCTCATCCACGAGATCTTCACTGTTGGTGACAAGTTCAAGGTAAATATGTTCATTTTAATAGCTTACATCATCCTTCAATCATACACAAAAAAATCTTTTCCTAAGGCAATATTAAGGCGTAAGAAAAAGTATCTTTTTTAGTAAATCCTGTTAGGTTGATATTTCACTTTCACACTAGGTGTTTGTATACAAACCAGAGGGAGACTTTGTATAAAAGTTGTTTCCTTGTGCACCTCTATCCCATTTGTGTTGCAACCGTGAAGCAGTTGTGTTTGAATGGCTGTGTTTCAGTTTGAAAGGTGGGAAATGGCAGTGAATTTACAAGATATAGAGGAATAACACCGGTGTCCTCAGAAATTGCAATGCATGGAGGGTATCATGGGCGAAACAGTATAAACAGTGCTCATATCTATAGGCAACGGTTACCACTTTCCATCAGGTGGAAATCTAAAAAATTTTATCATAATTAATAAATTATGTCTAGTATAATTATAATAATCCATGTGAATAGATTTTACTTCATACATTATATAGCATAAAAACTAGATCAGCATCTAACGACGGCGATGTCATAGGTTTATGCTAGTTTTATTGTTGTTTTGTATCTGTAAAAATATTTGATATACATAGCCAGATTTTAATACATTAGACTGATAGCGTACACAGATTGCGACTTAGTCTTATTATTCTTATAAAGTAGTGAAGTCGCAGGATACGGTCAGTATTTTATAAATAGGAAAATGTATTAATGTAAAAAATGATTTAGAATACTTTATCTGAGGGAGAATCTATAGTCTTCTGCAATAAGTGTTTATCTTTGCAGTATGCAAGCAACTTCTTATGGCCATTCAAGCTAAACAATCCGACCGGAGGATGGCGCAAGAAGACTATCCATTACGTTGATGGCGGTGACTTTGGCAACCGTGAGGACAAAATCAACGAGCTCCTCAGGAGAATGGTCTAAATATATATAGATTATAATAATAATTTTGGTTTTTTATTTTTTATTGACCTTGACATGTCTGTGGAGGTTCATTCCTCCTTCAAATCATGTTTTGAAGAAATATGAATGTGGTTGGGCTCTTTTATGGGTTTAAATATAATGGTAACCCCCCCTGTGCCATGGTATACACTGGCGGGGCACCAGTGAGGGATGATGAGGTGAGGATGAAAGCAGGTCAGTTAGTCCATTGTGATGAATTCTACAATAATTAATCAGATTGCTTTCCAGGAAGAAGAACGTGTAGGTCGCAATAGATACGAGCAAGGATTTTTTATGAGCCAATGAATCCGAATTACTAGTAGACAATTAGTACACGCAAGACCAGAAAAATGACTGAGGACTAGTACCTAGTCTATAGTAAAAAAATATTCTTTTCCATGGGACTCGTATGCCAAATTTCTCGACGACTAGTTGAGCTTCTAAGGTGCTCAACCGATTAAAAAAATTACATATTAGTGTTACTTTTAAAAGATGAAAGTAAAACTATAAATAGAATTATTATTAAATATTTATTTCATCACAGATTTATTTATATTAATGCAATTTTCACTCATACCATGCAATAATCTATAATACATAAAATAAATCGTATAACAAACAATAATCATTAACAAACCATGGTTGGGTAAAAAGTATACTACAATGAAAAGGATATAGCTTATTACTACATTTGCCAGATGGTTTGATATAGGGTTTTACTTTGTGTTTTCTAACAATATCGTGGGTTGAAAAATATTAATAATATGACTGTGCATTTTATAAAAAAAAAATATAAAATGCTATTGGAAAATGTAGTACAGAGCTACTTGGGGGCTATATTATGGTCAATTGATGCACTGCATCAATTGCTCAAAACTTTTGAAGGGAGACTTCATTATTGTTTCTACCATTCATTATTTACTGCGGAAAAGATAATGACACGATCAGTTTAAATATTAAATCTCTAAATTTAATGGCACCTTGGAAGTCTGATAGTTTTTATAAAAAATTTATAGATTCAATTTTCTATATATCACTATCATATTGGAAAAGCACCAATCACACTTCGTTGAAATTGATCTGCCAATAAATAGAATTTGTCCAAAGGACAAACGCCCGTAGCACATGCAAATAATTCCTTTTTTAAGATCTGAAAAAAAAAAGAATGTAAGAGTATAAATATAAAAATTAGTTTATTAAACCTTGGTGTGTATGTGGTATGGGTATGTGGTTTTAAAAGAAGGTGGTTTGAAAATACAGGTTGTACTTTGTGTGGTTAAGTTATCTTATATCTTCACCGATTCTAAACCAGTTTTGACAATTATTTATAGATTTAATAAAATTTACTTCTGCATTAGGATATTGTATCACAAATTGAAGTGATTGAATTTATTTTGTGGATTAAAATTTTAAATTATTAAATATGTGTAAATGATGGAATTTAAATATATGCTTATTGAAAATGTGACAAACTGTAACTGCATTGACGTATTTAACATACTATAGGTGGGAGGGGGGAGAGGAGGGCCCCTTCAAAAGGCTTATATGTACTCCCAGATATGTTTGTGAATGTTCACTCGGGTCTTGGGATAGGTAACAGACAATTCTGAGGTGGGTATGGCCCACCCTACACTCCCTCTATATACACGTATAAATAAATGTTATGCCTACTTTATGTAAATTGGACCGAAACATAAGGCTATCTATTATTCGTATGGTTTGCCTCAACAGATTGATTTAAAATATATGCAAGTTATAAAATAACACACACCTCTATAACATTGTACAAAGCATGAGTAACATATTCTCTCTTTGCTTGACCCTCAAAATTATTGTAAATTACTTTAGAAAAGAAATTCCTTATGTTGAATGCTATACATATATTCCTACTTGTCACTTTTAATACAGGCAATGATGGGTCATCATTGATTATAACTAATTTAACTTTTTCATTACCAATTCTAAAAGATATATCATTCTTTGAATCTAAAAATTCTTTCATTGTATACTCTTGTATTAGATAGTCTGTTCTGCTTAAGCTAAAATTTTTTCTACAGTAATCTTGATTTTTCAATAATTCTCTATAATTGACTGGGAGTTTCAAGTACATAGACCAATTTAGTGCTTCTTCATCTTTTGTTATATCAGAAAATGTAAATAAATCTTTATGATGTTCACTTGCTATTTTATATATCAAATCTTCTATATTATCTACTGATTCTTTAATAAATACATTATTAGTATTAACAGCAGTTGTTATTAAATGTTCTGAATATAAAGGTATTTCCTTTCTACATAAAGCAGACCACAGCACTTGTTTGTGATCATGTGCCCCTGGTATCTTCACAATAATTTTTATTAAAGCCTTAACTTCAAATATTTTTGTGTTTCTATTGTTTAAACCTATCAAAATGTTGACTTTTCTCAGTGAGCCTCGCAATTTTACACTTGTTGTTTTAAGTATTTTTGAATTGATGTCAACCATTGTTACATGTACTTTTAAGTCATTTAACAAATTGGATATCATGTTAGCAAATACGTGTTGTATTGTTACAGTAGAAATCTTAACAACAAACAATAATGCACCTGTTTTAAAATATTCCTCTATATTATCTGTAATAATTAAATCTTTATTATCTTGTAGAGCTTCTTGATAACTTTCATACACAACAATTCTGTGTTGAATAAGGCCATCCATTAAATCTTGTCTATTTGATAACGCTAGTGCTGTAATATAATTACTCTCTTCTTGTACCTTTTTTACAATATCATTGTACTTTTCAACTGCCTCTAATATTCCATATAAATATTCAGAATTGTTTAGAAGTTTTTCTGCTGGTACATAAGGGTCACTTGTTGGTTTAATATATGATGTCTCATCATTCAATGATATAATATATAAAAACTTATTGTATGTAGTGCATATTATATATTCTCCACATTTAATAAAATCTTTAACATATTTGACAATAAGCTCTCGAAAATTAATATCATTCTTAGAATATATGTTCAATGATATCCACATATCAACACCATCTGTGTATATTATATTCTCATTTAGATTTATATACTTATAAATTGCTGTGTTTAAATAAATAATTTTAGGCTGCTCAGTTATATTTTCTAGATTTAATATCATCAGACATCCCATTTTTAATGAAATTAATATTGATAGACGATCTTTATCTATAATTTCTGCATTACATATTTCGGAGGGGCATGTATATAATTTTTCAATGGAAACCTCATCTTCGATCATTTTGGGACTGAATAAACAACTATATATAGTTAATCTATCAAAAGATATTAATATAATATTGCAATCTTCATATGTTTTTATTTCATGGATTTTTTTTATTGTTTCAAAATGGATTGCTCTAATATTACGTGATGACAATAAACATTTATTTGAGTTAGGTTTAGGTAAAGGCCATGGCCCAGAATGCTTTATTGCAACTTTTTTCTTTAGTTGGAAAGTTGCAGTGAATCTATGAAGAGAGAGGTAATACATTTCAGATTGATATTTGAGACAAAAAACATGGTCTTGACGATGTTGAGAAAACATTGTAACATCTTGTTCTCTTACCTGGAAGAAACTTTTAAATCGTTTTGTAGCCGGGCTCTTAAATCTTAGCGATGTTGTGTGAACATAATGATTATTATCCAAACATAAAATATAGTTGTTATGTAAAATTAAAGTATGGATTTGAAAATCTGGAATGAATGTTTTAACCACACTCTGTAAATTATTGTGTTCGTAGACCAATATTTGAAACTTATTCCAGAGAACAATCGTAGATGTTATCTCGTCTTGAGCTATATTTACACAATCGTACAGTTGAACATCTGACTGGAAACATTTTTTCATCAGGTTACTTGTACCAAACATATTCACTTTACAAAAGTATTATCTTGGTTGTTGAATATAATTTTCATCGACTTCATCTAAGCAAACACAGTAAATTGAAAATCAGTAAAAAAAGGCGGTTAGAAGTTGAAGCAAAATAAATAAGAGATTTGACATTTGACACATTTGTCAATTTTTGACATAAATTTAGAAATCAAACTATCAGTTTACAAAGTGTAGTTTGTTTTTTTTTATCAAACATGCTTGGAAATGTGAGCATTATTTTGACAATCTTCTTCAAGATAAATCAAAATTGCCGTACTGGCCAGATACATGCAGGCAGTGGCCGGCAAAAGTTGTATGAAAATCCATATCTGTCGTGTTTTGCGGCCAGATAAATTACTATGTAAACTCATATCTGTCCTGTAATTTAAAAATGGAATAACCTTTTACTTCGAAACATGGCTACTAAGGAGGTAACTAATAAAAGGTTTTATTTAATTTTCGAACTGGCTTGCAAATAGAAAGCTGTTTATTGAAAAAAAAACAAAGGAACATTATGGCGCGTGAAAAATTATTATTGCTCGTTATTCGTCATTGAACTTAAAAAGTAAAATTGTATTTTTGATTGCCTCGCATTGTATGAGAAAAGTACTATACAAGCCTAGGCACACAACTAGGCATTAATGGCTCAGTTGCTGGCTGCTACAATAATGGACTATTATTGTTAGGGGATATTATACTATCTATGGCATTCATTCTTGGGCGTTATTTCTCTAACCCAGTTCTAAGAATAACGAATTACATAGAAGGAATGATAAAATAAAATCTGTAAATTATATGATTGTCTTGGGATGAAAGATACACAATCAGTTGCTATTTTGTCAATTCATAGTAGACTAGTGTATAGAAAATATTATACGATCGTATAACCCTACTAAATTCAGATACAACCTGCTTGCATACTTTTTACATAAACTGTCAAATATATAAACTAGTAATGTAAATGAACAAAAAATTTGATTATTTACATTACGACTGTTATATTAGAATTCTGGATTTTCAATTTTTATAGTTGTGAAATTGAATAAATTTTGTTTTATTAAAATTAACTTTAAGGTTAATAGTTTATTATTACTGCTATTATCTGTAATAAAAATGGTCCCATCATCTGCAAACGTCACACAGAGGTGTTTTGTGATTTTAGGTAAATCGTTTACACTAACTAGAAAAAGAAGTGGATCCAGAACATTACCTTGAGGGACTCCTACAATTTGTGTATCTGTTGGGGTTAGTCCAGGTCCATTTTCTGTGGGGCTGCTTTTGGAAGAAGGAGTTCATTATAAAGAGTACCTTCTTAAGAAGTTCGTAAGAAGTCAAGCAATTGCTTTCCATAGGATTTCCCTGCTTGATACCGTAATTCCTCATTCTCGTCTCATAGTCTTTTCTTGTGCCCAGTTTAGCGTTGAAGTTCCCTGTTTATACTGTCTACCGAGTATTAGAGGAACGTATGACTGTTGTAATGTCCTCATACTTTGCTTCTACATTATTATTAGTGTGTCACGGTCGGCGCATATATCAGTATAACATTCAGCGAATATCTTTCGGAAATTCTGAGTATCAGGTATGCCACCCTTGTCAATCATTGAGACAGAGGGAGACTTTGTACAAAAGTCAATTGCTTGGGCACCTCTGTCCCATTCGTGTTTCTACCGTGAAGCAGTTGCGTTTGCATGGCTGTGTTTCGGTTTGAAGGGTGTGATATGGCGTGAATTTATAGGGTACAGAGGAATAACACCCGAGTCCTCAGGAATGGCAACGCATGGGGGGTATCATGGGTGAAACAGTATACTCTGTTATGTCCATGGTACTGCTCATGTCTATAGGCGACGGTTACCACTTTCCATCAGGTGGGCCGTCAGCTTGTTTGCCATTCTAAGTTGTATAAAAAAACATTATTAACGAGGAAGTTGCGGATAATTGACCCGACACCACCATGGGGCGGAGGTCGCCCTCCTGGTGGTAGAATAAGTTATTGGATTCAAGGATGATCGTTTTTCTCCTCCTGTCTTCGAGTTTCAGATAATCCTATGATATCCCAGTGTAACTTGTTCACCTCTTCCAGCTCCACAATCTTTTCGAGTACCTAATATATTTTGCCGGGGGAAAGGGATTGTTAGTAATGGAGACTGAGAATCCCATTGCTAGCAATATACCCAACCAGGTCGATCTCCTCGCGGTTCCCCCTGGAAACTATCATGGTTAATTCCTGATGAATTTATCATGATGGGCTAACTGGCCTGTTTTCATTCTCATCTATCACCCTTCACTGGTGCTCCGCCAGCGTATCCCGTTAGCGCAGGCGGGGTTACCATACCATTTTCACTCATCAAAAAAAAAAAATAGTTTTGGCAGATTCAATCGTCTTAATTGGTAAAAATATCTCTGCCAGAGATTCTTAGCACCCTTGCTCCACTGTCACCGTGACCGCGTACAATTTTACTCGTCAATAATTTTTAAATTTAACACGATATAAACGAAAAACACGATATTTAGTGCAAACCATCTTATTGCCTTACCGATGGTGTATCAGTTACTAATTAAAAAAAAAAGTTCACCATCTCTTATACAATAATAAGTTTCTTTTATACCACTGAGGTGGCAAACAAGCATACGGCCCACCTAAAGGTAAGCGGTTACCATAGCCCACGAATGCCTGCAATTCCAAGGGTATTATGCGCGCGTTGCCGACCCTGAATAAACTTTAAAAGGGCTCTTTTGAAGAACTCCATGCTGTAGTCTCTTAGGAAAACCTCGGCAGAGAGCTCATTCTATAACCTGAGTGTTTCCCTTGTTATTTCCCTATCTACAATTGTTTATTCTTGCTTTGCGAAGGAAGTAGGCTACTATTTATCTCGGTCAGTGAACATATCGTGGTAACGCGAATGAATTTGCGGGTAAAAGCTAGTTAGGTAATATAATAAAAACAAAATGCGTAACATCATTCTTTTACTTCAAGAAACAAAAATTAAGTACACAAAGGTAATTTAAAAATTTCATAATTTTATCAAATATCTAATACAAAAATGATAAAATTTTAAGCGGAATATTAAAAAAAATACATTATTGACTGAAATTTAATAAAACTATTAAGTTGTTTTTATTTTACCCGTTATCATATATATATATATATATATATATTGTGACACTTTTTTATCTCTTTAACACTCCTAGGAGATATGTAGGTACCTTCTAAAGGATTGCAGATTGTATTGCAGATTCAAAAATTAAATATTACCTTCAAGGGTTTGCGGTGCCAAACCTGTCTCAAATTAAAATGTTAATTTGATACCACAGCGAAATCTTTATTGTAAGGACTAATATTAATTAATTTTATCATAACTTTAAATTTTTATCTTTTTAATCCACGAAACAGTGTTTTCGCATAATTATCAAATTTAATTATTGGATGGAGAGATATACTTAGAGAAATAGCTCTTCAGAACCAGTCCCACTTTTAATATAAGAACATAGATGAGAAATGGTTACCAGATTGTCAAAGATTCCGAAATTGAATGTTCTTAGCAGATTGTATTGATTTCTTTTTTAGATTTAGTCCCGTTTCAAGGAGTTGGATTAGTTAAGTTATTTTAACAAAGATTTACGTTACGATTGCGTTCAAGTTTATAATTTCGGATTAAAATCTGTGTTTCCGAAACTATTCACTACAGGCGCTGTTAAATTTTTAATACTAACTTATCCTGAACATACACATAAAGGTGAACGCAATCGTAAAATAAATCTTTGTGTAACTCATACTAGGCACTCAGTTTAAAATATATTTGAAAGTAGAAATTAATTACCTACTGTATCTAAATCAAATTTAATAAAATAAATTATATGAAGCGGATCTCTCCTTTTGCCCTTCCACTTTCATCTAAGATAAATGACATGAGCATTTCATTCGAATCATCCTTAATTTTCCTAATTTTAAAATTGGAATAGACAAAACTATATTTTTTTATTTACAAGCAGCAAGATAATAGATAGTAAATAAGATTTTAAAAAAAAATTTTAGAAATTATACGGTTTGATACTTAAGTTAACACTTTATTATCATGAGAAATCAGACTATCAAAATAAATACACACAATCCAGAATATCCAAAAGTATCCAAAATAATTTTATAAAAAGTGGTTTGTTATATTGGCCCAACTGAAAATTGAACCCGGGACATTACATCTTTACGAAGGTCGTCAAATTACTTCCTATTAGGTGTTGTTAAGACAGAAATGAAATTACAGTTGTCATATTTTGTGTTTTAAAATTTATTTCAATAACTAATTTCTTGTTGAATTGGATGAAACGTTGTTTTCAATTAATCTTTTTATTGGAATGTAGATATTGGTTATGTTATGAGTTATTCTAAATGGCAATACAAAAATCCTTAAGACAATGAGGTAATTAATCAGCACAGTGCGAAGACAGATCCGTCGTTTAGAAAAAATAAAACTAAAAATTACGATATTTATTTAAATTATAATCGATTGTGATATTTATTTACAAAAAACATGTAGATAAATTAATAGAAAAGTTAGGAATACAAATTCATTATTCTTTCTTTAGTAAGTTACAAAATATTTCTAAAATTGTTTGGCACAATATGTTCATATATATTTACGTAGTCTTCACTATCAATTAGAATGTTACATATTTTGTGAAAATATTTATATCAAGACTCCATTTATTAAATAAGTAAATTAATAAATTAAAATATAATTAGCAAATTATACAGGACCTAACAGAATAGGTAACTAGTTATAAAAGTATGAAACTTATCGACAGTACACATTGAAACAGATTTTTTTCATTGTTAGGTACATTATTTGTGGTCTAACATTATAAAAAATATTTTGTGACTCGCTCGGTTAAATCAACGATTTAATATGGAAGATTCAAAAGTTCATAAGAGTTATTCTGTGTTCGTAGAGTGAGTTGAACAAAAATTTAAACAACGTTTACCTTAACATGTTTGTATGGTAAGTTTGAGCTATTGAAACCATTTGTTAGAGGTGTAATTGAGTTGTCAATACAGTAAACGTTAATACAGTACAAACGTAAATCAATGTAAACTTAGGGACTCACGTTACATATACCTATATACTACCGATGAGTTTCGGATACTCATTTTCACCTCTTGGTTACCTCTTATATATAGTGTAAAATATAAAATATACATACACTTGAGGTACTTTTAAAATTTTGATCTTTTTGAATTACATTTAATTTTATAATGGGAAAAATACAATATGACAGTTACAATTTGAGATAATTGAGCAAACTAACAACGACAATAGAAATATAATTGTGCTTATAATTCAACACATTGAAGCGTAAAGTTTTAGGCAAGAAAATAGCACGTTTTGATAATTATGTACAAAACAATAAATATTAAATACTTACTCGTTGGAAAATCAATAAGGTGATCTCCAATGAAAAAACTAATTGGCACACTTTCACATTGAATCACTAGCTTTACTAATTCTAAGAGTAGGTACAAATTATAAACTACGTTCAGTGGTTTTTGTTCAACTTACCTGTAGACTGACAACACTGGGATAGTAATATATAGATATATTCTTAATTAAAAAAAATCATTTATAAATATTATAATTTATAGCTGATTAAGTATATTGTCAGATTTTAGTAGCCATACAGTTCTACCGAAATGTATATCAAAATAAAAAAAAACTATTTAATTTTTTTTTGTAACAGGTTGGTATATAATAAATACATACATTATTACATTGTAACAATTAAAAATTAAAATAATTTTTAATAGTTACATATCTACTTAGACAAGGTAAAAATTTAAATTGATTAAAGTTACAAAATAAATTAATAATAATAATATAATTGTCGTTCCATTTTCAGGTAAGTTGTCAGATTTGCAAACGTATCTATCACACAGAGTAATGCTCGTGGAAAATGTATTTTTATTTTGTTGTCTCTATAGTTCTATATTATTTACAATTAATAATTTGATATGTTTTCTTATTGCGGTGGATGCGTAGGTGGAACTATTATAGTTTGTGGCTGGAATTAAGTTTTAATTTAATCAGAAATTATCATAATTCATTTGATGTAAATTTATATTCTTACATTGTGATGTGTAACACGTTAAATAGTGTTGATCTTTCGAACCAAATGTTAAACAATTTAATGACGTATTTATTATATTTTTAAAATTCTGTATCTGAGAGAAAATTCTGCGAAATAATTAATAAACCATCTTGGCAGGTCTTTTGAAACAACAGTGCATAAAATATGCGAGTAACTTTAAAATAAAAAAAAAAAAAATTATATGAATTTATATTTTTACGAAATGAAATTTAAAAAATAGTAAGATATGCTAATATTATAGGTATGGAGGTGCCAAGTATAGGAAAATAGATTACATTTCAAATTCAAAATAAATAGACATCTAAAACATTATTTTTCCGTATAATCAAAAAAAGAAATATTGATATATTTTTTTGATATTTCCTGTTATAATTTTCTAAGGATTATGGTTGTTATGGTTGTGAGTATGGGAAATTAGTTATTGATCACCATTACGTAGTCCCACCTACGTTACAATGCGAAATTTTATTACAATTAAAATATTCGCCTCTGTAAACAATGAGAAATCATGAGTTGTTATGTATATCTACTTATAAATGCTTATTAATACTAATGTTTTATATCTATCACTATATGTACATATTCTCACAATCTCGAGTATCATAATTGCACTTTATTCGTATGCGGGTCGCGTCCGAGTCGCGTTCATAAAAATAAATACGCAATCTCACATTTAATGGCAGTTAGATATTTAGTATTTAAGAAAAAAAATTTGTTCTATGACACCTTTGCTTCCATTTTTTTAATTAAAAAAATAAATTTATCGTCAATGGTCGAAGTTGTGTACAGTGAACAAGAGATATGGAAGTCGAAGCCACAAGAAAAAAATTGTCTATATGGTCTGTGATATTTTTTTAGAACCATGTTTGAAATTATCAATTTAAGCATTTTGTTACATAAGTATGTATTTTTAAGAACCTTTAATTTACCCAAATTCAATAGAGCTTAGATAAATAATATTTTTTTAATCATAATGATATTGATGATAGTAATTAATTGCGATCCATATGTGAATGTCCATATGTTGTAAATTCAGAAGGAGCCGATTTTTGAAGATCATACTGTAGTTATTCAAGGAATACTTGTGACACTGTAAAATTTCTTATATATTGACCAGACTTTAATAATAGGTAAAACGTTATAGGTAAAATATTTTTATATTTTAATTTAATTAACCCAACGATTAGTATTATAGTTTTAATAAAAGAGGTCGTCACGTTCCGAGTACAGATTAATTTTGACAGTCCCTGAATAGAGGACGTTCTCAGATTAATTACTATGTAGATATTACGTCTATTAGAGACGCCATTATGGTTCCTTACACCGTCAGTGACGTCACACCCATTACTAGCTCCCTTACAGGATGGAATGTTCCGACGATATCGTCGTCCGTCTTATGTTACTTCTTAATATCGGGGTCCATCTTTGTTTTGTCCATTGAAGATGTCACCATGCCGCTTTGGGGGTATAATTTGTCTAAATGTTTGAGCGATTCATTCAGGAAATTCTGTGAACAAAGAAAAAATTTGATAAATGCGTGTTTACTGTAATATAAATAGGCGGGTCCCTCTTAAAACATCTCTAAACCACAGAATTTAGAGATATTTTAAGAGTCAGCAGTCAGATGCGGTTGCCAATGCACCTGCCAAGTGTGGTAATTACTGGCAAAAACCCCCAAGGGGGAGGCTTATGTTCAGCAGGGGGCGGTTAATGGTGGATACGGTTACGGTTAACGGTAAAAGGTGGATAATAACAATAGTACGGTGCTGGTTATGTTTATAGACGATGGTTACCGTTTTCTATAAGGTGGGTCATCCAGATCACAATTACGTTTCAATTCAATTTCGTTTCTTTGCAGTTTTTGTTTTATCTTTATTAGGTGGCATTTTAAGTATTAGAAAAAAAGTAAATTAGTAATACATACTTGTATAGCCGTGAGTGCGGCCACGATGGCCGGGCCGCCGAATCCGTGCGATATGAGGGAGAAATGCGTTAGATGTCGCTGTATTGCTGGCTCCAGGAGGTGCGGCGGCCGGGTGTTGCACAACGGAGACCGGTCCTGGTTTAGGAGGTCCATCAGCTCCTTTGTCACCTGGTGGGGGTAACTGGGATTATTTGGGGGATTCATAATATGTAGCGGCAATTTCTTATATATCTATAAACCTTGTTTACAGGTAATGGTTTTGGTAAGTCCATTAGCTTCTTTGTCACCTGGGTAATTGCGATTATTGAGGGATTCAAAATACATGTTGGCAATTTTTAACAAACGAAGGGTAATATGTTGTTATGCAAATTTTAATTAGGTCCGTCAAATCTTTTAGCATCTGACAGAAATAATTGGGATGGTAATTTCTGATAGAAGGGAAATAACACCTTGTTAGGTCAGGTTATTATTTTTTATAAGGGAATTTATATTATCTTAGCTAGGCCTAATGTACGTTGCTTACGGGATACATCGCATATAAGTGGATATTAGGACATTTCCAATAGTTTTACCTATATTTTCCGGTATGATTATGTTTTGTATATTTTAATTAGGTTATGTTTTAGGCGGTCCATTAGTTCCCCATCCTCTTAATAGTGGTAATTGGGATTATTTAGGGATTAAGAATATATAATAATATATAGGGGATTAATATGTACGTCGATTTTAATATGTACCATCTAAAACATTTGACACATTCACGCCGGCGCGCTAGACTGTCTCATTGGACGGTGCGTACCACCGGCGGTACGCACTAGATTGTCTTATCTGGCGACGCGTACCACCGGTGGCCCGCACTAGACTGTCTTTTCTGGCGGCGCGTACCACCGGTGGTACGTATTCGATTGTACTATTAGCATCAATTAGAGCGCCGCCTCGTAGCAAAAAACATTAAAGTTGGCCCCGGAGTGAATGTGTTAAATGACATTTAATATAATGATTTTATACGACTGTAACAATTGTACATTAAAAATTAGTTAAAACTAAAAAAAAGAAATTAAAAATTAAAACTGCACAATGATGACTTAATTTTTTTTATTTATTTGGCCTTGTCCCTAAGGCATCAACCAAAACAGTACCTTATAAACATGGCTGTAACGGCTAAAAGAGAAAACGAGCAATAAAATAAATAGACAATAAGTAGAACAGGAATAAGGTTAGAACAGTTTTTAATGTACCTGTTTGGTGGCCTGCAGCAGGTCCCTACGACGGCGGGCGTCGTGTTCCGCGTACTGCCGCGCGAGGTATTCGGCCAGCGCACGCGCCGGGAATTCAGTCTCGCACACGTAGCCGAAATCACGCGCTAGGTGCACCGCCTCCGCTGTACGTTTACATTATAAACGTTTAATAAAATAAAAAATATATCTACATAAAAGAATAAGTAAATTAAGATAAATTCATTTATTTATTCTTAATTAATTAATTAAGAATAAATAAATTAAGAACATTTTTTAATCTTTTTCTTCAAATGAAGAGATAGGATCGCTTGAATCTACCTGGCGTCTCTGAGTAAGTTTTGAACGGTGCCTTCTTGATGATGGAAAATAAATGATCATTGAAGATTCGCTGTTAACTGCAAAGTACCAACGTCGAACTTGATGCAATACGAGTAGGTACTTTACTGAACTTTACTTTTTACTAACTGCTCTCAGACGTCGGCGTTTTTCTTGGGTTTCGGTGCCATGTTTCTAATTATGAAGAAAGAGAGAGATCTTAACTTCTATATTTAAAATCTTGTGGATAGATTCTAGTACCTTCTACAAGTGATGTGAGGAGGGTAACGTTGGCAGCTTTCCGCCGTCCTGCCGGCAAGTTGAGGCCGATCTTTTCCAGTTTTTCACGGAGCAGTCGACCGCCATTTTTGCTCTTAGCTCTGTAACAATGTTAAAAAAATAAAGCTAGATACCATTACTTTAAGCAATATTTAAATGAAATTTAAAATTTTTATTTAATTTAAAAAGAAACATATGTTAAGCTGTCCATTAGTTTAGGAGTAACGGTGTCACAAATAAACAAACAGACACGTCAAACTTATGACATCGCTCTTTTTGCGTCAGGGGTTAAAAGAAAAATATCGATAGGAAGTACCTAGCTATCATATAGGTCCTTCAAAAAACTTACATGAACAATTTCAAATCGCTGTTTAGACACTTTTCAATTATGCACTTCTTCAATTATGCACTTTGGATTATTAGTTTAAAATATAGGTACATTATGAACAATATTTAGCAGCAAGTACATTTTCTAAAATCATACCATTGTACATTTTATAATCGATCTTCACGCTAAGTCATCACGCCCATTTTTACTGTCGGTTAAATTCGTTGAATACTTAGAAAGCATTTGGATTTTTTACTTGTGCCTATCATATTTACTACCACATCAATCGGTCACATTAATTACTTTCATATGACTTGTAGAAGTCAATGGAGCACAGTATGGGATCTGAATACATACAACGCTTAACCTACAAACTCATTTTGTTCATTATTCACTGCGCCATCATGACTAATAACTGAGATATTCTATGATAGATATTTATTATAATATCTTTACGAATATATTGCTCTAAAATAATCGCGCATGCCTACAGTTAATACGCCCCGCCGTACTTTTTCATATTTATATTGATCGTTGACCGAGTCGTTGAACTTAAAAAAAAAAAACAATAAATTAAAAAGTATACACGTCAATCGACCGACGTGATGGTTGCGTGCGGGTGATGTCGTTAGTACTGCTACTGACCGATAGATCGAGCTACCGATAACCTATCGATTACCGTCAAAATCGTAATTCGTGATTGACGCGTAGAAAGTTGCCCGAAACAAGTTATAAGTGGATCGGAGAGAAACATTACAATTCGGTTTATCTCTTCGTAATAGAGTTGTATTTAAATTGTCAGGGACAATATTCGGCTGCATAGATTAAAATTGTGAGCGTGTGTTTGCCGGTTGCAGTTATGCTACTACGAAGGAGCTACCAGTATTAACCGTCAGAGAATAAACGCTCGTTAACCGAATCGTTTTCAATAAATTTATTCGACGATTTCTGAATAATGTGCACGAAAGAATGCCGTCCAGTTACTGTTGTGACGCGTGATTGATTTGAAAAAGCATTGAGTCTTTCATTTTTCAATACTATATAATTATTGATAGACAGAATTGGAGTCATAGACAAGAATGTGGTTGTTCAATTAGTAAAATATTAAACGTTTAATCGTATAGTGTCAAATATTTTTATTTTCAATTATGAATTTGCCCGTTTTGATGTTTTATCGAGGCTATAGGTCAGTTAGCGTGAATAAAATTTAATTAATCGCTTTGTGTTTTGAAAAATAATTCTAATATATACGGTACGGGGCCGTGGTAAAATAATTTTATGCTTTATAAATCTAACTCATTCGTTAGAACATACTGGAATGGAGGACAAATATATAAAGACTTATGTTCTATAATAAAAGTGCAAGTCTGGATTACAATTTAACTTTTTATACAATGGAACTGTCAACGTGTTTACGACGAACTTCATGATGTAATTGTTGAGATCACTGTTCTTTCTTCCAGTAGTTGTGGGTTCAAGTCTTCCATAATAATTTGCAGTTATGGTTTCTATAATAAATGAATAACAGTTATCAAAACACTAAACAAATGCGAAAATTTCTTTTTAAAAATTGGGGACGATAAAGAAAACTAAGAAGTATATGTGTATTAATAAGAAGCAATTTAGAAAACAAGAATCTTGAAGGAAGCCAAAAGGGAACAATGAAAAGGTGATAGTATTGAATTTGGTAGATAATATATATATAAAAAAAAAAAAAAAAACTATAGACAATATAACTGACCTGTACCCCATAAACGTGTTTCATGACATTTACTTAATCATGCAAAACATATTTGGAAAAATTTGATACTTAGATACCTATATTTTGGATTAACATATTGTAAACTATTTTTATTTTAATTCATTCGAGAAAAGACATAGTACCTACTTGCTGAACATAGGCCTCCTCGTAAGGAAGATTTTGCCAGTAGTTGGCAAACTTGGCAACCGTAGTTAGGCTTTGGTGATGTTTTAAGATGGACACTACTGCCCATTCTTCGACTATTAAGTCCCCTTAGTTACCTCTTACGACATTCACGGAAAAAAACGATGGCCCATACTACGCCGGGACCACACGGCAATTTGACTATAGACTTAGATTATTTGTGCATGTAATATTAATTTAATTATGTTATTGTCTTTAACATTTGTTAAAATACATAATGAAATAAATTTTGTTACATATATTAGAAAATTATAGCTGTATTGCATTCGATCTGTATATTGGTTATTCCAACTAGCTGTGGTATGAGTTTGCTGACATGTAGTTTTTTTATCTGATTCGATTAGCAGTTGTATGTACAATGTACAGTATCTAATTATCTATCGATATTACTTTGCAATGGTTACCGCTATCTTTGACCAGCCTTTGCGTGATTCATCATAGTGATACATTCGTACATGACTAAATCAAAACTAATTTAAATCGTGATCAAATCAGTACGGAACCAATCTTTATATATATATATATATATATATATATATATATATATATATATATATATATATATATATATATATATATATATATATAAGTATAAGGTTCTTCTCAACTGAAACTGCATTCCGAACTGAAGCTGGTAGTTTCATAAAAAATAATTCAAAAACTTATTATTAAGATAATAAGTTCACTTGAATATAAATTATTTATTATTATATAATATTTACATACCTACATAATACATACATACCTTTATAATTTTTACAAATTTTATTTTTTAAATTCAAATCTGTTTAGTCGTTTTTGAAGTCGTCGTGAATGAATAACTAACATCTAGTAGGATATATAAGAATTTATTAAATTTAAATGAATGTAGTCGCATTTTGTCATTTCAATTTATAAACCGTAGATAAGGAGGGGTAGGTATTCATTAAAAAGTTGGAGATAAATTTTAAATAAATCATCGAACTCGGCGCGACCCCATTCGGTGATGAGCCTAATTTTCTCTTAACAGCGTCTTTGTCTCCCCGCGGTATGCGAACAAATTCCTTCCGCGGAATTAGTACGTAGCATATTTCTTTGTAGTTACAAACAACAATGTATAAAAATAACTTGAGATCAATCAAGAAATAGCAAAATTGTGAATGGTGCTAACTAGTAGCTATGTTTTCGTGAACGGATTAAGATTAATAAAATTTCAAAATAATTTATTTATTACAATAACTAGAAATAACCTTCGTATATAATTTTCTATATTTGTTATTTTATTATGTCGGTTGAAAAAAAAACAGATTTGTTACAAGAAATTTAATAGATACACGCCTCTATATCTTGTGGTTACTCTATTTTTTGTGGTAACCTCAGACGCAGTGTCTAGTGAAAATAGGTAACTGTTTAGACAACACGTTATTATTATTAATATATCAACCATTAACTGTTTCTGCCTCCCCTATAGCGGGGGGGGGGGTGCCAATAGTTATCACAGTTGATAAGCGGGTTGGCAATCGCAGTTAGATAATAAATTCACACAACAAATAAATTCCCTTAGTCGCCTCTTACGACATCCACGGGATAGGATGGGATGGTCCATTCTATATCAGAACCAGACGGCAGACACCAAGTTAATTTTACTAAATTTCTTACATTTATTGTTATCTTGATAGGTGTTGTATAATTTATTTTTAATATGTATGTAATTTGTATCTGCAACACCACAAAATTAATAATAGATTTTTCATTTGCGAGTACACTAACAACCTTCTGGATATATCTAGTAATAAATACAATTATAATAAGACAGCAAACCGTTCTAGCGTAAGTAACATTTTCACACGTTCGTTTAGACAAGTACAAAAGATTTTGAGAATCATCCGCACAACTAACGAGCTAAACAATGAATTCCGAATCAATGGAAAACTAAATGGAATGAATCGACAGATTGGACGGTACTAATGGGCATCCAATGAGTATCGAGTACTCGTATCGATGCCTGACACTCCGATTAAAGAGATTATCAATCGAGTACACACCTTGATTCGAATACGATAATTATGACGAAAAGATTCCGTTTTCCGATAGTTGTATTCTTATTAGTTAGAGCTTAAAGGTCAATTTAAAAGGTTATTAATTGTAAGTAGATTTGAGCATACTTTCGGCTCTTTAGGCGTCGTATCAAATTGACATATAAATTTAATCGGTGCATACATATTTGGCATCCGTAAACAAATTATAGAGTTCCGTAATAAATTTGATGAAACCGTGGGATAGGCCAATTGTAGCCAATTTGAACTAACTATCACCTAATATATAGTGTGAAATGGAAACCAGTTCAGCTTATATCTTTATATACTTTCTTACTATATAAAATCATTAGCAGGCATAAGAAATATTTTCTTAGATGGCTGTCAATAATATCGCAGTGAATTTAATACACATATGAACAAAATAGCAGTTGTACATGTAATACAGAGTAAAATTGAAATCATTGACGTTTATTTTATTTATTATTTATTAACATTTTATTATTTATTTTATTGCAGCTTAGAATGGTCAACAAGCTGACGGCCCAACAAATGGAAAGTGGTAACCGTCGCCTATAGACATGAGCAGTACCAGTTAAGCCTCTGTACTCTGTAATTTCATTGCGATATCCCACCCTTTAAACCGAAACACAGCCATACAAGCACAACTGCTTCACGAAAGAAACACGAATGGGATAGAGTTATTCAAGCAGATGACTTTTGCACAAAGCCTCCTTCTGGCAAACACATCCTTTATCCTTTCTAAGGAGTGATCTACTAGTAAACTTTACATTATTAAAAAATCTTACTAGA